CTCCCGAAATTAGTTCCCCGAATAATGGCATTGTATACGGGGACAATCCACTGCAAGATGCCGCGCGCCACACCGTACTCCCGATGATACATGTCAATCTGTCCCTGTAGCATATTGACATCCAGCTGATAAACCGCGCAGATCAGGATGAACATCCCAGTCGCACCGTACGCCATCATGACCGCTATGAAGATCAGCGCGTCTTTGCGTGTTATTAATTGTCCGTATTCGGTGTGCAACTGTGTACATAATTGGATGATCTTTCGGCTGTTGGACCACATGAAAAAGATGTACGGTACATCGGAAAAGGACAGCATGACGCTGATGCTCTGCACGATGACGATGGAGAATCGCGTGGTGGTCCAGTCTCCGCTGCGGAATGTATCGTACACGTGGAAGACGTTGGCTGTCGTAATGATTCCGGCGTATAACAGCATGACGATACGGAGGAAGATCTGTAGACGTGGGCGACCGTCGATGGGATAATAAAAGTAGCCCAGTATTTGGGCAGTGATGCTTAACACTTGAATCATCCGCCATGTCAGAGTTGGCTTGGGAACAAACTGGAGGTTGGTTCTGGTTTCCGCGGAATCCTGTCTACTGCTTGTGCGGGAAATATTTATTCTTTCTTTCCACATGTTTGAAATCAAGCGCTACGTACGTTAGGTATAAGCATGTCTGTCTTCTACCAGTATAAAAAACGAACCATGTTGTTCATTTGAGTATGCTGCACAATTCTGTTTTCGATCAAGCGTTCCCTTTTCTTATTTAACACTGGTTGATACATTTGCGCTACAAATTGATCGTCAACAGATAGTTTCGTTTTGCGTTTCCTGTCACCGCAAAATATCTGAACACCCTGCTTGGCGGCTGAGCCAACACTCTCCCGGTTTTAATTCTGGTGATACAGTATCGCATTTCACATCAATTTTTATCGGCTGCAGCGAGATGGAGTTTCTTTTACACATCATGTCACTTTCTATGCCGGCGACATTGACTTGGGCAAACCTTTTTCAAGCATTCTGAACCGTTTTAGACTGACAGTATCGTAAACCCATGGTTATTGCGTGTGATCCAAAGCGTTAAAGCTTACTATGCAAAGGACGTTCAGAGCAATCAATGCGTTCCTGGAGCATCCGAATCTATTCAGTGGATCTTATTCCGTTCGGCTGAATGCAGTGCCGGCGCGTCAGCTCGCCCGGGTGCATCGGTCCGCTCTCGGACAATGCGGCAAAAGAACCTGTCTGCGTTAAAAAAATGTCAAAGCGAGGCCTGCAATATTTCGTTCGGTAACCCGTGAAATTGTTTGGCTGTTGGAACATCAGCACTTCCGAAGTGCACACTAGCAATGAAATGTAGTGTAACCTATCTCACTGTGGCATTGAACTGCAAAAGAATTCTCAAGGGAATACTCCCGAGAGCTTGTCCTACAATCTATCGCCGCAGTAATCCCTCTTGATAATCTTTGCTGGAGTTTGTGTGATTGAATTATCCCCTGGGATCCATAAAAGGATTGAAATGATGGAAACGCAACCCATACTATTCGGCAGTGCAACACTAACTATACGATTTGTAAATTCTTAATAGTGAGTGGCAAATCATACTCTCCTCCAATGGGCGAGTACTGTACTTCCGGCTAAGATTTTTTACGTATGTACTGTTAATGAGTAAGTACTTACAAATTTTCTGTCACCTAGTCGGAAAGCTGCGCGGTATCCTGTAATCTGCGGAAAGTAATACTCGACGCTGCCCTGTTTCTGGCGTCTATGACAAAGAAAATGTGGAAGGCCAATGTTGTCATCAAACCAAAAATGATCGAAACAGCGCACAATAAGGCCGACACTCGTCCGACTGGTCCACACGGTTTCATATGGTCGGTCACCAAGCCGGGTCTGATCGGGGCGCAGATATGCGGCTACTTCTACTTTCCAGTAAGAACAACTGCGACATGCACGCTGCTTTTGCGTGCCGTTATGGGGCTGTACGCTACACTGCTGGTCGCTGCTAGCTGCTTCTACGCCCTGGACATCATGGCGGACGTTGCCGGTCGCTCTGGGAAATTCTCCATCGTTATCGTGGAGACCGTCAATGGCCTGCTCTGTTTCACCGATATACCAAACATGTTCCTGATGTGGGCAGCCAGCCAACGCATTATCGATTTGGTTAAAAGGTTGGATACGGAGTATGGACATATGTTAACCAGGAACCATAAGCTCATACTGATAGCCGGGATTGCAGCGTATGGCAGCGCCGTAACGGCCAGCACCATCTTCTTAATTTTCCATTTTGATACCGGGGAACTGTTTGCCAGCGATGTGAACGAAAATGCCCAGCGCTTCGCGGCCAGTATTCCGCCGTATTACATCGAAATTCTTGTACACAGCTATGATGCGGTGTTGCGTGTGGTGTTCCTCGGCAGGTACGTTACCCTGGGTTTAGCCTTATTCTTGGCGCTGACCACAAGTCTGATCTTCCGTACACTGGCGCTGAGAGTGCGGGACAAGCTAGACAAGGAAAACTTGCTTCCACTGGAGGACTGTGTCGCGCACGCGGAATTGAGTGTTATGGTGAGGGAAGTGGATGCGTATGTATCGATCATCTGTGGAATTCGCTTCTGTGCGGCACTGGGCTATTTGGTGTATTATGCTTTTGAGATGAGTCTGGAGTATGCGAAAACGCGCACTATCGACCAAGGAAGCCAGCTGGAGGTTTTTATTCATTCGCAGGCTATCATGATGGTAATAACCGCTGTCTGCTGCTACTCAACCGAACAGGTAAAAGGCGCACGTTTATTGTCACCGATGTTTACACCAAGTCGAATAATTTCACGGCATAGGTATGCAGCTTGAGGGACTTACCGATGACAATTCGATTATTTACTATCAGTAAAACAATCTGTTATTTTCCCCTGGCATTCTGCTGTCTCAAGTCATTGTCTCGTTAAATTTTTGATTAGAGCCAAAAGCTGGTGGAGATCGTAGAGACGTATTGGGAGACACATCGAGAATCCAGCCCGCAGGGATCAGGATCCGACTGGCAGAAATTCTATCTGCGACGGTTAAAACACAATCCGCCGTGCTTTACTCTCTTTGGAATAATGATCACAAGAGAAATAGCCGCTCAGGTAACTCCTGTCAAATACGAAAGCAAAAACACAAGAATGATTGACTTTTGATCCAAAGATAGTAAACGGTAATTAACGGAAAGGAAGAAGCAATGTATAATGCTCGTACACCAGCAAGGACAAACAGAATTACAAACGGCATTTATATCGTAATCTTTACAACAATAATTTGAATCTGCGCAAACCGCAAGTCGGCCTGGGTGGAAAACCTGTTAAAAACAAAATGATTCGATAGTTTAATTTTTCGTCTCATGGTATCGGTTTTTCGTGTACTGTAGATGGCAGCAGCGCTCGTCAGCTGCATGTTGGTCTTCGCGGAACTGGCAAATGGAAACGACAGCAACGCTTCTTGCGGACAGCGATCACCTGATGATAACAGTACCGGAAACGCATAGACGAAACAGTCATGGTTGCCTCGCGTTCCGATTTGTTACAGGAGTACTATATGTCACTTCTTTATTTTCCGAATCGTTTGTATTGTCTAATACTTTAATGTGAGTATGTACTCTGTATATTCCGGTAGATAAATACGTACTGTACTGTGTAGCCACCATACTTCGGCGGCAAAGGTAAACGAGTCAGTGTAAACAGACTAATTAACCTTGCAGTGTGCCCGTGTTCATCGGTGACTGAGAATTCTTTAGGGATCAATATCGACAGCTCGCCATACACTCTAAAGAGGCCATCCTAATAATCTAGCCAGAGTACGTCATGTGATGTGGATGTCCCATTGGGCCCACAAAAGACAAAAACGATCGAATACCCCCCCCCCCAGCATTAATATGCAATACGTGTCCAGTATCAACATGCAGTGTTATAAACAGGGAATCTGATGATAATAATACAGTACATACCGGAAATGCATGAACAAAACAACAGTAGTTTTCTCGCTTCGCGAATTTGTAATGCCGCATAATTTTCCATCTGCCAGAGAGTTCGTGTTATTAAATACATTGAATACTAGGAGTACGTATTAGTTTGCAGATACAGGAATTAGGATTCCTCATGGGCGGGTGATTAGAAATTAGCGACTGCAAATAGATTGGCAACGGCAACGTAAGTGTTATAATTATCGTAATTCCGCTCAACTTATACCCCTACATGTTACTGTTTATATGCTCGGCTGTCCTCGACGCGCCACTTTCAGTATTTGCGGGCGCGGGCGTTTACCATGGATTCGACAAAGCTCAGTAACTATTGAGCTTGCCGAAGCTGTGTTAACGCTGGTCGCCGGCTTGCACTAAAGTAAACCTTCCAAAACTGTATGGGACCTATGGGTCAAGGGGGAGTATTCTCTCGATTTTTTGGCGACCTCGGCCGTAAAAAATTTCGCAATATACCCCCCTCTTGAGAATTTTTTCAATGTCCAAGTTACGGGGTGGCCATGGCCCCACCAGCCCCCCCCTCTTAAATAGGGGAACAATTACCGTTCACAACGTTGATAATGCTGCATACGCGGTTTACGAGGTAGTATACTGGTCACCCTTAAATACGAAATTTTTGAAATAAAGTTTACTCGTTTTCTTATATTTGAGGCGTAATATTTGCACTTTAGTGTCAATTTCGGAAATTCCGTTCTGATTAAAACAGTACTATGAGAGAGAAAAAGTGTACAGATAGAATGATCAAATCATAACCATAGCACAAAATTAAAAGTAGTACTTTTGTTACAGGTAATTTGCTTGCAGACAGCCTGATGCTTTTGAAAACGCTTTCTCATTACGGCATTCTCTAGATACACTGACAACACGTGAATGCACTTGAAAAGTCGTATTTTTGAAGTGACTCTCACATTCTTGCGCGTGTTACAGCGGAAATACATGCTGATGCGGGAAGAATTCTGTATACGCTGACTCTGACCTTGATACCCGACGGCTTTGAAGTGGACGGCAGGGAAAACGGAAAGAAAAATGTATACACCCGTGGCTGTTTAGATCAGTAGTGATTTCCTTGATCGACTGGGACAACAGCTAAAAATGAGGCTCTTATTTTTGGCTGTAACCTTAGCCGTAACGGCGACCGTGGCTCTGACGCAAGTGAGTGTCTCTTATTATAAAAATAATTACAAATTTACAGTTCATTGAAAACTAGGTATTTATGTACTTTTTATGTCAACTTAATGACTGTTACTGTTTGCAATAAAAATCGATTGCCGTTGTGATCTGTGGATGAATCTTACTGACCGGCTTGCTTGGTTTCTTTTTTTTCCATGTGAATTTAATTTGTCACCGCAGTCAGTGTCCATGCAATATGTAATAATGCCTGTCAGACGAACGTTGTTTGTTATTAATTAACAATTACTTAGACGTACCAGCGCTGATATTCATAATTTCAAAACTTTAAGTGAAAGCAAGAAGCGGAACTGTCTCGGGTAACAGTTCTAAATATCTAGGCCGTGAGTGGGCCTGATGCCTCCGCCACCATACCCAACGCCCCTACCGGCCTGCCCCAGCCCGATCCTTCGCGTGTCCAGCCCGCCAACCAATCCGGCCATCACGGACACGGCCACGGGCATCACCATGGCAACCATAGTGGAAACGAAGGGCAACAACATCAGCATCATCACGGCCACGGACGGCCTCACGGTGGGCCGGACGGCCCGCAGCTGACGGCCGCGGCAGAACAGACCGGCGCCGGTGATAGTGCGAAGCCGCATGGACACCACCACCACGGCGGTCACCGCTCAGCTGGGCACGAGCATAACGGCACCCACCATGGTCATGGTCACCATAACGGCACACATTTCGGTCACCATAACGGCACGCACTTTGGTCACCATAACGGCACACAGCAGCGCAAGTTGTCCGATCAGGAGCGCGAGCAAATGAAACGGGGATTTTTTTCCTTCCTGCACAGTACGTTTAGTAGATTTATCGTGTTTTGTGGCCGTTCATGTAATTTCTGAAACGAAAATCAAGTCACCGTACGAAAAAGTAGATATTAGGTTTATCTGTTCCCTCAGTTGTGTATCTGTATCTCTCGCATTATGTTTTTGGCAGACGTTTTCGGCGGTAACGCCACCGGAGCCGGCGGCCATCGTAAGTGCTGATGCAGTAGTTTAGTCATCCTACATAGAAGTGCTGCATCATTTTTGTTGTAGCTTATTAAAATAAGCAGTGATCTGTTAATTGTGTATGTGTATTCGCATTATGTTTTGGCAGACTTTTTCGGCGGTAACGGTACTGGAGCCGGCGGCCATCGTAAGTGCTGATGCAGCAGTTTAGTTACCTTACATAGAAGTACTGAATAATTTCATGGTATTTTTTGAACCCTTGGTGTTTCTATAGCAATTACATGTTCTTTAAATTGCATACGACCTTTAATAAGTATCACAATGCTAGTACAAAAGCAGAATATAATTTATAATAAAAACACTTCTTCGATGCTATCCTGTTCGGGGATTGTACCCATCACGCATATCGCGTTTCCCCGTTGCATTTGAATAGATAGCCGCTGCCTAAAAAACTCTTTGGCGCGTTTTTGGCCGGTAGCAGTTGCAATCCCGTTTCCTATCTTCTGGACGAGCGTTTTAGTCCTTTAAATTGTGTATCTGTACTCGGTTTATTTTTTTGGCAGACCTTCTCGCAGTTCTCGGCGGTAACGCTACTGGTGCCGGGGGCCATTGTAAGTGCTGACACAGCAGTTTGCAGATTCAGTATGGTTTACTGAGTGCATTGTATTTTAGTGCAGGCAATCCTTCCGTTTCTGCATAATATCTTCTCCGGCCTGGCCAACAGTAAGCCTACAGTGGTGAAAAAGCACGTCCAACTGTCTGATTTCAATTAGTAATACAGCGATATACAAAAAAAAGTTTATGAAAACTATAAAGGAAATGTTTATGAAAACTATTTTTGTTTGCTGCGAATTATAATTGGGTTAACAGTAACATCGGGTGTTTGGCAGAAACGTCCGATCCAGCGGCACTGATATCGTCCTTCAGTACCAAGACCCGCAGTGCACTAACCGGGAAAACTGAGCGTGACGGTGGTGATAGTCACAGTCACCATAGCCGACCGCAATATCAGTCCAACAATAATAATAATAACCAACAGATGATGCAAAATTTAGTGAGTTAAAAAACGGATTTATACATACACATGTACCTTTCAAAAAATTTCTTTAGTAATTCTGTTCTTTGTTTGATAGCTGATGATGCAAGTAAGTGATGATCAGCTGCTGATCGATGTAACGGCTGCTCAGTGATGCTTTCAATTTTATTTATCGATTAGATGATGGGCAATGGTGGCGGTGGTGGCGGTGGTGGCGGCGGAAAGGGTACCGGTAGACAAGACGGAAATGGTGGTGGCGGCGGCGGCGGTGGAGGAAACGGCGCGAGTCTGGCGGCGTTGATGGCCATGGTAAGCCATCAGGGTTATACATTAAAAACCAGGACGACGAAATGTAATTGTTGTTTCGGCGCTAGATGGGCCAGAGCAACTCCCAGCCACAAGTAGTGCAGTCCGGAGGAAGAGACAACGGAAGCGGCAGCGGAAGTGGGGGCGATTAGAAAGAGATTGTTTTTACCTGGGTTTTTATACCGACTCGCTTTCCGGTTTGTTATGAAAACACTGCAAAAGTTTACCTATTTAGCGCTTTTAATCCGATAAATCTGCTTTTTATGCTTTGTTCGCACACTGGTGCAATTCAACCGATCTTCGCACACAGCGGGATTTCAAAGATTTATGCAAGTTTGTCTGAATGACGATCATGTTCCGGCTATTTGATGCCGGCAAGCTCGAACAGAACAAGAAAAATATAAAAAAACATGTGATTGTCTTTAGACGCCTTAAAAATGTTAGAGCGAATGTAAAAATAAATGATAGGAAAATGAGGTTCATATTGGTTTCACCGCTTTCACGTAAATGAAAATCAATAAGAAATATGTTTAAATAGTAAAGGCCCGCATGACGTATTATGTGTTCAGTAAATGCATATTACTGCTCTACTTTACATAAAAAAATTACATCCTAAACCTAAGTTAAATGTGTAACGGTCCGGAGTTTCTATGCCTCACTTCCGCGTTGTATTTCGGTACTAATTGTTTGGTAGCCACATAATTATAGTACTCCGACCGTTACAACCCTACATCTCCTTATAAAGTGTTTTTATGCACCGAGCTGCTGTTTCCGCTGTCAGCTGCGGCTTTTGCAATACTCGTTGTCGAATGTTGTCAGTATGATCTCCAGTGTAATGCAATAAGTACATCCTTAGAACCGTTAAAATTACTAGTATAATAATTCGCAATAGTATAATAATGTTGAGGGCCGCTTTATATTGCGTTTGATGTGGTCATAGTAAGCGAATTTTAATGTTTAGCCTCCTTGGCTCGTTTATTCTAGGAGAGATGATCACAGCCTAACAGGTTAAACTAAAGGAAATCTGACGTCAGTCTGGCTATCCAGTGCTTTTCCGCTCGCAGGAGCAATGCAGCGGATGTCAGGCAACTTCGAATTCGAACAGAACACTTGACGTATAGTCATTTGATCCACGTCATTTCGTATCAAATGCATTTGCTTCCGGAGAAGTAACACTAAGAAACTAAAAAAATTGTCATTGGTCGCGAACCCATAATCCTACTCCAACATTGTTTTCTTACTTACAGTATATATGCTGCTGGGTTGTGAGCGAATTAGACACAGTGCAGACCATATTTCCGCCCTAAGATGGCGGTTCCAGTTTGCGATAGAAAACCGGTATCGTGTTTTGTCATTTGTGGAGAGTCGTTAGCATAGGCGCATAGTCGTGTAATGACTCTTATTCCAAGCGGTTTGCAGCATCGGCGGGAGCTTACACAATTTTTACGAAAACTGGAATAGGTATCAATCTAGAAAGAGGTCACTCTTTATCGGTTTGGCCATGAAATGGCCACACCGGACATGTTACTTTGATATATTGAGGAACGCCTAAAAGAGCTGCAGTGGGACAATTTAAAATTGCGCCGCATTAAAAAAGCACTGATTTTTATTTACAACCTGAAGTTTTCCAAAGTGCCTTTAGGTGACCTTTGCATTCTTCCTTTGGTTAGTCCGGTTGCTGCGCTTGAATTTATTGCAGGTTAAACTCGGCATCATTGACTCAACATCCATTTCCGATAGCACCGGCTCCAACGTCTGTCTGCGGTACAACGGTGACTGCCGTCCATGGCTTGCTTCTAAACGAACTGACTCTTTGTGGAACGAACTGTCTTTTCTTATGGAATCCTATCAATCAACATGCACGTTCCAGGTTGAATTGGATCGCATTAACTGGGACGACCCTGCATGGATTAAGAAGCATCCTTTGTTTGTTAAAGATACTTAAATTTTATCTGCCCCATAGCTTGTTTGAATTCTAAATCGAACGAATATTTTTGATGCTGGTACATTTATTTTCCTAAATCAATGCACTGCAAACTCCTAAATTTGCATCTTTGGTTACTGTCATGATGCCACGCTTTTTGTTTACTTCTTATTTAGAATTTTCTGTCTTAGCTTAAAAGGAAGCGACGCCTCGTAGCAAAGGACAATAAACCAGTTATTATTATTTATTATTATATTGCCCATGCAGCAAGTATTTTATTTGGATGCCTTTGATTACTGTATCCGCCCGACAAATTTGTGCCACTTTCAGGTCCGGGCGCAGTTGTCTACTTTCCGGGCACTGAGCACAAGCTTCTCTCCAAACGGTCGGCGCACACGTGGATCTTAAGTGATACTGTAAATGTAACCTGTTTCTATACTGAGCTTGATTTTTCCGTATACCAGACTCTGTAGTGCAAATCTATCGAGCTTATACAATATTTTTTGTTCAGTCTTAATTGTGCTTATTGCCGTGAAGCTATAAACTCCGGATGCGCTCAGTGAGAAATTCAATAGGGAAATGATATTGAAAAAATATTGATATACGGTGAATGATAGGTAGAAGTATATCAAAGTTGTATTCAAACACTAGTGTTCTAACTTTTAAGCTTCTAGCAACATAACAATTATTCAGTTCGAGGCTCAAGATTATTGAGCCCCTATCTACGAGTCGAAGTCCATCACCAGCAAGTATCAAAGGAAGTGATATCAGTAAACTACAGAAGTAAATGTGACACAGAGTATGTGCCAGATGCCAGAACCGGTTCTGTACGGACATAAAAAATATGGTCATATGATTACTTATAAGTTTAAGGGAAAGCCCACGCTCTGCACGCGCCGACTTAACGCCGACAATCTGCACTGCGGCATCGTGGTTTCATAACATGAGCCATACCGTACCGGCGATGATTAAGCGCGCTTACAATAAATCAATAGATTCACATCAGTCATAAGGCGCTCAATGAAAATACTTCTTTTAAAAGTTGATACACTGTTTGTACAGTACCTAATATTGGCCACGTGTTTCCACGCAACCTTATAGTTTTGACATAAAATATGTCTTTTTTAGAAGGAAAGAATCTTGTCCAGTGGCTTTTAATTATTATTGTTTGAGTATGTATCATCGTAATGATACTCTGAATGTTTTCCTCTGGAACAGAAGCAGCCAGTTTGTATTAATTTACAGTTAGGAAAGAACTTACGCTTTTTGTTACGGTCTATGTTTATTGGGCAGTAAACAACCGCTAATAAGTAGCGTTTACACTGGTGCAGTATATAAAGGTGGAGAACGACTGGAACGGTGTGTGTGAAAAGTCAAAATACGGTATACTTCAACTAGGAAGTCTACAACGTGAAGAAATAATCAGGTACGAAAGTGTACGTGGCTAACCGAAATCTAATTCTTAGACAAAGGCAACCAAAAATTTGTCATTTTGGGAGCTTCTGTCGACTCTTGGCAATGCGCAGAGGAAGTTAAGTTTTGATCCATTACCGAGAATTACTAAAGTATCAAGGAAACAAAGTAGAAGGAAAGAAAAATTACAAATTAGCCCTTTATTCTTTACGCAGTCTTTACATGAACCTTTTCCAGTATAATGATCCAAAGTCGCAATGGAAAATAGCATTGTGGTATTAACCGTAAGCTTGTACCACGCCTTGTTCTTTCCTGCTTAAAGCAGCACCACACCTATGGCTGTAAATCCCTTCAGGGAGGAGTGACACATTCTTCGTTTTAGGCCTTTATGTTTGTAAAAATACATATAAAAGTACCTGCATGAGAAAAATTGTGATTACGTAGTCGTTTTTTATTCAGTAAGCGACTGTCCCTAGTGTAAGATGCACTCATGCTCATAAAAGTTTTTAGTAGTTTCATTGTTCATTAAGTACCATTAGCGCACCGCATATGTACTGAACTTCAAGCCAACTGAATAAATTTCAGTTTTCATCAACAACCGGGAAAGGCTCGCGTCGTAGTGCATTTCCACAATGCATTTTCAGAACAAAAACAAGAGCGGGAGTATTTTAGAATTAGGAGGTATGAAGACTTATATCGTATTTATAGATGAGGCTTTAAATTCGAAAAATACGGTAGCTGATCTGGTTTTTACTTTTTATTCTCATACTTCGGATTTTCTATGTATGCTTTTCATATTTCGGTCACTTAGTGTTAAAAATGAATACCTTTCATAGTAAAGACTTCGTTCATGAATTTCGAAGCATGAAACATACAAATATTTCCATAAGGAGACCAAACGAACAACAGGAACTGGACCAAGTGCAATGTAAAAGAGCCGCTCTCCCACGTTTGCAAATTTCAGAAATTTTAAATTCCAATATTGTCAATTTTGTTTTGATGACTGCCGACCGGTGAAACAGAAATCAAAAAGTACGTTCTGCGATCGGCAGCTATTCATGTAGCGCGCCACATGGGGGGTGGTGTAAGTGACCGGTGACCAAAATAAGAAACCGTATATTTAAACTGACCGAAATATAAGAAAAATCGAGGTGCGGTGCTTAAAAGTTTTATGAGATACCTACTTAATAAAGGTAATCTGTACTTTTATCTCCTACCACCGTTCCCAAGCGTAAAGAAGGGTCTATTATTTTTCTTTGGACCATAGTCACACTTCGTAGCAACATTATCCCTGACCGCGCTAAACAAAGATGATTCAGTGAATGAGCAAAGTAGGAAATGCTTTTGTGAATACCCAACTGAATCAGCCAGCATCTCCATGACTGGCCAGATAGAGAGAGAGACGCAGTATCCGTAACAACTGCAACGGTATGTATTCAGTATTGGGCCGGTGTGTATGGCGAAGAAGAAGGCAGACAGGGGCGGGCGTTGGTAAGACACCGGAGCGCGATGGTCTGTCTCTCTCTTGCTTATAAATGTACGCTTCCATTATTATCAGACGCACGGTGAATGAAATGTTCAATGCGCCGTCGAAGGCTGTGTGCACACACTACACAGCAGCGCGCACAGAGACTGCAACTCTGCACACGCAGGCCAAATTGCCTGCTAGCGCATGCGATACACAGTTACACACAGTCGCACAGACACACACTCACTCACACACGTCGCGGCCAAATGGTTGCCGTGTAATCTGTATCGGACGCGTGTAATCAGCAGATGGAATTCTGCAACGTGTGTGTATTGCGCTGATCATTTTGATGCGGTGAATTCGGAACTGTTTCTACAGGTCGTGTGAGCGTCGTTGAAATCACTGCAGCCGAAACACACAGTGCCTCCCGTTTCGTGAAACCGACGCTGAGAAAGGAGAAACTAACCTTTTGGGTGTATGACGATGGATTGCGTCCTGAAGATTGCCGTCAGTTCGCTGACGCCGCTGATGAGCTGTAAATTATGCCAGGGGTTCCTGGTGGATGCCAGCGTCCTGCCGGAATGCGGGCATAGCTGTAAGTAGGCGGTGGGATGCACCACGGTTTCACGCGCAGTGGATGATTTTTCTCTTGGGTTTGCCTTGCAGTTTGTAAGACCTGCATCGTGCGACATTGCGCTCGGTCCACGGTGTGTCCTCTGCCCGAGTGCAACACATACATCCATGCCCGTCCGTTAACCTGTCTCAAGTAGGTGTTATCCTGGGTTTTTTAAGTCTGTTTACGGTAGAATACTGATGTAGTAGCTGGTAAGTAAGTCCACAGAAGGATCTGGGATGCTGCAGCATCGGGATGCAGAATCGCAGCTATTTGCGATCTGTGTTCGATACTGCACCGTACAGTGATTGTTACGTAAATTTGCAAGAAAAATGTTTTCAAGATTTTTGGTATTTCCCGCAAATGCAAATAGGTTAAGTATTTGTGTATTAAAGTCATGCATCGCAAATTCAAAGTTACGGTTGAACCTTGCCGCGCTAGTTGGGTTGTTTAAATCGAACCAGTAACGGTTGCGCCCGAGTTGGTTGTTTCAGTTTGTGCATTTTAATTCCCGTTTGCTCATGATATTATTCTTTACCTTTTTAAAAATATTTTCGATATCTTATTCGAAAATCGAAGTGTTCTGATTCTGGTTTAGTGAAAAGTGAAATAGTCTTATGAACATTGTTGCGGGGTTTAGCTGAATGGGGTGACGCTCATATCAGGGTCTGGTCCGACTGATTCTGTTTTCCCCAAGCAATTATAAATTACGCTTTGAACACCATTTTTAAAATCTCACATATCGTTTTGATTGATTTGCTGTTTTTTTAATACTGTGAGTTTTTGATGAAGTTAGGAGAATGCGGCGAAATATATTTCATCGTTCTGCGCAGTCGTTGTTTTTCTGCCACATTCAGAATTTCAGGATCTACTGTTTTCTTGAAAAGCTTTAAAGGTATGATTATGAAATATTTATGGGAAAACTGCGGATGCCTCCAAGGAGGTCAGAAAGCAAATAGCAGATTGCGGTTGCTCAGTGATATAACAGGGTTCTTAGAACTTAGAAGTACCCTAAGGTTTTTTTTCTAAATTCTAACTGATGGCGCTTTTAGATAACGCCTTCACAGTGCCAACGTTGTGCCACACTGTGAATTTTGTTGTAACGTTGTAGGCTCGATAGTCGATAGTCAACAGAACCGTATTCGAATTCATGCCGTATGTACCGTTACGATGGCATACCAGAGTTGGCATGAAAATTTGGTAGTTTAATTACATGAGTTTTTCGTTGCCTTGGGTTCGATTGCTGGACGCGATTACTGCGCCGTGCGGTGGTACCCGCGGTGAGCGTCTCGTACCGTCGATAAATTGGGTCGTCATTGAGTGGCGGTGCACGTGGTGCAGCGTCAACACACGCTGCGGCTGTATGTGTGTGTTGAAGTTTCAGCTTAAGCGTAGCAACGGAATGCGCTATGAAAAAGCCGTACACCAGCGGCGGCGCATTAGAACGGCCCATTAAAAACTATTATTATCGCCGGTGCTCGCACTTTGTATACTTAATCAGCTTACGGTTAGTAGCCGCCTGGGGCGGTTGAGAACTTGAGTTGTTATGAAAAGTATTTTTGCTATTTCTTTTGTTTCGTCGGAGTAGAATGATACTAGAATCAGTGAGTACTTTCTTCAGCGCTGTTTTTCTGTCGGGATTACGTAAGGCAGAACAGACGGTTCGATTAACACATCCGGATCTCCGAGTAGACTTCACTGGTGTACGCTCTGCGCTTTTTACATGTACCGGGAGATCGATGCGGCATGGTGTTCCCGTTGTCGATTGCCGATCGACAAATCGATTAGCCGGTGCTCGGGATCTCGTCGTGCGTTCTTAGCTAACATCCGCCCTTTATCTTCGTCGAACAACAATTACCGCTGCACCTGTGTGCTTTTGACACGATAATGTCTTTGCGACATAAAAGCATTAAGCATCACGTGCCTCAAATTAAGAACCCGACTCACGTGGTACATTTCTTGGGTCGTAAATTTGGGGATTTAACTGGAGAAGCGAGTTCTACTGCTTTTCTCAAGCGGCGTTTTAGTCTAGCTGTTGTAAAAGGAAATGCTTCGACTGGGTTGAATACTTCACCTCATAGGTTTTTAAACCGAGAGAAGACAGACTTTCGTTGCTTTTCCAATGTTTGAATTTTAATTATCAAGTAGTTTACCAGCGCTGGCAGTTATTGTTATTTGGGTGGCTATTGCCTATATACTGAATTCAATAATTAAGAGCTACAGAAGGCACTGACAAAATAAAAACATATTATCGGCCGAAAATGCAATATATAAAGTTAAAACAGTTATAGCTGAAACGGCAGTATTTGGTAGCGAGATTCTCACCGGTTCCCTCGTGTTTTTGTTTCCCCATCTCACGAGTGTCGTTGTTTTTGCAGGAAGGACACCACTCTGCAGACCATCGTGTACAAGCTCTTCCCGGAAATCTATCACAGTATGCATGCCTGCATTAGCGTCAATAGCGTGTCGTGCGTAAACAGAATCCTTGTCGTTGTGACGTCAATGGTGATAAATCTTGTAGATGAGATGACCCGTCGGCGCATTTATTTCAAGAACAATCCAGACGACAGTAAGTGTCGTATATAATTGGCTGATTAGGCTTCCTGCTGTATTGTGTCTTCTCGCGATGCAGTGTACGATTGCAATCTGGATCCACTGGATGCGGAAAGCACCGGTACTGCGGAAACTCCCTCTTGGTTACCACAGATCAGTGTGCCGCACGACACCGAAGTGCATCTCACCTACAAATACGGCCTGACGTAAGTGATCGCGGGGGTTTAACCTTCATGGTTATTTCTAGTTAAAATAAACGTTATTTACCTTAGTCGAGAATTGACCTGTCTCGGAGAAATGTGTCGATTAAAATAAATGTGCTTAGTCTTTATTTATTAATACGTTCAAGCTGTAATCCTGGATCACTGATTAATCGTTGATCTGCTTTGATAGTCTTGGTTTATCTTTAAGAAGTAGCACGATACAAGTACAAACTTAGTACCAATATCTTAGTTTTGTTAACACTTCGCGGTTTTTGTTTACCGACACGACATTGAATCCCCTTAACCGGGTTGTCTGCTTGTCGTATAGGAGAAGGTATGTATAAAAAAGTTTCTTTTCTAATGTTTCTCACTGTTGATAAAGGGCCCATCTCCGTGATGAATTCCCAGCCTTACTACGGGAAAAAGAAGCAGCGGTAAGGGAAGAAATGTCCAACTGGTGACGCTTCCGTCTCGGTTCACTAATCAGCGGGTTGGTGTGTTTTGTAGGCATGTCGACGCGACAACCTGGCCACGATGTGCGATTCCACGGTCAGCATCGAGGAGCTGAAGGTCTTCGTTACCGACCACTTTCGTCTGCCCTCCAGTATTTCGGTAAGAACATGCGCTTTCTTTACTCAACAACATGGGTGTGCAGTTTGTTTGTGTAGGTTGTGATTCTTCAAGCCAATTCCGTGATGGACAATCCACATACTGTCGCCGATATGGTGCGCTTCTCCTGTGGGACAAAAGTGAGTTACCTTTCCGTCTTTAATACAGCTGACACTATGTCGACTGCCACTGCGTCGACCGTCACCCTGACGGGGATTATGAAAGCTGATAAGAAAACCTAAGAAAACTAAGGCTGCTAGCTCGGCGGACTTTGTGTTTGTTCGACTGAATGACGGTCAACGATATGGTCACATGGCGCATCACGAATGTGACAATGTCAGCCTTTTGAAACGAACAACAATCCGACCAACTTTATATCCGCATCGTACACCTGTAAATGATGCTGATCATTTAATCTTGAAGCAGCCGCCTATGCGTTGATCAATCTAATGGTTGCAGTACAGTGCGCTTTTAAACGGTTTTAGTGCGTCCCGACCTGCTGGCGATGGCTGCACTGAGAAATGAGCTATGTTTCTGTCTCTAGGCCGAAAAGCAAGTGCTGAAGTTATTCTACATCCTCCTCCCCTCCACCATGGTCCCGCGGGCCTTCCACGAACTGCAGGAGTTCATCCACTACTGTTTCCAGAAGGACATCACCCTGCACGTGCCGCTCTCCGGCCGCGTCAAAGCCCCCAAGAAACGTGGCGAACAGCAACGGCGCGTCTACCTCCCCGGGATGCCCCGCGACCCCTACGCCTTCCCCAACGACGGGCTCCCCGAACACCCCTCCCACCAACCGAAAACATCGGGTCCATTCCACGCGCAGCCGTCCACCGCCGCGCACAACGGCGTCCTATACTACTAAACCGACCGGGATTCCAGTGTTAAAATGATAAATGATACAGTGTTCAGGGATTCGCGAGAGGAATGGGATTTGTTTAATGGTTTCTCCAGGCAATAGGAGCTGTTTATTTTTCCCCAAGGCGTGCGGGATCGGGACCGCGGTTACTGACAGGAAGAGTTCGGGATCCGTGTTCGTTTCCCTTGATGGCTATCTTTCAGTTGGGTGTTGCAGGGAAAATTTTGATTGGCTGTTGATACAAGCTGTTTAATTTGGGATTTCAGCTGAGCTACCTCGATTTCTAACCGCCGTATTGGCTGTTATACTTCTGTAACCGTACCCGTATGAGTCTATGACAGTGTGGTACCTCTACTGATGATTGTTTATCCGTACCCGTATGACAGTGTGGTACCTGTTTACTGTTTGACTGTTCTGCAACCCGAATTTTGTTGCTCCCAATAAATTTTAATATAATATCACTTGCTCCGCGTTCCTGTAGCCGCTAGCTGCTTTTGACGGCTGCAAAACTACTAACCCTGTTCTAGGTCTAAGGGCATAACGCCATAAAAAATTTGCGGTTTCCATGTTTCCTGACAGAGTGATACCGGTCGGTTGGATTTTGGTAGGGTCCATTGGAGAACAGTAATACTCGGGGGGCAAAAAATTCCACCAGAAGTGCAGTATCTCTGCGCTGCGAGAGTTTGCACTTCTTATAGTATACGTGTGCGTTGCATGCAGGATTGTCATTGTGACGCCACCTGGGCCCATTTACTCCAAATATACACAGTACACCAAACTTTGCCAGAAACAAATTCCCTATCGCACAAGGGAATATCATATTTACTCATTGCGAGAGAGCGTTTACTTTATTGAAAGTACTTTTACATTACACAGTCTTTCCAGCGTATTTTCGAAGTACATTCAAGTGGTAAAAGGTAAACTTTGGGTTCTGCGGTAACCTTACTGAGCGCTCGAGTAGCGCGTAAGGGATTTAGAAATCCTTCTGCGATGGAGAATTCGTTTTGGAACAAGCTCGATGTAAATAATAGACCCCGTTGGGGGTTAGGATGATAGTTCTGCATGCAGCGCACATGTGTAAATAAGGAGTGTATACTCCAGCAGCGCAGAGATATTCTCTTAAAGAATTTTTACCACACGATCTGGGTATTATTATTTAGCGAACTAATACATTGAAAAAGCCGATCGGCATCACTCCGTATTCCATGTTACACATGTTCCATGACCTTTCTAAACTTTGCGGTCTCCACACCGCAAACGTTGCAAAGGTTATGGAGCAGGTTCTTAATTGTCTGTATGTTCCTGCTCTGGTGAATATAGATGACATATCTTTATATATCCTGGAGATCTCAACTGGTCCGAACCATATTCATGCTTGGAGATTTTTTCTCCTACCCTTCATATTATTTTTAACCAATATTATGCGGCATATTGTTGATCTTTTCCGAGGGGCCACCAGTATGACGCGTCACCAATAGTTGCGTTATTTTTGTGGCCATTTGAAAAAGGTCACCAGCGTCGGCGGTTTCGGAAATCATTTCTTTTTCGGTATGCCCAATACCTACTCGTAGTTTTCTGCTACCCACGAAATTTTCGAGAGCGAGAAATCTTCACTTATGGAGAATTTGTCGCAGACAAATGCTGAGTTTTTGATACAAGAAGTTCAGTTTAGTATTTATTTCAGTAAATTAAATTAAAGATTTTCTCTTCGACTTGAGTTTAGGGAAAGTTTTATTAATGCGGATTTGTTCGAAAATGGGAATAGTGAGGATGACGTTAGCACTCGGCTTGCTAGACTGTCTTCCATGGACGCAAGGAGACAGAAAATCTCAGTTGCTCTGGGATTCACGGCTTTTATGTGCAGAACTACCATTTTAAGGAATTTTTTGCGGATATCATTACACGTACATACAACAACAAAAGTCCAACAACCCTCCCGGAAACAAGACAATAATGCGTTCACTGCACTATGCGCATGATGTCGCGTCCGTTGCTTAGCCCCTTACAGAATTTTAATTCGTCAAGCTTCTTATCCATGCAGTATTATATATTGTGGCAGCAACATATTATTTAATATTGCACATATAGTAAGCTACTAGGATATTTAAAAGGCCACGATATTTGGCAGCTTGATCGTTGACGCAGTGATGAGGGTAGTCAATACTCCGCCTGCATAAAATCAGATTGCCGTGGCCGATATTTTATTCTTCGCTAACACATCAGTGTAACATCAGGAAGAGTGCGATATTCCAGAAGATGCGCAGAGTCAAAACGCGGACTTACATCGAGCATCTGCGGCTTACATCGAAACGAGAAACAGGCGTACCAAGTCCCAATTGGCTGGGCTTCGATGTAAGTCGCTTTTTGCTCGATGTCTGTCGGTAGGCGTCGACGAAAACCGTTACGAACAGGGGCGTACCTTGTAGCGGGTCTAAGCGACGCCCAGGTACTTACAAACTTCGTGTTTCCGCGATTTTTATTGGTGGGTCAGCATTCTGAGTTAGATCGAGGCTGCCCACCGCCAATAGCAAAATTCAAAACCACGTGATCGTTTCTCCATACTTTGGGCTGACAGCGACGGTTAAACAGTAAAACAACAGGGTTTTCCGTCTTTTTTTAAGTTTTTTAAGTTCTTGCCTTCTAGTTTGTTGTTGAAATCAGAAATATGAAACTGATATGCATCTATAGTGCATGGAAGCCTGTGTTCTGGGAATCCAGATAAGACAGTGCAGTATAGTGTTTGGCCAGATGCACTCCTGTTTATACTGATCGCTTGCTACCTGATTATCGTTCAATTTAAAATAATTTGAATCCCACCGCAGCTGACTAGCGTATTACAAATTGATTCCGACTTGCCAAAAGGTCCATGATTCCTTATGGCTGTCTCTAACGATTTGTGGTATACTTGTCATGTATTACTGCCGTCGTATCGCAGGGAACCCTGCGCGCTGGCTACCCAGCTGTGGGTGTTGATTGCAGTGCATTCTGTGCTTGAATTCCTGATCGGATGTAGAAAACCGACTACGATTTATACTCCTGGACAACCCCATTTTTGGTTTTTCGTCCGTATATTTTGACAGAGAATTGTATGTTTTTCGTGACCGTGTGGCGGGTTCCCGCTCTGATCTGGCTACCCAGAAGTATTTTTAGTATATCTTGTTGTATTTTTATGTTTATTTTAGCTTAAAATAATACTGCATAGCAGTACCTTAGCGCGCCTTGTTTTGGTACTTTTAAACAGGTTATGGTTATAATATTATGTCATTGTTTAACTTTTAGAAATGTAGTGCTACAGTTTATCGTTAGAAGCATAATGTCAGCACAGCACGCATATTAACTGTCAGTCTGTATGTGCTGACTGTTGTGCGCATGCGGTCGAGTTTAGCCCGTACATACATACATGCAAGACGCGTAAACGGGCGCGGTTTTGCGTTCGATGTCTGTATGTAAAGGGTGAAAAACGTTGTAAGTAAGTCCCCGAAGCGCCTATGCGCATCTGGTCTATTATGTTGAATTTCTATTATACATACGACTTTCTTACGATAGTCCATGTATACGGCATTCTCTTAACTATTTATTACATAAGCTATCGTAAAGAAGTCGTACGTATATATAGAGCTTAAGGAAACCAATGAATGGAACAGCGGCACTAGTTTTCGTTGTCCAACTCGAACCACAACTCGGGATTGTGGCGTGCTGGCCTCCTGAATGCACCTGCTTATATGGGAAGGTACTGCTTTACAATACGAGCAGAATTGATTAAATTACGTTCCTTGGTTTTAGTATGTGTCGAAGAGCAGAGTTTGGCTTCGTATCCATTTTCGCACCATTCATATAGGCTCATTGACCTCGTTATACCTTGCAATTAAGTCTTCAAAGAACCTTTCTTCTTGTCGGTTTGAACCGTGCGGCGCCGACGTGAAAATATTATGTATATTCCACTTGGCTTTCTCACATTTGGTTAATTGGGAATCCTTCCTTCGGGATTTTGTACAGCTCTTCAGAAGGGAGGTGTGAAGAGCAGCAAATGGGCATAAGGATAGACCGTCAAACCTACAGACACTTCGCTCTACGGAAAATGCCCACGAATGAAAACGCGCCAGTTTCAGCGGCTATCGCTATCGGCACAAGGCGCACTGTGAGTGTTAAGATTACTGCGCTACGAGCAATAAGTCCAATCGTTATCGTTATCGGTAGCATTAACGTGATAACAGAACAGACAACGTGAATAATTGTCTTCGATGCACATTTATGAACTGTGAGCAGAGATGTATTATCCATAAGAACCACAATAATCATCAGTCAAGCTTTCCGAGATCGTTAAGGAAGAATGACAAATGAACACCGCAAAGATGATTTGGACCGTTTTTGTCTTGTTTGTTTTCTCCTCCATGCATCTGTTTGTCGGAGGCGCATTTTACAATTACCGTGCGTAACGTAACAAAATTCTTCTGAGACTTTGTGGCAGACAGTGTTCAGTTAACCGTAATCGATCGTGTTTGCATGGGAGATTTGTTGCGCTAAGTTGTTGGTTTCATAGATGATTTGGGGAGTAAATGCGACGGTGAAGTGAAGATCGAATGTCCTCCATTACTACACGGCCGAGCTGGTACATTTCAGTTGACCAACATTTCACGGTTAACGGGAAACTGCGTCGTCAACGTTATAATGGTACCAGGATGTGCAAGCGAAGTCCAGGATCAGCTGTTCTCCATCTATTTCAGTATTCGGCAAGTGGATGTCAGCTTTCTCTAGAATTCGTGGTGAAAAGAGAAATTATTACGTAAAATGGATATAATATCACACATTCCGTCATCCAGAAAGCTCAATATACCCAGCACCGATCGCCTGCGGATGCATCAGTACGACGAGTGGAACAGCACGCTCCTGCTGAAGGACTTAACGCTATCCTGGTGGTACAATATCAATCCAACGTCTGTGGCTCAAGCTCGCACCAGCTGGAACACTCATCCGCGGGTGCAGATTGAGTATACTCGGGGAATAACCAACGCTACTAGTGCACATCAGATGCTGATCGACTACGTTATTGTAGAATGTACGTGTGCAGATTGAAAAATGTATCTCTACCACGCTACAAGAGATTTAACCCACGTTTCATGGCTTTTTTAGTCAAACGAAGTTCCGGAGTGGAAGGATACCTAAGATCCCCTTGTCCAACCCTGAACGGGTACATTCATAATGATTTCGTCTGCGATGCCGATGGTGTCGTAGATCGGGTGAATTGTCCGGGCTTCTACTACGACAGTATCGGGAATAATCCGGCAATGTCGCGGTACTGTGATACGCGCTATCCTACCACCACGGGCCGCTCGACAACGTACCGCTACGAACCGTGGACGCCTAGTAACATCACCAACCTGTCATCCTTGACGATTTACCATAATAAATGCACGGCACCTTTTTGCAGGTTATGACGATGGGATGGACGCCGGCACGATTGCTGGCATCATCATCGCTGTATTCTTTTTCGTGGTTTTATTGATCTGCACCGTATCGTCCGCAAAGTCCCGGCAGCGCCGCTCCGCTCAACCAACCGTTACACTGAGCCGTCCTACTGCGGGCTGGAGTGGCTCCAGAACAACATCCGAGGAACCGCCGCACCCCTTCATGGGAGCGCCACCTTCGTACGAGGAAGTGACGCGAGGCAATAATGTTGCGATCGCGATGCCGCAGCCAGAGGTGCCGAAATACTGAAGTAACGCTTTATTTGGAATAAAATCAGCCAGTGTCACCATATTACAATTGTGGACCAACTTTTGAGTCAGTCCCGTTAAACATCTGCAACTTCACAGTTTATACTCTGTAAAGCAGATTTAAAAAATGTTGTTGTTATTTGATTCCTGGCTGGTAAGGCTCCCCGCAAAAATGTCAACGTTCTTGCTTAGCAAAGCCTAAGAGTACCATGTAAATATTCCCATTAGCGTGCTGTACTTACTATACTGTGCTTTGTCGGCCGGAAAAATCGTTGCCAAGAAGAGGTTTCTGGCTGTACTTATTTGTGATAAGTTTATTTCTCAGTATGTACAGTACAAAGCGAGCTTCGCTCAACAATAGCAATCAAATGAAGAATTTGTCCCTGTTAACATGAGAAGGGACTGTGCACAACACACTCATAGCATTACCACGCATAATCTCCAAACTTAAACGTTGAAACAAAAAAGAGCGACTTTCGCCCGTCATTAAAAACAACTTCTTACCAATCTCCTTTAACATTACAATGTCATTCGTCTTTCTACAACGTCTTTCTTATAGACCAAACCGAAACTTATCAAAGGTCATATCGGGATTATGACCTTTCATTCTGCTTTGCGGTAGCGTAATGACAAGGCAGCAGTTCTTAGCAACAACAAAACAGTAACGTGGTCTACGCTACTTACTCTTTTGGTTGAACTATCTCCTTGAGCTTCGTCATAAATCATGCGCTCAAGTCCGTGACATTGACAAATATCTGGAAAAGCGTAAAGTATCAACAAATTGCTTCTATTGCAACTTCTGTACTCAATTCTATTACTTATCAGAAAATTATTATTACGTTAGTTGTGAGTCGTGCTCACCGTAAGTGACATATTTGCGGCATAATCAGCGGTTTTTTATATCAGGTTGCGGTGATCGGGAGCTAGGGATGCTTTTTCGTTGCCAGCAATTTACAATTGTACAGCACCGCAGGCTTACCGGTCACCATGCATACCAGTCCCGAATGCATGTCGGACACTCTGCAAAACCGCAAAATTCGAAACTTTGTGACCTGAGCCGTGAGCTGAACAATCATCTTCATGCTGGTAGGACTTTAAGAAAACGTCATGCAGGCACTTTGTAAACCATAAATTCACTACCAAACCCAACTTTGTTTGACCCAGTATATAAGTTCTTACATAGGGACTGCCACACTATCAGAATGGTCATAAAACAGTATACACTATACATAACGGAATCACACATTTCAGCCAAAATGTCAGACCAGCCGCTTTCAAATACTGCACGCCGTTTAACCGCAACTGAGTACCACGTATATTAATTCAAATGATGCTTTACTCCTTACAAGCGCACAGGGGGGATGATATGATGCTTTGTAAAGGCACAATTATAGTCTCAACGACCGTAGATGCTGGATTCTAAAATCATTTGTGCAACATCTACTCGTACATAACAGCAGTGGTACGAAACCGACATTTTCATTCACTCGTACTCGTGAGTTGTTATTAAATGTGATTAATAATTGCTAATACTGAAGAACAACGCTGACGCCTGGCATTTACTTCAAAGCGTTCGTGATCCTGATCAGATAAATTTTTCTTTCTGTCGAAACTGAGCCTGCTTTGACGATTGTAATTAAATTTGATATCAAATAGTCTGAAAGACGAAACTGACCATAAATATAATGGCAGTCTAATTACACTCAAATATCCCATGATATTGTCAGTCTGATTTTGAATGCTGACTAATCCAGACATACACAATTCAATATCTTCTTGCGCTCTCTAGAGTACAGTCTGTAGTTATTGCACCGGTCCCAGCCATTGATGTCTAGCTAGCAAGTTGGCTTTCCGTTTAGACATCAAAAACACTTACAAAAGAGAATACATTAGAAAATAGTCGTGTTCCTTTTGCAAGTATATACCTCGATAATTGCATTTGATTAATTTGGCCTTTCAGCGCATCAAACTGACCGTACAAATAGGTATCTGTAGTACCGTGTCTGTGATAAGCTGCATGTTATGCCCTGTCTGTTAAATGTGGTTATACAGAAGTATTGATATCTTATCCGTATATCAGCGCTGCTTGTAAAAATGCGCTTGTTGATATTATGATTATTAATGCCGTACCGGTATAAATATGATCTACGGGCTGTCCATTAAAATGTGGTCGTCCATCTGAGTGTGTTTGTGGCCAGCGCTATCGCATTACCGCCCCAATACGACAATGTATACAAACACAATTATAAAAATATGATCGATCGGCTGCAGCGCTCTCTCTCTCTCGCAGCCAATGTCATGTGTATCGGCCAATAACGCGGGCTGTTTAATCGGTCGGTCAGCACACTTTACGGCCGTGTCTTCATGCTATCCGGCCGCGGCGTTTCATACAGCGGTACGGGGCCCTTATGTAAACAAACCCATAACAAACCAATAAACTGTCTCAACTGACACCCGCATCATGTAGCCGATTAGGGCCATTAGCTTGTACAGTGGTACTGCACAGATGTTGGCCGGGGGCTCTGCACAACATCCGCCGTTGTACAATAGCGTGGCAGTGATGCGCGGATTATTGGATGCGCCGGCGTTCCACATTCGGTCACACGGGAGATCGTAAACGCCGGTAGTTGCGCTGTGCTTACGTCGCTGTGGCTTAAAGACGACGGCGGCGGCTGTCCGGGGGTTCAGAGAAGAGCGGATTTAGTTTGATGCTGGCGGAAGTTGTATTTTTCCTCCGCCGGAAACTATGGAGTGCCTTCAGGTTATCTTGCTGATTGGTTTAGCGGCATACGCGGCTGCGGCGGCTACCGGTAAGAAACTGAAATTCGTTCCAGTTATTCATGCAATTTCCTGTATTTGATGGCTCTACTCTTTATTCTGTTTTTCGGTGGCCAAGCACCGCTCGATAAATTATTACATTAAATAAACAAATTTTCCGACTTGACCTCAGAAAAATCGTACCGGTTTTCCTTTCGAAGTTATTCGTTTTTCACTATTATTGTAACGTTAGCAGATTTGCTCCGCTGATCTCCTAATCGGAAGAGATTTACTGCAAACGGGAACACGAATTTAATTATGATTAATTATAAATTTTTGCTGAAAATGTACATGTTTAAAAATGTTTTATTTAGACCTTAATTTGTCGCTGATCAGCCCCGATCAGTCAGGAAATGCCGTTCAAGAAACAGTTGATCCAATGGACACCATTATGTCACCGGATGCCAACAACAGCATCTGTGCGACAACGGCTTGCGCCAACACCGGTACTCGAAGACTAATAAAATACCCTAATTGTTTACTATTTAATGCATCAGCAAGCGCAAATCATGGACGCAGCGTTTAAAATCTCTTTCGGTGTTGCAGCTAAAGAGATGCTGAGCTACATGAATCTAACTGTCGACCCGTGTCAGGATTTCTACGAGTACGCTTGCGGACGGTACGGTGAACACCACGAAATCAAACCCGACCAGTCATCCGCCACGCAGTTCTATTACCAAGATGAGAAACTGCTCAAAGAATTACGATGTAATATTTTCGCGGAAGAAATTAAAATCACATTGCTAATTTTGTGGCTTTATGTTCAGCGATTCTGGAGAGTAACGAAACGGAAGCCAGCCACGCGCGTGAAGCAGCACGGCAGCTGTACAAGATCTGCCTCGATAAGGGTAATTATTTGGTTTTATTGCTGTTTTGCATAAGGAAGTTGGCACGTGTCGTTAAGTGCTGGCCATTTCTAACGAAACGGCTAATAAAATTATATGACTTTACCCGGAGACGCTATACGTGCAGCACATTTTTCGCAGATGCTTTACGTAAGAACGGCGTGCAGCCGGTTATGGACATCCTGCAGAAGACGATTGGCGGTTGGCCTATCCTGACACCCAACTGGGATCCCGACGCGTTTGACCTGTGGAAAGCGCTTATTTATTTTGACGAATACGGCTTTGATCCATTGTTGAGTGTATGTATTTGTGTGTCTATAATGTTGACATAGTTTGCAAACGTACGTAAACAGTTTATCAACAGAATTGATGTGCGTGTATGCTTTTAGGTGAGTATCGTTGCTGATCTGCACAATGCCTCCTTTAACCGGCTGTCGATCGGTATTCCCGGTGGATTTAATAAGAATCTGTGGAGCAGTACTGCCGGCAAGAAATACATTGCCACGTATCCCAGTTTTATGTTGAATGTTACGCGGATATTTGCTAATCTTTCATCGGAGCATGGGGATTTTGAGTCGCGGTATAACTGGACGGATATTGAGATCCAGTTGAACAAAACCCAGGATTTCTATCTATTCTTAACCAACGTAAGTCAAAAGCACGAGTTATCATCAGTTCCGTGTAACGTGCTGCATTACGTATATGAAACCTTCTTATGCATATGTTCACGAAAACAAATTTCCGTAAAGCTTGAGCTAAGGCTTATGTGCACTGCGCGTTTCACTTTCGTCGAATAAAATGAAACCATCGTGCTTTGTTGGATACAGTCCAGTTTTTGGCAACTGTTGCTCTTTGTTTGCTTGTCTACCATTTTTTATCGTCAATTTGTTAAATTTTTCAGATCTGTTGATGTCTAATCCTCTGTGTAAACAAAACATATGTACTTGGATTTTCTCTTATTGTGGTGCAAATCTGCAGCTCTCATCTACAAGCTTGGAGCTAAAAGAATTCGAAAAATTCTACAATCTCCATACACTGGCCAATGTGACTTCCAGTTTGTTCTTCCGGTCCAATTTCTCCAAAGGAGTCTTTGGTTTTATCCGTGATTCCCTGACCTTTGGCAGCATGGGCCATCTGGCCAGCGAAGACATGGTCGTTAACATCCCAAAGCCGGCCGCCATGGAGGCTTACGATAAGAAGATGGCGGAGATTGAGAAACTGGGTGTGGAGGGCAAACGCTTCCTGGCTAACCACCTTGGATGGAAGATCGTCGCCGGCTACAGTGCGGATCTTGCGCAGCCCTTATTTGACACTTTCGAGCTGCAGGGTCGGATATTGTCCGGGAAGAATAAGACGGATCCCATCTGGAAGCGCTGCGTGTGGACTGCCGAAGCCTATCTGCCATTGGCAGTGGCATCACTCTATGTGGATAAAGTCCTCGATAAGCATGTCAAGCAAAAGGTAAGTTGTTTTAAGCAAGAAATCTCCATTTAAATTATTCGAGAACACTGTGATCCACAAATTTTTTATTAAATTTCTTTTACTAAGTTTAGTATACTGCCTATTTCGAATAGATTCTCAAATGAAATTCATCAGAAACTGCCGTAAATTCGTTTCCGATTTATAGTTTAGAACAAGCTTGAGGTTTAGGATAGTCCCATGCTTGTATTGGCCACTGATAAGTGTCATGGGTGATGTTGGGCGCTTTTCTGTAGTTTTTCCGACATCTGCCCATGATTTCATAGTATTACATCACATTGGTTTATTTGCCAAAAAGTTGTAAACAACTACTGCACAAACTTTATTTTGCGCATTGATGCTTCGATGTTTGTACTTTATAGGTCTCGGATATGGTTATAAATATCCGCACTTCATTCACGGAACGCCTAAATAGCGCCGACTGGATGGACGCCGAGACACGCGCACGCGCCCTGGAGAAGCTGCACGGCATGCTAGAGTTTAACGTCTACCCGGCATTTTACGCGCTCAACATTTCCCTCATTGAGGAGATGTACGAGAACGTGAGTAAATATACAAATCAGTTCATAGACCAGTCATGTCGTGTGACTGGCGAAAGCCTTTGTAGGTTACGGTCGGCGAGGGAATGTTTAACACATCTCTGGAGTTGAATCGCGAGAGCAATATTCGGCGAACACAGCGTTTGGATAAAGTCAATACGCGGGAGTATGTTCTGGATCGCCTGTATACCGTGACAACCAATGCACAGTATATGCCGACATACAACATCATAGGTAAAGTATATCGCAATGCAAATCGCACTTTATAAAGCACTCGCACTTTAAGTATATCGCACTTTATAAAAAGTTAAAGGAATACAAATCTCATCTAAAATAAAAATGTCCCATACAAATCTCATTTAAAATAAAAAATATCATCTTATCACATACCCAAAAATAATATAATTTCAGCAATTTTCGCGGGTGTCTCGCAGCCGCCGTTTTTCGACGTGGATATTCCGGATTATTTTAACTACGGCAGTTTGGGCCATGTTATTGGACATGAGATTACACACGGTTTCGATGATCAAGGTTTGCTTGGCTAAAAGGCGCTTTGCTCAAGTTTGTGTACCATACTATCTAAACGTATCGCATGAAATGCAGGTTCGAAATTTGATGAAACCGGAAAAATGTTCAATTGGTGGAGCAATTCATCGCGGAAAGCCTTTGACAGCAAAGCCTCTTTGATTGTGGAGCAGTACAGCCAATACAAAACACCTTTCGGCAATATCAACGGAAATCTGACGTTGTCGGAGAATATCGCTGATGCCGGTGGACTAAAGACCACATTCAATGTGAGTTCAACGTCGCACTCGCCATCACAATGTTTATTTTGATGTTTATTCTTGTAGGCTTATCAACTACACTTACATCACAACGGCAGTGACCTTCATTTGCCAGGACTGCAGAATCATACGAATAACATGATGTTTTTCTTATCAGCTGCTCAGGTAACTTACTTTGCAATAACTCTTCAAACAGCAATGCACGATAAAAAGCAAAAATGTATTATTAAAAATCGGGTATAAAAAACCCTCCGCAAACTGAAATTCATATACTGGACCAATTTTTATAGGTATGGTGTGGTTTACAACGGCCGGAAAGGGAACAACTGAACCTGGTCAGCGATCCGCATACACCGCGTCGCTGGAGAGTCAATGGAGAGATGGCCACGTTCAGGGAGTTCGCCAAGGCCTACAACTGTCCGGCGGACAGTGCCATGATTTACAATCAATCTAATGGCCTTTGGCGATAGCCGGTACCCGTGATGAATTACACTGACTGTTGTTCTCTTATAATTATGCAATCTGTTGAAGCTGCTAAATGTTGAATTAATAATTTAATCGCCGTACCAGTTGAAAGCATTTCTTTAGTCAAGTTATTAAAATGCAAATACATTTACTTTTTTTTGTCAAAATAAACCATTTTAGACATCCTGGAGTGACAATGTTTACCTGTGATTACGTAGTACGTACCGTACATTCTTGTACATCAGTAGAACGCTATACGCTGAACGCTATACTCCTACTTTACGCAATGCGAATGATAACATTCACTGCACATGCAGAATAATAAACCAGCAAAGGTAACAACAGTTTGAATGTTATCGACGATAAGCGTAATAATGGACAGCATGTGGAAGCCACACGTTATTGGGTTTATCGAACTGACTCTTTGTGGCAGTTTTTGACATAGTCAACATCATAAGCGTGCAGCTAGTGGTCACCAAACTGAGCGTACGACGATATCCGTCGTTTTGCTCTTCAAAAGATTCGTGACTAGTTCTAACAAGCCTTTGCAAACTTATAAGTGTATTCAGCATCTCGGTAAGTTGGTAACAATGGGCGACGTATTCGTTGGACTTCTTGTTATTGTCCTCTTTAGCACTGGCAATGTGCTTTCCGCTGATCATGGTCATCATGGTAAGATCAGTTGCTTTGACAAGCAGGTTTTTTTACGACCAAGAGGCAGTGATCCGTAAGAATGATAATGCCCGTAGATGAAGATGCGCAGGGATTCATGCACCATCTGAGCCATACAGCCATCGGCGCCATCGCCATGTCCGTAACTATCGTGGTGCTTCTGTTGGCTACGGGGATTGGACTCTGCTGTCGCAAGAGACGACGTCGGGTGTACCATGAGAAGCAGCTCCGACGAGCTTTACTGCGGCGCTCCATTTCTGTTGTTGTATAGAGCTGCCTTTTTCTGCTTTTCTCATGCACATAAATATTCAGTAAAAAATGCTTTAGTACTCGTATTATAGTATAAATGGGTGGCTAAATAAATACATCGAACTTCACAAATATTCGGAGTTTTAGTCTGAAGATTTCTTGCGGTTATCTTCAGTGTGTTTTGGTTCCGTTTCATACTGCAGAGTAACTGGAACAAATTTTTCGTTCCGAAGATTTTAGTGCAAGGCGTTGTCTTTTCTTAAATGTCCTGAATAAAGTCTACGGTGTCAACACACAAGAAATGAAATATAATTTCATAATCATAAAAGGTTTATCTTTACTTGATAGTAAATATAAGAAGTCTTTAAAAGATTTCTAAAAAAGGATATTATGGTTTTTTTTACTGCTCTATATATCTGCGTCATCTGGTAATTATAAACCATGAACGATTAAACCTGTTGCTTTCACCGATAGAGCGGAAACGGTACATACTTTGTATGCTCGCTCACGATGTTTACGTTCTCTATATTACCATTGACAGTTGAACGACAACACTTTCTTTAAAGCGCAAGTTTGCCAGAAGGCACGTTCATCTGGCCTTCCTGCAAATGCAACTTTCGGCAACCAAAACAAAGAACGCAGACAGGTTTACTCGTTCAATACCTAAAGAACGGAATCCGTTAAGGAAGTGACTTACTCGACCGTTTCCAGGATACAGTGAAACTCTTCTAAAACTGCAAATCGTGCGCTCCTGGCATATCGTGACTAACAATTCTCCTGGTGTGTTCGGTATAAAAACGTAATCGCGTCGGCTATTTACTTGGTAAATACATTCCGTTAGTGGCCTGAAAGTTAAGAAAAAAGGCGATGCATTTAAAGATAAAGGCGCAATAATGCCATGACACATTACGCCGAAGCTTGACAGGGATACCCAGATTATTGGCTTGCGCCAGCGTTCCACATTCGGTCACGGGAGATCGTAAACGTCGCTGTTGCGGTGCGGTTGCATAGTTGTGGCTTAAGAAACGAGTTCTGCCGTCCGGGGCTTCAGCAGACAACCGCAATCAGTTGAATCTGGCAGGAGTTGTGTTTTTTCTCTACCGGAAACTATGGATTGTCTTCAGAGCTTCCTGTGGACTGTCTTAGCAGCGTATGCGGCTTCGACGAGTTCCGGTGAGAAACATAAGCAGCGCAAGCTTTCGTAAATTTATTTCCTTCGAAGTTAGATATTTTTTTATTTTTTTTGAAGCCTAAATAGTAGTTAATACTGGAGTCGGAATATTCTGATACGGTATGATTACGCCAATGTTCCCGTCGGAAGCACAGTACTGTCTTGCCAAAACCCAAAACGGCTGCTCACTTTCATATTTTAATTTTAGTTTAGCAGCTGTAAATTTAATTAAATTCAAGACATTTCTCTTCAGACCTGGATTTGTCGCTGATCAGTTCCGATCCGACAGGAAATGCAGTGGATGAGTCGGTGGATCCCGTGAAGACCATAATGTCACCGCATGCTGACAACAATATTTGTGCGACACCGGCTTGCGCAAACACCGGTAAATACGTATATTACCAATAACTGGTATACTACCAATAACTGCACTGGATATCACATTTTATACAGCTTAGGACAAAATGGTCGCATACCCAACATCTCCACATTCAGTACGAATGCAGCGCAGTGCACTGTACGACTGAGTTCAAAATATCCGTTTCGTACAAGTGCACTGCACCGCTTGCGTACAGAATGCTGGGTATGGGGCTGTGCGACCATTTAGTCCTACATTGTAATTTTTATCGGTTTGCTTTTCGCTTCATTCACAATAAGCTTTAATAAACAGAAAATCGAATAATGACAGCCCAGAGAATGATCGTAGCTCATTCACAGAGCCCTCGGTGTTGCAGCTAAAGAGATGCTGAACTACATGAATTTAACTGCCGACCCGTGTCATGATTTCTACGAGTACGCCTGCGGCCGTTATGGTGAACAGCATGAAATTAAATCCGATGAGTGGGCTGTCGACCAGTATTATTATCAGGACGAAAAATTGTTCCAGGAAAAACGATGTAAGTCCATTTTTGCAAAGGAGCTGATTATAGTGCTGATTTGCGAATGCATGTTCAGTGATTTTGGAAAGCAACGAAACGGAAGCCAGCCACGCGCGGGAAGCAGCACGGCAGTTATACAAGATGTGCCTCGATACAGGTATAGAACACTCATTTTTACTGCTGTTTTGCATAAGGATGTTTGGACGTTGCACCAGTCATGGAGTGCTGACAGTTCCCTGGGAAACGGCTAATAAAATTACTCGAAAGCCGATGATGCTGAAGATGCAGCGTACTTTTCGCAGATGCGTTACGAAAGAACGGCGTGCAGCCGGTTCTGGATATCCTGCAGAAGACAATTGGCGGTTGGCCTATCCTTACTCCCAACTGGGATCCCGACGCGTTTGACCCGTGGAAAGCGCTGACTTATTTGGATCAATACGCGTTTTATCCGTTGTTGGGTGTATGTAATCCTTATGATTTCTCGTACATTTTTGGCACAAATTCATACCGGCTCGCATACGGACAGAACTGATGTCTGTTATTTAGTTGAGCATCGCGCCTGATCTGCGCAACACCTCCTTAAATAGGCTGTCAATTGGCTTTCCCGATGGAATTAGTAAGTCCTACCTTATTGCCGCCGTGAAATACAATACATTGTATTCCAATCTTATGCTGAATGTCACACGGATATTCGCAAATCTGTCAACGGTGAATGGAGATTCCGAGTCGCGGTATAACTGGACGGATATTGAGATCCAGCTGCATAAAACCATGGATGTTTTATACTTCTTAAGCAGCGTAAGAAAAAATACAGAGAAAATTTATTATAGTTATAACATACTTAGCAAGACATAATCTACGCACCGCGTGGCTTCAATTCCGAGGATACCGCTGGTATCTCAGCGAACAACAGGAGCTTATTAACGCAAATATTTTTCGTTTGAAGTTCTATCCAAACACCACCGAACTGCTAAAATTCGAAAATTTCTACAACCTCCGAACATTGGCTAATGTGAGCTCCAGTTTGTTCTTCCGATCCGATTTCTCCGATGGCCTCACTGATTTTATTCGCAATTCCCTGTCCGTGGGCGGCATGGGCCATTTGGTTAGCGAGGACATGGTCGTTAACATCCAAAATCCAGCCGCCATGGAGGCTTTCGACAAGAAAATGGCAAAGACTGAGCAGCTGGGCGTGGAGGGCAAGCGTTCCTTGGCTAACTACCTCGGGTGGAAGATCGTCGACAGTTACAGTCCGCATCTCGCACAGTCACTCATTGACGAGCTGGAGGTGCAGCAGGGACAGATTGCCGGAAAAACTCAACACTTTAAGACGGAACCCATCTGGAAACGTTGTGTACGCACAGTCGAAACTTACCTGCCGTTGGCCCTGGCTTCCATCTATGTGGATAAAAAACTCGATAAACGGGTCAAACAAAAGGTGAAAAAGTAGAAATCTTGTGGTTTTAGTTTACTAGAGGTTAGTTATAATCTGTTCGAGCCTTACTATTTGAATCAATAAATTTTGCAGCAATTTCCTATCAAACTTCTTTGATAAGTTTTACAGTCTCAAACCAGTCTCAAACTGCTTTCGGTAAAAAATTTTCAGAGATGCTGATGTCACGAGGAAGGTCTAGCACCCCCTCGAAATACAGATAAATCTGGAGGTGGGAGAACACGGGTCTCCCACAAAAGAAGAGTTTATTGCCCAAAAAGGGAAAAATACAGAAATAGGGGAAAATGGATGCAATAAACTGCCCATTGCCACAGGCAATGCATGAAATCTACATCAGCAGCCACCTAGGGCGGCTGCTCCATACATCAAGCATACACCGTGAGACACTGATCAAAACGATGACTATATTTATAGTTTCATGGTTGAATGGTCACTATTATGATCATCGTTTGGCACTGCATTAAAATTTTTTGTTGCAATGCCTATTTTGGCTTGCTTTCCTAGAACTTCTAAACAAAACTCACAGAAACGCTTTCTGATGCATTGAAGTTTCGATGTTGCTAGGTCTCGAACATGGTCATTAACATCCGCACTTCATTCGCGGAACGTCTCAAGAGAGCCGACTGGATGGACGCCGAGACGCGCGCGCACGCCCTGAAAAAGCTGCACGGCATGCTGGAGTTTATTGTGTACCCGGAATTTTACGTCCACAACATCTCTCTCATTGAGGAGATGTACGAGAATGTGAGTGGAAATAACAGTAGGCTCATACAGCGGCAATGGCGATCTGTCGTATGACCTGGGAAACGGTTGTAGGTCACCGTAGGTGCGGGAATGCTTAATATGACGCTGGAGTACATGCGCGAGGTTAGCATTCGGCAAAAGAAGCGACTGGGCCAAATCAACACGCGGGATTACAGAGTGTACGTGCTCGATCGCTTGTACACGGTGAAGACCGAAGTCCAATATGCGCCGAGATTCAACGACATAGGTACGAGATAATATTTTCAGATTTTGATGACGAAATAAAGAACGTCTACATAGAAAAAGAAATTAAAGATAAAAAAAATTTAATTTTTTGAATCTAAAAATAAAATTTTATTTTCAGACATTTATGCCGGCTTCGCACAACCCCCTTTCTTTGATGTTGATACTCCGGATTACCGTAATTATGGGAGCTTGGGTAAAACAGTTGGGCACCAGATGACGCATGGTTTTGATATTCAAGGTTTGCTCGTCACAACTGACGTTTCGGCAAATGCTTGTCTAGTGAATTAAGCGGTTTACAACAGGTTCGAAATTCGATGAGACGGGGAGTTTTTACAATTGGTGGAGTGATTCGTCGCGAAAGGCATTTGACAGCAAAGCCTCGTTGATTGTGGAGCAGTACAGTCAGTACCAAACACCTTTCGGCAATATCAACGGCAACCTGACTTTATCGGAGAATATCGCTGATGCCGGCGGACTAAAGACTGCATTCAATGTGCGTTCACTCTTGTCAACTTCGCCATCAAAACGATTATTTGACTTTTTATCGTTGTAGGCATATCAGCTACACTTGCAACACCATGGCAGTGACCTGCATTTGCCGGGATTGCAGAATCACACGAATAATATGATGTTTTTCTTATCAGCTGCTCAGGTAACTAACAAACTTTTTATGCAGCGACTGGCTTTATACCAAAAATCAGATTGAAAGCCCCACTGCAAACTAAAATGCATACGGTATGCAAAACCAGTTTTTATAGGAGTTATGTGGTTTACAACGGCCGGAAATGTTGAAATATACCCTAAAGTACGATCTACACACACCGTATCGCTGGAGAGTCAATGGAGAAATGTCCACGTTCAAGGAGTTCGCCAAAGCCTACAACTGTCCAGCAGACAGCCCCATGATCTATGATAAGTCTAACGGTGTGTGGTGATGACCTGTGCCGGTGACATTTCCCACTGACTGTTATTCTCCGGTTGTAGTCAGTTAATGCAGCCGAGTGTTCGATTAATAACTTCTCGCTGTAGCGGTTGAAAGTATTTCTTTAATAGAGTTAGTAACATAATATTATATGGTGCTTTTGATTCGATGAAATATCACTTGTTACAAGTATAAATGTGGCTATATAACTATCCGGGATGGTGGGCGATAGTGAAAGATGGCACTAATACTAACCAACTATACTCGCAAAAAAAATAGCAGCTAGTGGCAACTCTTTACTGATGAAAAGTCCAAATGAACAGAGCGCCTTTTCTGGCGGCATCGCAGTGCTGCTTACATACTCTAAGCATCAGGGATAGAAAATCTGAATCAGTATAAAAACAATGAAGAAAGATCTAGAGCATGATTTAACAATAGGGTGTGGCTCGGGCGTAACAATAGAAAATAAGCATACAATGATGAATCATATGCAACTAGCGCATTGATCCATATTGTATGATGGCAACAGTTAAAGAGCAGCTATTAATTGCTTTAGCTACTCTATTTTAAACGCTTCGATGGTCATATAATTACGCAGCAATATTTCACCTATGACACACTTTGAGTTTGGTCATAGTCTAAGGGATATGGCAAATTCTTGCGTACGGTGTAATGTTGTAGTTATCGGGCAGCTGCTCTCGTGGAACCGTTTAGCGTTAAAAGTCAAAACCACATACCTCACGCAGTCAGATGGCATGCCAGAAGGCACGTCCGTCTGGCCTTCCTGCAAATTTCGGCAACAAGGGTTAACAATTCTAGACAGATTTATTCGTTCAATACCTATAGAAAACGGTCTCCGTTACGGAAGTGGCTTGCTCTTCAGGAGGTACGCTCCGGGCAGTTCGTGACTGGAACATTTTTCCTGGTGTGTTCGCTATAGAAACCGTGATCGCTAACCGTGATCGCTTCGACGAGCTATTCACTATGTACAGTAAATCTGTACGTACATTCCGTTACAGTGAATGAAAGGTAAAAAAATGACGATGCATTAAAGGTATACAGTACAATTGGCATAATACATTACGTCGAAGCGTGATATTGACGCTCGGATTACTGAGTGCGCCTGGTTTCCACAGTCGGTCACGGGAGATCCTAAAAGTGGGTAGCTGCGTTTAGGTTACGAATTTCTGGCTCGAAGACAGTTTCTTCTGTCCGGGCGGTCAGCAGAATAACCTATTCCGATTTATCCGGCGGAAGTTGTATTTTTCCACCATCAGAAACTGGATTGTCTTCCCGGTATCCTCTTGACTGCTTCGGCCGCATATACTGCTTCGACGGGTAAAGGTGTGAAACTGGTATTAGCACAAACTTTCCGCACATTTATTTCTTTGGAAACCAGATTCTTTTTCTTTCTGTTGTTTCGAAACTTACCATAGAATTTAAAACTGGAGTCGGAATATAGTGATGTACTATGCTTGCGCCACTGTTCTCTATGGGAGTACCGTGACTTTTCCTGAATAAAAAACGGCAGCTTTCTGTTTAAATTTAGGTTGAAGGCTTCTACGCGCAAGAAGACTATCGCTTCGCATTCGACAACTTCGTCGGTGTTGCTGACGACAACCACGTTTTCTATGGATGATAGCTGGACAGCGGAAGCAAGATGCTGCGGGTTGGAGCTAAAAGTGTCGACGTTTCTCATTTTTCGGGACGGTGGATGCTGGACGTTCTGGAAACTGCATGCACTGTCGGTATGCATTCACAAAAGCCCACTTGCAGAGTACAACAACCGTTACAACGCCTGGATGCACGAAGCTTTTGCCATAAATTTTGCCGGTTGCTCATGTTACGTTTCCTAAGTATTTTTTAGTAGGAATATGTCCATTCCTGTGCGTTGACAGATTGAAGTGCAGCGTTTTTGACATTTTTGTTTTCACATTACGAATATTCAACAGGTTCGTTAAAAAATGGTGGGCACTACGCGTAAAGTGCTCGCAAAATAATTTTTGAAAAAATACCACTTCCAGGTTTCTAGGTACACTACCAGAATTATTTTTTTTTTCGCGATCGTAACAAACCGGCATTCATTTGTACCCTTTCGTTTAACTAATGGACCTCGCTACGCTCCGGTCGGGCATATATTTGACAAGCTTACGTAGCTAATGATGACGGAATATGGTGTACAGTAGCAGCGATGTACGTACTTCTGTATATCTGTACTCGTACTTTTCGGCTATATTTTTGTACTTTCTCGCATTTTCTCTTTTGTTTTGGGATATACTTTTGGCTTTTCTAAGCGGACGCACTTTGCGTCTATATAAGTCCGAGAGTTGCAGTTCATTTAGGAGCAGTTCTCTCATTACGAGTTTTGGCAGTTTCGGAGATATAATTAAAATTATCGTCGGAGATGCAGTTCTCGCTTCGCGTAGATTCGTAGACTTAGCTATGCCACATTGAGATACCAGCTCATACTCTGTCGTTGAGTAGGTCGGTAGGATAGATTATTTACGGTAATTATTCCTATCGTACTGATCTCTCCGTCAATGACAAAACTGTCTGATAAAAGTCTTCTTGTCAAAACGGTCGCGCGGCGAAATGCTTCGGCTTCGAAACGGCCTTGCGACTAGATGGCTCGCGGCATGATGTCCTGCCGACACAATGTTCCGCGGCTAAACTTTGTTGCAACTTGCAACGAGATGACCTTGCGGTGAAATGTCTGCGACCAAATGTTCTGCGACTTGGTTGTCCTCCGCAGAACGTTGGGATGCCGAGAATGTCAAAGTACTATTGTAAATAACTTGATCACTGATGAAATCATACAAAATACAAAAGGCCCTTAAAGCAGGTTTTCAGAGAGTTTGCCTAACCTATCCGGTAACAACAGACTTTTAGCAAAATCTGTGATTTTCGCAGAGAAACTTGATTTCGGTACTCAGAAAATGCGCGCTATGTATGGTCACACTTTTATACTAGCACTGCTAGTGGAACGCAGAATTTCATTCGAGCCGGAAGGCATGTTTCGTCTGGTCGTTCTGCAACTGCCGGCAAGCAGGGCATACAATGTACCTGTATGTAGATAGGCTTACTCATTCAATACCTAGAGTACCGAATCCGTGACGGAAGTGACTTGCTCGGCGGTTTTCTAGGATACATCGAATCTCTGCTGCGAAACTGTAAACGGTACACTCCGGGCTCGTGCGTGACCGGAACATTCTTCCTGGAGTATTCGACTTTGTTACGTGTTAGGAACTCAGTACTGCATTCCGTTAAAGTAGCTGAAAGGTATAAAAAAAATGCCGACGCATTTAAATATAAAGACAAATGTCCGGTAGATCGTTGTTATTTTTCCTGTTGGTTTTCGAAACTTCTGAGGCTTGGTGAAAGGCGTCTGCTTGTTTATTGAAGGAAATTGGAAAAAAGTTCTGTAACCGAATGAGAGAAAGCCGCTCCACTTGTTTTCTTTTTCAAGGTTGAAGTCGTCTAAATTAAAAGTGGTGATGCTCGAACTGTGCTTGGGAAAAGCGTCTTCTTAACACGTTAATTGGACTGAATTTTTCATTTAGATGTTGGTAATCCAGACGCAGCTACATTTATAAACGAACAGAATAGAGTCGGTAATTATACAAGGGCGTAATACTGCAGTACTCTGAAGCGTGGAAGTGTTAAACGGATTACTGGACGCGACGGCGTTCCGTATTCGGTCAAACGGGATCGTAAACGCCGGTAGTTGAACTTCGTTTACGACTTTTGGCTTAGCGACCTCGTGCTGTCCGGGAATTTCGGAAGACGGATTTATTTTGATTCGGGCAGAAGTTGTATTTGTTCTCCACCGGAAATTATGGAGTGTCTTCAGGTTATCCTGTTGATTGGTTTAGCCGCGTATCGGGTTTTGGCAGCCTCCGGTAAGTTATTGAAACCAACGCAAGCTTTTCATACATTCGTGTACATTTCATTCGAAGCTAAATTATTCTCCTTTCTGCTATTTAGAAACTTGAAAAGGTATTAATACCATATTCGAAAAATAGAATGTGCTTTGGTGGCGCCAGTCTTTTGGTCGGAAGCCTAGTAATTTAACCCCCAGGATAAACATCTGTTTAGTTGTTAATATGTTTGAGCAGCTGTTTGTTGAATTCACTTCCGTGCTTTTCTGTTCAGTCCTTGATTTGTCGCTGATCAGCTCCGATCAGACCGGAAATGCAGTGAACGAGAGGGTGGATCCGATGAAGACCATTATGTCACCGCATGCTAACAAGAGCATTTGTGCGACAACGTCCTGCGCAAACACCGGTACATACGAGTACATGAATTACTCATGCTTGCATTATAGTTATATTACATTAATTTTATTCCACTTTTTGGTTTGCTTCTCACTTCATTAACAAAAAGTTTTCTTAAAAAGATTTATGAAACCCGTGAGCAGTGCAAAGAATGCCTTTCCATGTTGCAGCCAAAGAGATGCTGAGCTACATGAATCTAACTGCCGACCCGTGTCAGGATTTCTACGAGTATGCCTGCGGACGTTATGGGGAACAGCATAAAATCCAACCCCATGAGTCAGCCATCGACCAGTTTTATTATCAAAGCGAGAAGCTGTTCAAGGAAAAACGATGTACATAACTCCATTATTGCAAAACATTAAATTATGGTACTGATCTGCGATTGTATGTTCAGTGATCTTGGAGAGTACCGAAACCGAAGCCAGTCACGCGCGGGAAGCAGCGCGACAGTTGTACAAGATGTGCCTCAATACAGGTGATCAAATAGTCAGTTTTATTGCTGTTTTACATGAGGAAGCTGGAACATCGCATGGGTCATTAAGTGCGGACTATTTCCTTGGCTTGGACCAATAAAATTATAGCATTACTGCTAAGTGCTTAGGGTTCTACAAGCGAACTGTTAATAGGTTCTTTAAATAAAAATGGCGTACAGCCAGTTCTGGATATCCTGCAGAAGGCTATTGGCGGTTGGCCTATCCTGACATCCAACTGGGATCCCGATGCATTCGACCCATGGAAAGCACTGATTTATTTGAACGAATACGGCTTTGATCCGCTCTTGAGTGTACGTATTCTATGGTGTCTGGTAGACTGGTACATTATTGACACAAATTCACATAATATGCCCGAAATCGAGAGGGTCTGTGTTCTTTAGCTGAACATCTATGCTGATCTGCGCAACTCCTCGGTTAATCGGCTTTCTATTGGCTTTCCGGTAGGACTGCAGAGCTGGGGCAGTGCTGCCGGCAAAAAATACACTGCAACGTATGCCAGTTTCATGCTCAATTTCACACGAATATTTGCAAATCTCTCCACGGTTGATGGGGATTTTGAGCCGCGGTATAACTGGACGGATATTGAGGTCCAGCTGAATAAAACCATGGACTTCTATCTCTTCTTAAGCACCGTAAGGCAAAGATGCAGAGAATTTGTGCTGATTACGTACTGTACTTATCCAGACTCCAGAGGCTTTCCGGATTATGTTAGTTTAGGAAATAAAAGGATCACAGTACGATTAACTGCAGACGAAGTAATTAAACTGACGGACTTAGTTCTATTTCCACTTTCTTGATTTGCGCTCCGGTAGCTAATGAATGCACTCCGGTTTTCGTTAGAATAAATTTTTATCGTCAGTTTCTTTACTCTACGCGAATGTTGAGTAAGAAACCTAAGAAACAGATTTATCTAAATATTTCAACGTTTGAAGCTCTATTCAAGCACCTTGGAGTTGAGAAGCGAAAAATCCCATAACCTCCTAACATTGGCCAATGTGAGCTCCAATTTGTTCTTCCGCTCCGATTTCTCCGATGGTCTCACTGATTTTCTCCGCGCTTCCCTGACCTCGAGCGGCCTGGCCCATCTGGTCAGCAAGGACCTGATCGTTAACATCCCGAAACCGGCTTCCATAGTGGCTTTCGATAAGCAAATGGCAAGGATTGAGCAGCGGGGCGTGGAGGGCAAACGCCTCCTAGCCAACCATCTGGGATGGATGATCGTTACCAAATACGGTGTGGATCTCTCGCAGTCACTGTACGACACGTTCGAGATGCAGAAACGGATAATTTCCGGGGAAAGTCAGACGGATCCCTTATGGAAACGCTGTGTACAGAAGGTCGAGACCTATCTGCCGCTGGCCCTGGCGTCACTGTATGTGGATAAAAAACTCGATAGACATTCCAAGCAAAAGGTAAACAATTAAAATATTGTGTTGTTTTGACTAGCAGCTAGAAACTGTTCAAGCCAAAACATTTTAAGTAATCACATATGCTGTAATGCAGTCAGTTCATATCAGGTTTGTTTTTCCTAAGCTTTGCAACAACAGCCTCAAAATGTTGGCGGTATAAAATTTTTCACTGATGAAAGGGCTGGGCTAGGCTCGCACAGACACTCGCAAAAAATCTGCCGATTGAGGGAATCGAACCCACAACCTCCATACTCTTAGGCCGAGAGAGGCACCACTAGGCTATCGGCAAAGCATACAAATCTAATGAAATATTCTATGGAACGATCCTATAGAGAGCGGATGCCGCTCTGACACTGAGACTCGATTCTCATGGTCTACAGTGACTCAGTGAGTAAAGTTTTAGTATAGTGTCCTTATTGCAGTCTCAGGGTTGTATTGATACCATTGGACACAGCTTTAAACATTTTAGTACACGAATCATTTTTCTTTACATTATTTTAGTTTACTCTCCTAAAACTTGTCAACAAAATTTGTAAATGTTGATGCGAAAAAATTTCGATATCAAAGGCTGCGCACGCAGATAAAGCTAGTGCACGAAGTAAAAGATAGTGTACGCTGTACACTATCTTTTACTAAATTGCTAACCGTTCCTTGTCCGTATCCTGTACAGATAGGGAACGGTTACCAATTTTTGTTACCTTGGTAAACAATTTTGTTTTAGCTAATTTTTCATGGCCAAGGACTTATAAACAAAGTTCGCAGAAACGTTTCCCCGTGCATCCACGCTTTGATGATGATAGGTATCGGATATGGTCACAAACATCCGCAAATCATTCGCGGAACGCCTAAAGAACGAGAACTGGATGGACGAACAGACGCGCGCACGGGCCCTGGAGAAGCTGCACGGCATGCTGGAGTTTGACATCTACCCGGAATTTTACGTTCAAAATATCTCCCTCATTGAGGAGATATACGACAATGTGAGTAATTAGGCTCAAACACCGGCGATGCAATGGACGTGTGACTTAAGGAAACGTCTGCAGATTACCATCGGTGAGGATATGTTTAATACGTCGCGAGAGTTGAGCCGCGCAAACAAAATTCGGCAGACGAAGCTCCTAGATAGAATCAATACGCGGGAATACGTACTGGACCGCATGTACACCGTAACTGCCAATGCACAATATTCCCTGGTATTCAACCTCATAGGTACGAGAAAACACCATGAGATGCTATGGCAAAATAAAGGTTACATGAAAAATGTTGTTCAACTTGGGAAAAACCTTTTTATATAAAGCAAAAGTATTAGTTTTTCAGAAATTTTTGCCGGAGTCTCACGACCACCATTTTTTAACGTGGATGTTCCGAATTACTCTAACTACGGTGCTTTGGGATTCGTAATCGGACACGAGATAACACATGGCTTCGATATTTTCGGTTCGTTAAACATAACACCGTTTTATTCCAAAGCTTTGTGTGCGGCTATAATTTAACCATTGCACAATAATGTGTAGGTTCAAAATTTGATGAGACAGGAAAGATGTTTAACTGGTGGAGCAATTCATCGCGACAGGCATTCGACAGCAAAGCCTTCTTGATTGCTGAGCAGTACAGCCAGTACAAAGCACCCTTCGGGAATGTCAGCGGCAATCTGACTCTATCAGAGAATATCGCTGATTCCGGCGGGCTGAAGACCGCATTCGATGTGCGTCAAGCGTAATAGCAGCATTGCGAGTAAAATGATTAACACGATTCGTTCCACTGCAGGCATATCAGCTGCACTTAAATCACCATGGCAAGGATCTGCATTTGCCAGGACTGCAGAACCATACCAATAATATGATGTTTTTCTTGTCAGCTGCTCAGGTACAGTGAGCCTCTAGTCTGCCTAAGGAATACTATATTGTAACGCGATAAACTATGCTATAAGGTCGTTCTTCTTAGGTGTTTTGTAGCACACAACGACCGGAAGTAGATTATTTATCCCTAAGTGATCTCCATGCACCGTATCGCTGGAGAGTGAATGGAGAAATGGCCACGTTCAAGGAGTTCGCCAAGGTCTACAACTGTCCAGCGGACAGTCCCATGATTTACAATAAGTCTAACGGTCTGTGGCGATAGCCGGTACCGGTGATGAAGCGCACTAACCGTGCTCTCCAGTTATGTAACCTCCTAAGCTGCCAAACGCTGATTCAAGAATCTATTTGACTTGTGTACTAGTTGAAAGCATTTTTTTACTTAAACACTTTTTTACTTATTTAATATACCGTTTTATTTTGTCCCATTAAATCAATGGGAAATCATGAGAAGCAGCTCCGACGCGCTTTATTACGCCGCTCGGTTTCTTTCATTGTCCAGAGCTTTCGGTGTGTCTGTTTTCTCATGAACATAGAACTGCTCTCATCGGCATTGCATAGCAATATTGAGCGGTAAAAAAGTACCTAATTTATTACTATGAAATAAATGCGCCGAATAAATCCTGAACTAAGCAATGTGTCCTTATAGTTATTTTCTCAGCCTTAGTTGTCCATGAGCCGTTTTTATTAACAAGATTTGGGAAAATATGATGCCGGTCACTTCGTATACAAATATGACATTGACGTTTAACAGGAAGTAACACAGCTGGATAACACCGACCAACCGGCTCATGGTTGATCGGCTTCCGTAAGGAAGCAGACCAAATAACAGTTTGTACATCAGTACCAATGATTTTCGTATTCGGCAAAACAACAGCGATTTATGCATGTGAAAGCGAAAGCATTGGAATACTGCAAATGCGGTCAAGCGTTACTTTGGCCAATGGTTGGGAAATGTTCACCGGCTTCATGTTGACTGCCTACTGCCTTTTAACGGACGCGTGAAGGGAGGTCTTTCGGGTTTGTAACAAGCTGATCCATTTATAGAGCTCCAGAGGAGCTACGCGCACAACGTCCATCTCTTCGCGTTCTACAACTTCGGTATGGCCGACGACAGCCGTGTTTCCTGCGGGGAACCGTTGGATGCCGTACGTGACTGGATATAACGGAATTTTGGACATAGGTTGTTTGTTAGTTCCGGTCAACCTCAGGTTTCAGGACTAATATGCATAGGTTTGGCGTGGTGACATCCACTTGGCTACTGTTCCCTCAAACGCGAACCGGGATAGTGCTTTTTATCTGGCTTTATTGGTGTTTCCTGCGATCCTATCTTTTCCAAACTCAAGTTATGCAAAGCACATAGACGTGCAAGGTAAAACAACAAATTTGATGCGCTATCATGCCCTTGTTATACATTTTTTGCATGCGCGAACAATACAAAAGAAACTGGAACAACCCGATTTAAAACATACTGTATGACTCGAGCGTAAGTCCAAACGTATGGATATTTGAAATTAATGGTCTTTTATCGCGTTTTCCAAACGTATGGATATTTGAAATTAATGGTCTTTTATCGCGTTTTTCAGGTGAAATATTATAAAAGCCTCTCCGTGTCCCATCATTCTACATTCAACTAAGTCTAAATTAAACTCCAGTGTGGCGTTTAGCAGACACCTTTCGCAACGGCAGTTGATCATAGTAATTCTGGATCTGGCTCACAAAGTAATTGTAATACTGGCTTAGCGGACCCACCCAGTCCCGGGTTTATAACCCACTTTGCGTTTTTTTGGGTGTTCAAGCGCTACTCGTGGGCTTGCGTTGCACCGCATACCGCGTAATTTCACGAAAGATCATATTGGCGAAAATTCTTGATTAAGATATAAAGTGCTACACCGATATAAATATTAAATACTGAAGATAACACCGACCACTGATAACAACAAACAAAATCCTCAGTACAAGAATGTTTTCAGAAAGTATACCTAACTTATTCGGTAACGGTAAAACTGTAAACAAATCTGTGGATTTCGCAGATAAACCAGGTAACGGTACTAACTAGAGCCGTGTACGTTGGCTGCTACCACTGATTGCGAAACGCAGAACTTTCAGTACAGTAGAGCGGAAGTTAGCCAGAAGGCACGTTCGTCTGGCCTTCCTGCAACTGTCAGTTGCAGTGCAAAAAATGTAGACAGGTTTAGTCATTCGATACCGAGAGTACGGCATCCGTTATGGAAGTGACTTGTTCTGCGGTTTCCAGGATACACTGAAACTCAGCTGCGAAATAAACGGTACGCTTCGGGCCCGTTCGTGACCGGAACATTTTTCCTGGAGTGCTGGATTTGCTCCGTGTTACGCACTCGTGTACCAGTACCATGTTCCGTTACAGTAGCTGAAAGGCAAAAAAGTGCCAATGCATCTACATATAAAGATAAAACAGTATAAGGGTTTATCGTTGTTATTTTCTTCCGTTGGTTTGTGAAACTTTTGGGCTTTTCGCAACGAATCAGCGAATTTGTTGAAGGAGATCGGCAAAAAGCTGTATAACTGAACGCAAAAAAGCCGCTCCACTTGTTGTCTTCTTTCAGCTTTCAAGGCTTGCATTCCGACGTGGTAAAGCTCAGACTGTGCTTGTGAACTGCACCTGCGTGTTAACTGAACGTGTTAACTGAACTGGGGTTTTCATCCAGATTTTGTTTATGCAGGCGTAGCCATTTTTGTGAACGTGAAAAATAAGGGTAGTGATTATACAGTGAGTGGGACAATACCGCATTGCGCCAAAACGAGGCGAATTACTAGATGCACCGGAGTCCCAAAATCGGTCACGGGAGATCGTAGACTCCGGTAGTTTGTGTTAGCGCCTACATCTCTTTGGCTTAAAGTCCGCTGCGGCAATCCAGACGTCCAGAAGAACGTAATTTTCGTTTTCGGAAGGAAGTTGTGTTTTTCCGGCACAGGAAACTATGGATTGTCTTCAGGTTTTCCTGTTAACGGTTTTAGTCGCGTATGCACCGTCGACGGCTACCGGTAAGAAATAAAATCCTCTCAAGCTGTTCATACTTGATTTCCTTCGAAGATTTTTCTCCTTTAGATTATTTCAAACTTAGAAGTTCTGTAATACATGTGTTTCTTACTATGTATTGTCGGAATAATATAATAATTTGCTATGCTTACATGCTTTGCTGTGCTGTGCTTCAGTCGGATGTACAGCAATTCATTCCCAAATTCAGACGGTTGTTTACTCTTTTGATTTAGGTTAACAGTTAGTGCTATATTCAATTACCTACTAAGCTTTTCTCTTTAGACCTTACTTTGCCGCTGATCAGGTCCGATCAGTCAGGAAATGCAGTGCCCGAAACGATGGACCCAGTGGACACCAAAATGTCACCGGATGCCAACAGCAGCACCTGTTTGACAACGGCTTGCGTCCGTAAAGGTACATGCAGATATGTACAGCATAATACCAATACTAATTGTATTGAAACTGCTTTGACATTTTATCGGTTTCAAGGTTTGCAAAGCAGTTCATTCACAATAAGTTTTTCTTAATCGATTTATGACCGCCCTGAGCAATGCAAAGAACGAACAACCATTTATGAAATTATGCCTTTGGTGCTTTAGGGAAAGAGATGCTGAGCTACATGAATTTAACCACCGACCCGTGTCAGGATTTCTACGAGTACGCCTGCGGACGTTACGGTGAAAACCATAAAATGAAACCAGACCAGACATCCACCACTCGATTTGGTGATCAAAATGAGAAACTGCTCAAGGAAAAGCGATGTAACTTGTCAGAGTAGAAGGCTCTGCCCTCAGGACAGCCGCCCCATTCGCCGTCTACCTGGTTGTCTCAAGCTCAAGCACAAAAATCTTGATCTCAGCCAACAACGGCGATGGCACAGTGGCTGTGCTACGTGGATCACACACTCGGTAGCCAGCGGTTCGATTCCGCTCCGTCGCCATTTTTCAGAATTTCCTCAACAGGAAATTCTTTGAGACTTCATCTGGCCGCCCTCCCTTCGCTGAGATACCCACGGACAGCCGTCTTTATGGCAGCCTCTGATATGGTAGCAGACAAGCAGCGTCGGCTCGGACGGGAACCAGACTTCCTACTGCAGAAGCGCAGTATGGCCCCGCCTCCCCAGAACGCGTGGAGTGCGGATCCTCCGAATCCTGCGACATTTCGCTCCGAGGACGTAGCGAAGCCTGCAAAAGGGGTGTCAGAGTAGAAGGCTCTGCCCTCAGGACAGCCGCCCCATTCGCCGTCTACCTGGTTGTCTCAAGCTCAAGCACAAAAATCTTGATCTCAGCCAACAACGGCGATGGCACAGTGGCTGTGCTACGTGGATCACACACTCGGTAGCCAGCGGTTCGATTCCGCTCCGTCGCCATTTTTCAGAATTTCCTCAACAGGAAATTCTTTGAGACTTCATCTGGCCGCCCTCCCTTCGCTGAGATACCCACGGACAGCCGTCTTTATGGCAGCCTCTGATAAACTACATTTTGCAGAAGACCAATTATGGTGCTGATTTAAGCCAATGCATATGTTCAGTCCTTTTGGAGAGTAACGAAACCGAAGCCAGCCACGCGCGAGGAGCAGCGCGGAAGTTGTACAAGCTATGCCTTGATAAAGGTAATGAAATATCCTTTTTCACTGTTTATTTGCACAAGGAAACTAGCACGTCGCACGTGCTGGTGAGTGCCGACAATTTTCTATAAATGGATAATAACTTTAATGACTTTACATGCAACACATTTTTCACAGATGCTTTACGTAAGAATGGCGTGCAGCCGGTTGTGGATATTCTGCAAAAGACTATTGGCGGTTGGCCCATCCTGGCGCCCAACTGGGATCCCGACGCGTTCGACCTGTGGAAAGCGCTGATTTATTTAGCCCAATACGGCTCTGAACCGTTGTTAAGCGTATGTATTCTTTGTGATTTCTGAGATACAAATTCCTAAAATGTGCCGGAAATCTGAAGAAGTGACGACTGTCCTTTAGATGAGCGTTGTTGTGGATGAGCACAACTCCTCCATTAATCGACTGTCCATTGGCATTCCGATGGGGCTGGGTAGTGTCGCTACAAAATACCTTGCTACGTATCCCAGTTTTATGCTCAATGTCACACGGATATTTGCTAACATGTCCACGATGAACAGTGATTCCGCATCGCGGTATAACTGGACAGATATTCAGATGCATCTGAATAAAACCATGGATTTCTTAACCTTCTTAACTGACGTAAGGAAAAGCATAAAACAAATAGCAATTATGGTTTTAAATATGTACACTTCCCTTACGCAGATGAGTACTTCTGATAATAATCTCAGTAAGGATTTATCGTAGTATTTTTACAATTGAAGATCTATCCAACCAGCTCGGAGGTAAACGAAAATTTCTACAACCTCCGAACATTGGCTAATGTGAGCTCCAGTTTGTTCTTCCGATCCGATTTCTCTGACGGCCTCACTGATTTTATCCGCGCTTCCCTGACCTTTGCCGGCATGGGCCATTTGGTCAACGAGAACATGGTCGTTAACGTCCAGAAGCCGGCTGCCCTTGTGGCTTTGGATAAGAAGATGGCGGAGATTGAGAAGCTAGGTGTGGAGGGCAAGCGCTTCCAGGCCAACCTTCTGGGCTGGATGATCGTTGCCCGCTACAGTTGGGATCTCGCGCCGTCACTATTTGACACGTTCGATCGGCAGGGACGGATATTGTCAGGGAAGAATAAGACAGATCCCCTCTGGAAACGTTGCATAGGGATTGTGGAAGCCTGGCTGCCGCTAGCCGTCGCGTCATTCTATGTGGATAAAATCCTCGACAAACATGTCAAACAAAAGGTGAAAAAATAGAAATAAAGCTCGCATAAAAGTGGGTTTCGACGCTTCAGTGTTACTAGGTCTCGGATATGGCTAGAAATATCCGCACTGCTTTCGCGAAACGCTTGAACAGCGCCGAATGGATGGACACCAAGACGCGCGCACGCGCCCTGGAGAAACTGCATGGCATGCTGGAGTTTATTGCCTACCCGGAATTTTACGCTCACAACATTTCCCTCATTGAGGAGATGTACGGGAATGTGAGTAAAATTAATATCCTGTTGGCTCACAGACTGGCGACGCGATGTCCTGTAAAGTGATAAAACGGTTGTAGGTTACGGTCGGCGAGGGATGGTTCAATACGTTACTGGAGTTAAATCGCGACAACAAAATTCGGCAAACGCAGCGATTAGAGAACAGCAATACGCGGGAGTACATACTGGATCGACTCTACACCGTAACCGTGAATGCAGCATATAGGCCGAGATACAACATCATAGGTACTAACATCAGAGCGCACGAACTTAAGACTTACAGTCTGTACTGTAGTACACTTATCACTTACGCAAATCTAATAAAAAAAACTAATTTTCAAAATAAAATTTATTTGCTTTATAAAACGAAACACGAATCTTATTTCCAGCCATTTTTGCCGGCTTCACACAACCGCCGTTTTTCGACGGCGGTCTTCCCGAGTACTGCAATTACGGCAGCTTAGGTCACGTGATCGGGCACGAGATGACACATGGCTTTGATGATCAAGGTTCATTATATGCTCTGACGTTTCGGCAAAGGTTTTTGAATGCTTTAACTGGTGGATAATAATGTATTTGTATCTAGGTTCGAAATTCAATGTGGCAGGTAACATGATTAACTGGTGGAGCAATTCGTCGCGAATGACATTCGACAGCAAAGCTTCGTTGATTGTGGAGCAGTACAGTCAGTACAAAACACCTTCTGGCAATGTCAACGGAAATCAAACTCTGTCGGAGAATATCGCGGATGCTGGCGGACTACGGACCGCATTCGATGTAAGTTCTACTTCATCGATTAAGTTCCACTTCATTATGAAAATAATCAGAAAGGTTTTATCGTTGAAGGCGTACCAACTACATTTACATCACAACGGCCATGACCTACATTTGCCGGGATTGCAAAACTATACAAATAAAATGATGTTTTTCCTATCAGCAGCTCAGGTAACTAACGAAAGCTACGACGTACAGTAATTAGCAAAATAAAAATTTATAGCAAGAACATTTTATCTGCAAGCCAAATTCTTGTAGAACTGGTGTGGAATGGAATCTGATCTAATGGCTGGTTCACATGCACCGGATCGGTGGAGAGTCAATGGAGAGATGGCCACTTTCAGAGAATTCGCACAGGCCTACAACTGTCCAGCAGACAGCCCCATGGTTTACAATCGGTCTACCGGTCTGTGGCGATAGCCAGTGCCAGTGAGGAATCATACCGACTGTTGTTCGCGAGTTATGTGATAACGTTAAATTAATAATTTGATCTCCGTACCGGTTGAAAGTATTCTTTGAAATAAAAATATTGCAACTTTTACAAGACTGTTTCATTCAAATGTCTTTTAAAGTATTCCATAAAGTTATATTTGACTCACTACAACGGAATGTAAAGGAATAAATTCTCTGCACTTCGCCAAATGTCTGACAGTCATCAGCTGCCTGTAGCGCCTTAAACAAACAGAAAACTGATTCCGGCCATACAGCTCAACCAGCTCCAGACCCTGCAGACCGTCCACGCACCACGCACCGCGGTAATCCACCGATGGACGCGGATCCGCCGTCCAAACCCAGCCCAAACCCAAACCCCAAAAACATGCATCAGTGTTGCGGTGTAATGTTGTAACATAGTACTAGCCCGATTTTCCTGGAGATGCTTCTTTTTCGGGCTTATGAAGTTACTGTCAATAATTCTGGCTGATTCGAGAAGGCTGTCAGCCATGCGCTTATGTACCGTGTACATCAGATTTTATTAGGCATTTGCACAGTACGCGGCCGTACAGCTATGTCGCACAAAATAGCCAAGATATTTTGTGAATAGTGATTTATATAAGCTGATGAGCTCTGCTCCGACCGACTAAATATAGGCTTACGGTTAGACGATTGCTTGATTACTAGTACTTGCCTGGCAGGTATTCAAGAAATTCGCCTAACCGTAAGCACCTGATGTAATGCAGGCCAGTCATACCGTTCGTGCCGCGTAGCGTAGTGGTGCTTCTGCTGGCTACAGGGACTATTGCTCCAGGAGAAGACGCTTGGTGTATCATGGGAAGCAGCTCAAGCGAGCTTTACTGGGCCGCTCCATTTCTGTTGTTGTAAAGAGCTGTCAGTTTCTGTCTTTTCATGCACATGAATTAAGCCCACCGATATCCAAGCATTACATTATTGAACGGCAGAAATTTTTACGTTTGTTAGCATAAAAGAGTGCTTCTATAAAAGCACAGAATAACCGTACAACTAGTCAGTTAGCATTCACAAATAATATCATTTCCTCCGCCATGGTGGTGCATGAGACTGCTTTAAAAACACCATTCTGGCGCATACGATTCCAGACACTTCATATACAAAGTATAGCGTCGACGCTCCCAGCAGGAAGAAGCACAGCTGGATCACACCGCCCATTCGGCTCATGGTGATGACGTGGTTATGCTCCATGTTCTGACGCATTCCGGAGGCGTTGCCCATATGGATCAGCCGGTGAAGACCCACCCAGTGCTTCGTGATGCCCACTTGCGACAGCGTTAGAATACTACGAACACCGTCAAGGGTTAGGAAAATGGCCGTTAATGAGCAGATCAGCACCAAAATCGCGGCCTACTGTTTGTGTAAAGGACGTGTAAGGGAAGAATTCCTTCGGGTTTGCAGTGCGCTGATCCAGTTACGAAGCTCTAACGGGGCGACACGCACAAAGTCCATCGCTTCGCATTCGACAATTTCGTCGGTGTTGCAGACGACAGCCACGTTTTCTATGGATGACCGTTGGACAGCGTAGGCAAGATACAGCGCGTTGGAGCTACCGGTGTCGACAACTTCCATTTTCCGAGACGGTAGCTGCTGCGTGTTCTATAAAAATTCGATGTTGCTATCATAGGTTTTACATGCTGTCAAAATTAAGTATTCGACAACAATAATTTGACTCAGTTCTTCGAGTATGTCTCACCAGAAACTGGCTATAGCTTGATCCCTTTCGTACGAGCAGCCGGAAATCGGAGATCAAAAACCGATCAAAGGAGCTAAAAATTAACGGCTGCGAACGTTCCGCAAAGTTGGAGGTCATGAACGACGTCAAAATGGGAGCGATGAAGGTGGACCAGGGCAGCCACACCAACACCAAAACGTTCTTCGCTCTCACTCGTTTCAAATACTTTGCCTTTCCTGTCGCAAATAAGTGGTATGAGGTAATGAACTGCTTGATCATACAGACATACACAGTGACCATTTACCGTGTCCGAGCAGGTTTTGAAATGTATCCCATGTAACATCCACAAACGTAATGAAGAGCACATAAATTTGACGGGAGTTTATCGAGTTTTTGCTTTGTTTCCCAAAACATCCGTAAATTTCGACGGTTTTCACCAGCTACAAAATAACAAGAATCGTTAGGATTAGTCCAGCCAAGGTAGCCCATGTTTTGAGATCGAAACTCCGCACTAATCCGGCCAGAATAGAGTCGTACAGCTCGCTCTTGTACAGAAGTGATCGCTGAGCCGCTAGATAGTACTCTCGCGTCAAATATCCCGGAATCAGATCGAAATGACGGAGCCGCAGCTCGCTAATCGCGATCGGACAAGCACTGATGGAGGAGATGTTGTACAGAACATCGGCCGGAGCGCCGTCGTAAGGCGCGTTATCGAGCACAATGCGACGGGTGGGTGGTGTGACGGCCGACAATACTAACCTGCAAGCGCATTCGCGATTACGCATTAAATTAAATGGATTCAGAGACAGCGATTACCACAGTGGCATTATCCAGCATTGGCTGTGGAGTGGTTTAGGAGTGATTACGTACCTGTGGGAGTGAACGACGGAAACGGCTTTGAGGAGGCTAACTGTGATCCCCCAGAAACAGCCCGGCTCTTGGAAGATTTCTTCGCCATATGGCATAACATTTGCCACACTGACAAAATCTAAAGCAGAGTGATTGAGCAGAACAAGATCCCGTGAGCACATCGAATGCAGCTCCATGTTTCCCTTTTTCTAGTGCAGCGAACATCTGTAAAGTGCGCAGACAAATTATCGCTATTTGTTTCTTCCTGTTGCACGCATCGCATATGATACACATTTTTCAATCGTAACTGAGTGGCCAACGTATGTACATTAGTTTCACAAATGGATTTGGGTGTAAATCTGCGACTGAATGAGGTTGTGTTTAAACTGTCTGTAGCAGCGTTATGCGAATCCGGCTGTATCTGTATGTACAAAGACACACGATACCCAAAATTACGGGAAGCCTTTTACTCGCGCCAGAGCGTCAGAGCACTCGCCGCAGTGTTTGCGCTACGTGCATGATGAAGAATTACAACCTGGCACATAGCGCGGGTGTAATCATGGGACTGAGTTCTTTTTCAGGAAATAGACCTATCTGCATGGAGTTTCCTGACGATGAAAGAAAGGGAAAAAAACGAGGAATTGGCAAAAAGAAACTCTCCAAGTTGAACCGTTTACTCCGTTTCTTTTCCGACACCGGTTTAAACTTGTCGTTTGTTTGATGCCGCACCTATTCACGCCTGTTGTTCATCTTGGACTTGGCATTGAAAGTTTTTGCTGCGGTCTTCGCGGCGATAAGAGCGTCAAACACATGGACGCCATTGACAACGATCGTGGCTTTTGTATTTAACTGCCCGATTTTTGGTTTAGGTGTATCATGTACCTTATGTTTTCTTGAAACGTCAGAATTTCAGTTTAACTCCATCTATCATAGTGCAGCTGACAGAGCACAGTAGATTTTTATTTTACTGGATAAGCATCAACCTCAGAAACGGCTTATAGGGACATTAATAAACCGGCGAACAGAGGCGCGGAAATCTCAAAAACAAATTTGTAACGGTGCAAACGGCGTTGCAAGATACAAAGTCTTCAATTCCAGTTAAATAAACAGTTCTGGGTGACCACATATCGTGATCGGCATCGTAAACTTCCACTTTTGTTGAGTCAGGACGGGATTTTGGCATAGCTTCCGTTGAGACAGAAGGAAGGTCATCGCTACCGAAAATGTGCAATCGATTGTTGATAACGGTCGTAAAATGTTCGGATCGGGAATGAAAAGGCGGTTTGATATTCCTCCAAGTCCGGCTTTGCATGTCTAAACAACTTGCCATGTCTTCGCCTTTAAAGTAGTCTTCGCCAATAAAATAAATTTGGCCCTGCAACGTAACCATATCGAATGTGCAGCATTTCCGGTGCCAGACCGCCGGCATGTCTGGGAGTAAATTCCACTGCCCTGTCGATGTATTGTACTGATCGATGAACAATCGATTTGAATCCAACGATGACATTCCAACATAAATTATGGTGTCACTGAATGCTACTCCTTTGATTATTATCCGCAATCTGCATGAAAAAAGGTACATAATATTACAATATACTAAAACCTAACATTAGTGTATTACGGCGGTAAATAACATGTTCTTTCTATACGAGGAGGTGCGTATTTTTTTCAGGAGAAGCCGTACATATAGCAAAGTGTGCACACGCATAACACACGCATACATAAAAAGGCCCCCGACGCAATGCAGTCAGAGCCTGTGTAAACATACTGGCAGTTGATTCCAAACACAACTTCGTCACCCACGGCTTCCATGATCTTTCGAGTGGAATGAAATGAGACACAAAAAATTAAACTTCGGAATTTTTTTTTATATCCTGTTAAACAACTTCTGTATAGTTTCTCTAGAACGATTTAGATCGCAACATATAAAACAATTTAATCAACTGTTTCGTCGATTAAAACGTGCAAGCTTAGAATAAGCTAAATTGCGCTTCTTATTACTCCTCCGCAGCCGCAAAAGGCACCATCAAAGGTATATTGCGCAACTTAACAACTATCTTTGGGTCTTTGGTTACAGCAGCACAGAATCAGCCTCGCAGCCCGGGGTAAAGGCTGCTTCAAGTTACTTACAGGTTTAGCAAACAAAGCATTCTATCTTATCGTCTCGGCACGGTGTTGTCACACTAAATTTGATAATAATAATGGCACAGTGTTTGCACAGATACTGTCCATACACTTATACCTTAAGTTTGTGACTAGTGAGGGTAGAAAAGTAGAAGGTCTCTGAGAGCATACTCACGATACTGTCGTAAAATAATTTACGCGACAGTTTTTCCACCAACATTTCAGTTTCGTCTGAAATACTACAATAAACATGAATGCGATGATGTGTGCTTTCGTCGGCGTCAGTTTGGTAATTTTCCTACTCATTCGGTCATCGTATGGATACGCCTCGTATCAGTCATGTGAGTAAGAGTAAAAAACAATGTCCTGTAATATTAACAAGATTTCAATATAGAGAAATATACAGATATGTATATATTATCGCGACATGGAAAGTTTTTATACTTTTGTAACTTGTATCTGCTAAAATAAACGGCGCACATAAATAATTATTTTGATACGTATATAATTTTCATATATAGATATATGCGTAAATTAGAATCAAAAGGTATATACGTAAATTTTTGTCTTGTATTCTGAATTAAAAGATTTCCTGAAGCACTGCCGAACGTTGTTACCTTATGGCTGCAATGCGTAGAGTTTTTCTTTGCGAAAAATTAACAACCGAAAGATTTTACCGCAAATATTTAGTCGACCTGGAGGATCGATGCAACCGGAGCCTGACGATAGATTGCCCCTACATGTACAGTGGCAGAGCGGGCACATTTCGGTATTACGTTGTGACGAAACTGCAGCCGGGAACGTGCTATCTCAATGTGACACTGGATTCAAACTGTGGGATGTCGTACAACTATTACAGCATCTATCTCAACATCCGGTACAGACAAATATTTTGAAATAAATTCAGTTTGTTGACAGCAACGCTATTTGCAGTAAATTCAATCTACCTACGAACGACCGAGTTAGAATCTACGAGAAGAACACATATTCACGCAACCTCCTAAAAGATTTAACCGGTTCCCAATCCGCATTTTCCAATCCTGCCTCCGTCGCGCAAACCCGAACATCGTACGTCAAACAACCATCAATTTCCTTTGAATACTTCCGTAGCGCTTCGTCCGCTACCGGCTCACATGAGGCTTTTATCGACTACGTTATCGTCGAAGGTAAACGGCCACAGAGAATTCTAAAGAAGCTAACACGCGCGAAGCGATACGTTATCGTTTAATGTGACATTGCGTTGTCTTTGCTGCAGACACATCTTCGTCGCACAATACTTATTGTAGCGCGTTATCTGGCTATGTGAACGATGACTACATATGTGATAGAGATTATTCAACGGATCGGGTAAATTGTCCGAGCTCTTTCACTTTCGACACTGGACGGAATCCAGCGTATTCCAGACAGTCTTGCAGCAGCTCCCATAACAACAGTACGATTTTTGCTTAATTTTCTGATATGACACTTTTTTATTTATGCTGTGTTACAGATTATTATTACGACGACGGGTTGAGCGCCGGCGCAATCAGCGGAATCATCACCGGCTGTGTGTTCTTTTTCGTCATCGTGTTCTACGCAATTGCTGCGGCGGTTGGCAGTCGCCGGCGCGCGGCAGTACGTCCAGTGGTCTTGGCTCGCGGAACGATAACGACGACGCGGCCGGTTGTTGTTGGGACGTACGAACCGATGCCATCTTATGCGGGAGCGCCTCCCTCCTACGCGGAAGTGACCGCGACTACTGTCACCACTTCGCAACAACCACCGGCCAGATATTAACTCAGCCTTCGGAACAATTTTTTAGCTGGTGTAAAGATATGCTTTAATACGCTTTATTAAATACGCTTTAATGCGAAGATGAAAGCTAATGAAAACTCACCGAAGCAGAAAATGAATTCTTAAAGTTACTAAGCGCATGTTCATGCACACGAGGCGCGCAGCTGCATGTACGTTGAATAAAAAAAATATCCCAGTGAAGAGAGGCGGGACAGTATCCAAGACAATGGTCACATTACTATGCATAATGTTTTTCACTGAACCTCTAAAAACAGAAAACAGTTTATCCTACCGGCTCTCACCAATTCTAACGGTCCTCTTCCGGTTGATCTTCTTTATCATCACCAATTAGTATAATACAAAGTTTTATTGAGACTCCTCGTAGGAAACGAATGAATCACTTAGCAGTTTCTCCGTCTCATTTTACAAGTCAACATTTTCTGTATAAAGCTGAAAGTAATCCTTTTGCAGTGTTCCTATTTCTGTTCGCGAAGTCGCGAATAGGTGTAGTATGTACGTTACTAACTGTTGCAAAGGTGCACGGGATACAGTACCGATATGGTACCGTGTTGGGGTATGGTAAGGCCGCACGAGCAAATATCTCAAGGAGTTTACCGTTTTGGCACAGCCTTACGGCATCGATATTTCGAACACAGTTTGCTATTTAACATAATGCCACCAAAACTCCAAACGTCAGCCTTCCGGTCAGGAGATGGTTTATAACTAGCAAACGGATCGTCAAGCAATTTCGGCAGCATTTCCGGTGACATATACCCCACAGTGCCTTGATAGTGCGCGATATCTCGAGAGCATGTTTTCCATTTTCACAGAATCATCGAGGTCACAAAGTGCCAAGCGTTCATGAAAACCGTCTGCTGTAATTAAGAATCATTTATCGGTTTAAGGTTATGTACGATATTTCCCTGACGCAGAAAAAGTCAAGACCATTTGCAGTGTCCGCTGCATACCGTATTGTTGTTGCGATATCCAGCATCTCTCTCTCCATTTTACGTTTTAGCTCTTTTAGTCGAGCATCCAAATCCCCACCTACGCAAACACAGTCTCAGAACAATTCTACGCACTCTTTAATCAAAGGCATACTTGGATAATATTCGTCTGCCGGGTTTAGGAGTGATCTTGCGATATGCCACTAGCGATTCGTGTTTCAAGTCCACCCACAGCTGAAATCGCTCTAGCATTTTCAGGTGCTTTCAAGTTCATCTTCAGGAAAATCCATCACTTTTTCGGCAACCTTGTACCCTGCGTTAGAGCTGGTAAGGCGCTGCTTCATACACTTTTCCGAAAGCCCCGCATAAAACGCAAGCAAATTCGGTACAGTCTTTTTACAAATATACAGCTGCACGCAGCAATAATCGTTGTGCCTTTGGTTACAGCAGCAAAGGAACAAGTCCTCGCACTGCGCGTAAACAATGTCTTAGGTTTTACAGTACTTGCCGGTGCAGCAAAGCCTTGTCTGTATTCATCTTTTTAGAAGCATTTTTAGCAATTCCAGAAGCATCTCACGAGTCTGCTCTTCACGTTCTTATTTAAGAAAATCCACCGCTTATAAGCAACCCTGCCAACTTCGTTAGGGCTGGTAACCTTTGCTTTATACACTTTTCCAAAAGCCGCCGACCCAATGCAGTCAAGGGAATACTGACATACCGACAGTTGATTCCAGATACAGATTCGTTACTAACGGCTTCCACGATCTTTGGAATGTAATAAAAATGGAACACAAAAAAATTAGTTTCGGAACTGTTTTTTGTATTCTGTTGATTAAAATTATCAGCATAAAATGCCATCACTTCTATAGCCTCGTTCGAACGAACTAGATCGCAACACAGGAAAATTTTGCTAACTGTTTCGCCGACCAAAAGTGCAAACTTAGAGTAAGCATATGCAGTTCTTATCACCCCTGCACCCCATGGGAGGGCTACATCGTAGATATATAGCGGAAAGTAACATTTATCTTTGAGTCTTCGGTTACAGTAGCAAATGAATCAGCCTCGCGCTGGGGTAAAGGCTGCTTCCTGCTATTTGCCGGTGTAGCAAAGCCTTGAATTGTCCTATCTTATCGTCTCGGCAAAGTTTTGCCACAATAAACTTGGTATTAGTGGTATTTGCCCAGAAACTACCGTATCCAAACTGTACTGTGAGTTACGAGGATGGAAAAGTAAGAGGTCTTCTACAGCACAGCCACGATACTGGCATAAGCTAATTTGCAGTACGTTTTTGCTACCAACACAGCGGTTTGGTCTGAAACTACCCCTCCGATCAGAAAACATGAATGCGAAGATGCGTGTTCTCATTGGCGTCAGCGTGATGATGTTCGTACTCATCAAATCGTCTTATGGATACGCCGCTTACACACCATGTTAGTAAGAATAAAAATTAAAATATTGTCGTATATATGTAAGAGCTTCCGCGCAATATTAAAATAAATAACTTGTGTCTGTTCAAGCAACGGCGCAGACAAATGACGATTTTGAGTGTGATCACGTAAATCTAAAAGACCTTTAATAAGTATCGTTGTACAAGTACAGACTTAGTACCAAAACAGAACGTCATTATAACAGAAAAACTTCCTCTATATAGAGGATAGAGGATGCTATCTGAGGATGCTCTATATAGAGGATGCTATCCTGATAGGGGAGCGTACCCATTACACAAATCGCGTTTCCCCGTTGTATTTGCATAGATATTCGCTGCTTAAAAAACTCTTTCGCTCGCTTCGTAAATTAATTTTCTGTTGCAGCCGTCTCACATTATGTTAACATGAAATACTGTAACTTTCAAAAAAGGACTATATTACATTTAAACGTTAGCAGGTTATGACTGTATGACTGTATTACGTGGAGTTAAGTACAGCGTACATTTTAGATGATCTGTGGGATCGATGCTCTCGAAGTCTGACGCTGGACTGCCCGTACAGATATAACGGCAGAGCGGGCACATTCCGGTGTCTGCTGGTTACGCTTTTGGATCCGGGGCTCTGCCAGCTCAACGTGACACTGCAGACAAACTGTGGGATCTCGTACAACAATTACAGCATTTATCTTAACATCCGGTACCAACGAATAATTTAAAATAAATCCAGTTGTTGATAGCATGCAACACTGTTTGTAGTAAATTCGATGTACCAACGAACGACCGCCTCAGAATCTACGAAAGTAATTCGAATTCGCGTACGCTCCTCAAAGATTTAACCGGTTACCAACCCGCTTTATCCAATCCGGCATCCGTCGCGCAGACGCGGACGTCGTACGTCAGACAACCGTCAATTTCCATCGAATACTTCCGGAGCACTTCGGACGCTACCAGCCCACATGAGTTCTTTATCGACTACGTTATCCTCGAAGGTAAACGGCCACAGAATTCCAAAGCAGAAGGTCCATGTGAAGTGATATTGTACGTTATCGCTCAACGTGACATTGCTTTGTCTTTGTTGTAGACACAGCTTCGGCGGATAATACCTACTGCAGCGCCTTATCCGGCTATGTGCACGATGACTACATCTGTGATAAAGACGATTCAACGGATCGGGTTAATTGTCCGAGCTCCTTCACTTTCGACACTGGACGGAATCCAGCGTATTCCCGGCAGCTTTGTAACAACACCGATAACGACGGTACAAACCCCGTTGTACTGCCTGAAGTGATGTTGTTTTAATTTCATGTTGATTACAGATCATCGTGTTTTCGACGATGGAATGAGCGCCGGCGTCATCGCCGGGATCAGCATCGGTTGTGCGTTTGCTTTTGCCATCGTACTCTATACGATTACTGTTGCGGTGAGAAAACTCGCGGCGGCTCGGCGCGCGGCTCCAGTGGTCTTGGCTCCCGAAACAATAACGTCGACCCGACCGGTTGTTGTTGGGACATACGAGCCGATGCCGTCTTACGCGGAAGCGGTCGCCACAACTACCACCAACCCGCCTCAGCCACCAGCTAGATATTAACTCAGCCTTTTTAGCAGTTTTTTTTTATTTGATGTAATGATGTCCGTTAAATACTCCGTTATTATCAGAAATCGGTTCTAACGAAAACCCACCAATGCTGCTTTACTTAGTAAACAGTAAGTAAACCGGCAGTAAACAGTAGCCTAATATTAAACAGTAAATAAACCCACCGAGCAGAAATGGATCTTAAGAAAGAATGATTATAAACTCATGTTCATGAACTCGACAAGCGCTCGCACGTGCGTCAAAGGGTATATAATATCTCAGTGGGTAAAAGACGGAACCGTATCCAAATCTCTATAATCAAAAGAAATCAGGTCAGCTTTCGACATTCACAAAAAACGTTCTGTTGTTCTCTTTCTGGGAGGTTGCTGCCGCATCACACCAAATTCTACAAGTTAGCGATATGTACAAAATAACTTACTGTGTTGTCGACTCAACTTGGCACCTTTTTTTACAGTGAGTCGTATCCGCTTAGCGTATAACTCACTGTAAAAAAAGGTGCCAAGTTGACTCGACAACACAGTAACTTTTCAGAGATGGAATTGTTGGCACGTCTTACGATCAACATAACCTTGATTTAGCAGCGCAAATTTGTAAATTGTAACCGACCAAGACGTCCGCTGGACGTTTTTGGCGTTAAACCGACCAAACCGTTCGGGGGCGAAAAAACTTCGGCCGTAAATATTGTCCACTCACTATTTTTCGTTTTCTTAATGTACCTAATGCTTTTAATAGTTTTTCGAGCCGGATAACTATGGTCGGAGCGCTGTTTAGGTCCGCCGGACGTCTTGGTCGTCCGGACGTTTTGGTCGGTTACACATGTTTCATCCCATTTGTCCACCAGCATATAACAGAAACTTTTGTAGAGTTTTCGCGTAATAAACGAATACACCACTCTGCAATTGGTCATGTTGCAGTGCTTCCATTGCTTTTCCCTTCGGGCCTTGGCGAAGTCACAAAAAAAAATAGTAAGTTACTATATAGCACGGACATGATACACCGGTTACCCGGTACCCAGCAACCATATTAAATTCTGAAATGGTATTGTACGACCGTATTAGTATCGTTCATCACAGCACAAACGCAGAGATACCATAGATCTAAAAGATTTAATCTTCCATAGCCATTAAAACAGTGGTAACCTAGGGTAGCATGGAGAGCCCCTCCCATCTCATCATATGGATTCGTAATTCCTGCTGTGGGGTCCGGCAAGCACTTTTGCATCCGCTCGTTTAGCAATCAGCGCCACGATTACAAAAATCACGATCAACGCGACAAATACGGAACCGATTATTATCATCGTCAGGGTGTGAGCATCTCGGACATCACTGTTGGAACCTGCAAGGAAGTGTCAGGATTAGGAATAATCAGATTGCTAAACAATATCTCGTATCTCGTGTGCAGAGTCTTACCTGCTGCTGGGCTGGGACATTGGCGGCCAGATGCCGGATTGCGTCCGATGTCGGGGATGTAGACGCTGGGACAATTAACACGATCCGTTTCTCCATCGCCATCACAAATGTACTCTTGATTTATGTAGCCCGATAAAGCATGGCAGTATGTATTGAAAGATGATGACGCCTCTGCAAAAATCACTTTACAATCAGCAAAAAAGGGTATTCATTTAAATTACCACAAGAAAGCTGCTATTTTGGAAAGATTTTTTTTCCTTCAAATCGTCGGGCCTAAAAATTAGCTGACCAAATCTTGAATAGTAAAAATCCAGTTTGGCTTCACTATAAAATCCAGCTTCCGTTGAAAAACCTTTCTATTTCTACACTTCCTATAAACGTAAGATGATGATAACTGCGTTTACAGCAATATTGTGTAGCGGAAATGAAATTCTGTCCGGCATTCTTACGAGGGATATTCGTGGCTTACTTGTTAGGACGACATAATCCATAAAAACATAACTGGACGAATCGTTAACTGTCAAATTCCATCGAGAATACTGGATGTTCGGGTTTGAAGAATATTTGGTTAACACATGAGAGATGGATGCCGGATTGCGGAGTGTTCGTTGGAAGTGCCGGAGATCTTTGACGCGCGTACGATTCCCCAGTGCGCCCTCATACATTGTTAACTGATACGTGGATGGTAGATTAATCCGTCTGCCGTAAACACAGAACATGAGAAGCCGAATCGTTCCAAAAAAATGAAAAAAGCTAAAACTTCAAGGTGACCAGTACATACTAGTTATGTACTGAACATCAGCACATAGCCAACTGTTTCGCCGAAACCGCCAAGTGAAAATTTTACAGACCGAACGTTGAGATACAATGCAAAGGTCTCGGGTGGTAGGGCGGAGATCCGTCTCTAGATTCAAGTTAATGGTCCAGTTATTGTGGGTAACGGGACGAAATTCTATTGTCCCGGCTGATCCGCTCTGTATGCTGCAGTTCAATGTGATGTCGCCTCCGCAGCACGGAACGGTATCTACGATTAACGAGAACGGAATGTAAGTTTTCGTAGTTTTGCAGGCTTCCAAATGTACCCACAGAGCGGATAATATGGCGTTCCATGAATGATATGGACAATCAGTAAAGATAACGTCGCAAAAACAATTTTAAAACCCATTATTCACACCGAAAAGACAATAACACTTGCGTAATTATTTATATGTGCATGCTTATTTTAGTATAAGACGAGTTTACTTTTCCACTTTTCACTCAGAGGCTGTTGTTAATGTTGGACTGTGTGGATGACCACATCATTCTCTAGAAAACGTTAAAAACATTAGTTGTTGCGCTAAAGCAAGTGATGTCGCAATTACCAGGATTTGTCATGTATGCTACATGAAATGATCATGCTGGAATCACGCAATTTTCGATGTCTATTTATGCTGCGACCGGCTTCTCTCAGGGCATCCACGAGTAGCTAAGCGTTTAGCGTACAAGACATCTGAAATCTAGCTGCGCTACTTTATGGGGTTGGTTCGCTGGTTCACAGTATTATGATAATTCTATTCACATAAAATGATGTAGGTCGAAGCAAAACTACGTGATACCATGTTATGGCTCAATCACTGCCTTCCCTTGAAACCCTACTGTCCGATGAGAGCTTCCTTGCTGCCGTTGGATTACTAAATGGCACACCAATCTGCAGCCCTTATCTCTGCGCTGACTGCCGGCAACCTTTCGACCTATATGGCCAACATGGACTTTCATGTAAAAAAAGCGCCGGATGTTTCCTCCGTCACTCATCATTCAACGAGTGATTCGGAGAAGCCTAGTTGCCGCTAATGTACCGGCTGTACTGGAGCCATGTGGACACAGTTGCCTTGTCTGTGTGGACACAGTTGCCTTGTCTGACGTCATAATCAGCAGTATCAAAGCCGGAGAAGCTGCCAGGAAAACATAAGAAGAAAAGTGCCGGAAATACGATTACCTAGCACCCGAGTATTGGTTTGTTGCCTTAGCTTTCGAAACTTTCGGTGTCGCCGGCCCAGCATGCAATACATTGTTACGTGGATTGGGCGCACGACTTAAGGATGCTACTGGAGAACGGCGATCTTACGAGATTTACTGCAACATCTTAGCATTGAAATTCAACGGGGAAATCCGCTGTCTGTGACGTCAACTGTACCTCGTTCTGGCGGTTTTAATGCTATTTACGTATCCGTTAGTATGTTAAAGTGGTGGCCCGCTTTTTGATCTGATCTGAAAATCGAAATCGCAGTACTGCGGTACATGTCAGGGATACATTGCGCGAAAAAAAGGTCCGAGCCGTTAACAAACATTTGCTGATTAATACGGATGTTTGCTATCATTATAAGAAGTTCCAAAGTAAAGTGCGTCATTTACTTTGTATACGCTGTGCTGTAAACATTTAAAACAAAATAACTTTTATTTCAGTGCAAAACTGGAGAATGCACATACTCAGTTTTCTTCACGTGTTAATATTACTACCGTTGACTGTTAAAATAAACGTGTTAATATTACTACCATTGAATGACATGGCAGAAATAATATCACTGGCTGCTTACTACTACATTGGACTAACGTCCCTGTTGTGTCTTCTCAGTTACGCCCACTGTCCGGCTGTGCATGTCTCTTTATATAAGATGTCGATCGCTGCGCACGCACGTGCAGGTCGAGCACGACACCTGCCGGGTGCCCCTTCAGCCTCTGCTCAGATAGCCCACACACTTCCGCACCTCGTTGCGTGCAGTTAGGAAGATTAACATTAATGCCTGTATGTGGCCGTACTTTATTCTGCAAACGAACGCCACTTCCGAAACGAGTTCAGCTATTGTCTTTCCTGAAAAATAATTTGTAGTATGCTTTTCAGCAATACTTGATAGAAACTACAATTTCGCACATTGTAACTAATAATCTTGAATATATACCATCGTACCTGATTGTCCGAAGTAAACATTAAATTAATTTGCAGATTGCAATCTGGAGGACATATGCAACCAAAGCCTGACAGTGGGTACCGGCCGAGCAGGTACATTCCGCTACTTTATAATCACAACCCTGAGACCGGGTCTGTGCTACACCAACATAACATTAGCCAGCAACTGCGCCGGCTACGCTGGGCGTGAAAAATATGCCTTCCATTTCAATTTCCGATATGTCAAGCAACCGCTCCGAAATGATATTGTACAAAGGGCATTCCAAAAGTTTCTTTCGCTATTTTATATCTTTTGAACCGCGCAACATTTCCTTGGTCTTACATTTTATTTATTCAAAGTAATCATCCTTATATTTAATGCACATTTTACACCGGTGCAACCTATCATCAAAAACAAGAGAAAATCCATCTACTGAAAGACTTCGCAGAACGCCTCTCACGGCAGCTTCCGCTTCCGTTGCATTTTTATAGCGCTTTCCTCTGAGCAGATCCTTCATCTTCCAAAACAGGAAAAAATCACACGGGCTTAGGTCCGGAGAATAGGGTGGGTGTGGGAGTAATCTAACTTTCCGTGACTTCAGAAAATTTTTTTGTCAGGGAGGCCGTGTGAGCACGCGCGTTGTCGTGGTCCAGGAGCTGGTGGCGCATTTGCTTCTTTCCAACATCTTTCCGCAGCTTAGCCAGGGTCTTGCGCAAACATTTACGAATGTAGAACTGAGCCGTCACTGTTCTTCCTTCGGGTACACGCGTCACACTTATTACGCCTCTGGCGTTGAAGAAAACGGAGAACATTGTCTTCTCAGTGTAGCGATCGCGGCGTACCTGCACTGGTCCCTTCATCCCTCTCTCCGTCCATTCCCTCGACTGTCGCTTCGTAAGCGGATCCCTATGGTAGACCCAAGTCTCGTCACCTGTGGCGATGTTTGATAAATAACGTTGAGGATGATTCCGACAGCGCTTCAGCAGATCCCGACAAAAATCAACACAAGCCCGTTTCTGACTATCCGTGAGCGTATGAGGAGCAAATTTCGACACAATTTTCCGCAAATTCAGATGATCGTGCAGGATGGTCGCCACGGCCTGTGCTCCAATCCCCAGATCGTACATTATCTGCGAAACTGTCACTCGTGGATTTTGGTGCACGATTTCGCGAACGCGAGCAATGTTTGCGCAGTTGACCGCTGTCCGTGGTCTTCCCAATCTTCGACCATCTTCTACAATTTGCTGTCCATTCCGGAATTTCCTGTACCAAGTCCTAACTGTCTGGATCGAAGGAGAATACTGTCCAAACCCCACTAATTTTTTCAAAACAAACTCTACAGTCGTTACCTAGACAAAATTCAGAAAAGATAACAGTGCGAATATGCTCCTTGGTAAACGGCATGTCGAAACACATGCGCGTGCGAGGCTTTGCCACACTGACTGGCGAAAATTAAATGCGATAAATAGCCAGTGGTTAACTGGCCTGCCGGATGTGTATGAGTCATTGCATCACTGACCATTCTCGACAGTGGTGTACCTAACTTACGTCCAGCTGCTGCTGTTCAAAAGAAACAAAATAGCGAAAGAAACTTTTGGAATGCCCTTTGTATGTGTTATTGTATCAAATTTGTATGTGCTGTTTCAAAAGTGCTTATTCGTTGTTGATAAATTGCAATAAATCCTGCCTGCAGAGGACTTTGTCAGACTGTATGAAAACAACCGATATGGAATTCAAAAGTACGTTCTTCTCAAAGAGTTGAAGGGTAATGTACCAGGATATCATGATCCAGCGTCGGTGTCACAAGCGCTGACATCGTACGTCACAAAGCCATCTTTTACCTTGGAGTACCACCGCAGTTCATCTTCCGCCGCTGGATACCATGAAGCGTTCATCGATTTCGTTATTACAGAAGGTGAGGAAAAAGAAACCATGCGTGCGCGAATTCGTTCAATAAACCTTATCGGTTACGACTAGATACTCCACATTCCATGAATAGCCGCTGCTCAGCTTTATCTGGTTATGTGAGCAATATTTTCATCTGTGATACGGATGGTGTAAATAATCGTGTCAACTGTCCAATCGAATTCTTGCCCACTGTGGCGGGATATAATCCGTCCTTCTCGCGGCAATGCACGAATCGGCCGGCTACTTCACCGCCTTATTATTATTATTCGTCCACGCCTAATTACTGGAATACGCAAAGTGAGTAGGCTCTGTCAATTATAATGTCCATACTTCTACAAACAAATTGATAATTGCAACGGGCTTACGAGCAATAAAAGTATACAATGCAGATCGATCATTAACGCATTGTTTTCTAGGCAGTCATGACAATGGTTTGGGCCCCGGCGCCATTACGGGAATCGTCATGGGCTGCGTGTGTTTTGTCGTCTTCCTCATTGTCGTTGTTGCCGAGGTTTGCGCCAGACGAAAGATATCGCGCAACCGACCCATCGTTCCGACATCGACAAGAGGCACCTTGCAAACCAGTCGGCCTATTGTAGCCGATGCGCCTGTTTTTGCTGTCGGACCCACTCCGCCATTTATGGGAGCTCCGCCTTCTTATGAAGAAGTTACTGCATCACCGGCACAAGGCAGCGTTCCTATGCCTCAGCCGCCAATACCAAAATTTTAATTGTATCCTATGCTCACCCAAAACTGCTTGCAAATTTACCATCTGTGATATTAGTAATTACAAAACCTAAAGATCTCTGTGATGTGCAAACTATGTGTATCATTTTGTATGCCACTGTATTAGCTGTACCTTCGTCTTCAACTGCGTAATTTAAGTCAGCTGATTTCTTAGCGCCTCGAAATTTCGTAGAGGTTAATCTATTTTCGTGGTAGCGAAGTCACCTTTCAAAATTTTTCCATAACTCTAGTAGTTCTCTGAATGCATGACGTAAGTTAGCAAAATGGGACGACAAAACTGACCATTTCAACGCTCCGGTTTAATCAGAACCAAGCACCACCCATAGAGTTTAATTTCAATGGTTGTAAGAGAAACTTCGGATGCTGTTTTGTGAACACTGAATGCGTGAGATACTGATTTAATTATAAAACAGTGCAGTGAGAATTACTAGGAGATTAACTGTGAATCAGGATCGTGATAAACAAACACGCCACGAATTACTTTCTCCTTTCTAATTCTCACTTTACAAGTCAATAGCTTTTGCACAAAGCTGTTTTTAGCGTTGTAAATGTTTTTTAGCACAGCAGCAGGCAGATCACATCAAGGCTACACCCACAGGGAAATCTTCGCCACGATGAAATCAGGAGACCTCCTTCAATATCCGAAGCCGGCATTTGGTTGACAACCTTGTCTTCAACGCGCACTGTCGGCGTTCTGGGAGGATGACATTGTGACGATATCCGTGGATCTTAGGCTGGGGGCAGTTATTTGAGAAGCCTGGTCCTGTGCTGAACCCAGTTGACGTGTACGACCACCACGGACTGTTCCTTGCTCATTCTGCACCGGGAGACATTGTCACCACGGCAAGATGTCAGGATCAACGGTTTCAGCGAGCATCCCAGCGAAGCTTGAGCCTCCCCAATGTATCCAGTACGTCCGATTGTCGCCCGAACGGACACACTCCTCATGCCTGGAAACGCGGCATGTGCTTAGCATAGGACGCGGTCTGAGTGGACACTGTCGCACCTTCTCACTGAAGTTCATTTTCGCTACCGCGGGATCCGCGGCTGCTCAGACTGAAGACAGGGAAACCCGAACGCACGCCAATCTTGGAGGCAGATACATTTTTAACTGATCGACTCAGGCCCGGGGGAAGTTCGGTATCCATTTTAGTAGTAGAAGAAATCGGCAGGCGGCGACAGCAGCACACTGGTAAATCCCGATCACCAGTTTCTATCGATTAAAATATAACTGAAGTGTCTCGGGGCAACGGGTTCTCCCTACTTCGTTCGGACCATGGATGAAGCGGTTAATTTTAAAAGAAACCTTGGAGTCCACATAGATCATGTATACATACGTCAACACAGAGAGCAAGAAAACACAAAATGAGATTAATGTTTAATTTACTCTTACACAAAACGCGATTAATGTGGCTGGCCTGTGCTAATAAGAAAAATGCCGTCTGCCGGTACAGGCAGCGCGTTTGAATCATTTCGTCTAGCTACCATGGACAGGATGCTAAAAATCACGACCAACGCGACAAAAACGGAACCAATGGCAATTATCGTGATGGTTTTAGCGTCCAGAACATTAGTACCGGAATCTGCAAGAGGTTGTCCAGAATAATAACATCTTCAAGTATATCTTTGTTCGATGCGTGGGTGAGTGTCTTACCATCATCTTCTGATGTGCTGGAACACTGGCGTCCGAATGCCGGATTGCGTCCCATGTCGGGAACGTACGCACTGGGACAATTAACCCGATCCCTTTCTCCATCTTTATCACAAATGTATTCTTGGTTCACGTAGCCGGACAAAGCATGGCAGTATGTATTGACCGATGAAGATGTGTCTGCAAAAGCACGCTAATTGAGAATTTGAGATGCTTGCATAAACTGTAAGTGTACGATTACCGTCTGACCGACAGTTGTAACTTACTTGATATGATAACATAATCGATGGAAACAAAGCTGGATGGATTGTTAGCCGCACTTCCTCGAGAATATTCGATAGCAATGCTTGGATGCGGAGAGTATTTAGTCAGAAGATGGGAGATGGATGCCGGATCGTGGAGTGTGCGCTGGAAGTACTGCAGATCTTTGACGAGTGTACGGCTTCCTGATTCGACTTCGTACTCGTACATTGCTAAGCGATAAGTGGACGGTAGGTTGATCCGTCTGCAATGACGCACAAAAGGATGGAACCAGATCGCTCGATGGAATATCAAGATGATCGAAAAAAGCTTCAAGAAGAGTTGCGCAAACAGGCAAGTGAAACCTTTACAGACCGAATATTAAGATAAAAGGCAAATGTATGGGGTGGCTCGGCACAGTCCTTTTCCAGATCCAAATTAATTTGCCAGTCATCCTCGCTAACAGGACGGAATTCTATTGTCCCGGCTTCTCCACTCAATATGGCTGCACAGTTAAATCTAATTTGGCTTCCGCAACACGGAATTTTGTCTAAAATAAAGGGGGCTTTCACGTCACGAAAAAAACCTGTTTCCGAGAATTTTATAAACTGTCACCAATATTTACCCACATAGCGCATAATATGGAGTTCCATAAGCAAAAGGCAAAACAAGTAGAATCAGCAGAGCAAGAATAACTCCGGAATCCATGATGCACCCCAGGCGGGATTAACGGAAGCCGGTATTTAGTTACGAATAACTCAACTTCGTCTACGAATACAAAGCCGCGTACAGCGACGCTTCGCTTCTGCTTAACCATATCAGTTTCTGCCCTGAATTAAGGCGGTACTGCGTACAGTGTGGCTGTATATTTGTACATAATCACCATTACTCTTATGCCCATCTAGAAAAGATAAAAACGTTAAAATAATAAAGCAGAAGGAATACGAGATGAATTACCGCATCTGTCATGCTTTTAACGTGATACGATCATGTTGTGATCATACACTTCTCGACACAGATTACTGGCCTACAACCGACTACACCGACTATTTATGTATGCTGCTCAGATAACCTCAGGGCATACATGACTACATACCGGTATCTGCATGACTGTAACGTAACCACGTAGTAGAAAGACGCGAAACTGTGAGATACGGGGGCATACTACAGTACATGCACTGATATTCGGTGTATATGACAATGAGTCAAAACAATTCGTACTAATACCGTACAATAACAAAAAAGCAAGCGCGTTTGAAGGGCAGAATTCTGTTTTCTCTTCCGTTTCTGGATTCTCTCGCGCTTTTTCCTGAATTCCTGTAGTAAAAACATCCTGTAGGTGCGAAACAAAAATAGAACAATCGGAGCCTGACAATAGTAAGTCCTTACACAGTTACACATATACTGGAAGTCTGGAATAGCCGGAAATTCCTCTATTTCTTCATCCCGAAATTGCCACCGGGTCTATGCTGCTTCAACGTGACATTACAAGCCAACTGCGGTAATATCGAACTAGAATATTACGCTTTTTAGGTCAATTTCCGCTAGGTCAAATAACCGCTGTGAACCCAGAGCGGACGATAACTTACGGTAACAGATACTCCGTTGACTCTGTCTGATGAGGCAGATGTTGAGGCAAAAATTTGCGCATTTTTTTGTACGTTTGTGCCAACTAACGTCTGTGCTGCTTTCGAGGATTTTAAAACTGTTCGCATATGTAATATTTTGCACCATTTAAAGTGGTATCGTGCAGCGCCGATATCCGGCATATAGCTTTTGCTGAACATAAATTTCGAAGAAGCATTTGATGAAAAGAGCACACAAGAGGAAAGGGCAGAAAGCCAGCTGTGCTCTGTTGGTACACCGTATTAATTTTACCATTTCTAAATAATCATCGTTGTATCCTCGCACAGTCTGTTCCGCAGAATATACGTTTCCACTTTCGACCATGAACAACAACTGTATTGACGATTTTGTTTATTTCTACGCACAGCTTCGACAACAATAAACGGGCGCAACTGTCGCGTTATGATTGATATGGATACAATTATAATATCGTTTCCACTGTTCAAGAGGGATAACAGCACAAAGTAGATATCTGTAACAAAACTATAGCGCGTAATACCATTTTTGATAGGGCTACTGCTGTCAGACTTAACTGCTACTTGTATAACAGCATTATATTATGTTATCTGTGCTGTTGTAATCGCTCTGACAGATAATCCTACCTTTCGGTATAGAAGTACAGATGTAAAAAGCAATGTAGCTTTACAGTAATTTTAGCCTGTTACTGCTGACTGGGTCTGTACCGTAATTCTTTTTTGCGATACTGACACAAATCTTGTGCCACTGCTCCACAAATGCTTACTGGAATGGATACCGAAAACGTGATCTTCATTATCCTTGGCCTCGGACTTCTTTACTGCGCAGGCGGTGCGGATGCTCAGTACTACAATTCGTGTGAGTGCTAGTGGCTTAAACTACATAACTTTTGTGATATCCACTGTTTTTCGTTACATTTTTTATAACAATAGCACTTATGCATCCACTTTCAAAGAAATGCAATTAGCAATAGTACTGCAAGGCGCTCTAACACTGTAGTCTGGGAAGCCTTTTTCGGAAATGCCCCACTTTGTAGAGGCTTGCTTGTAAACAGATCAAACCAGGTAGAGCAGCTACTGGATACGAAGCATCTTAATTGCAGATCCCGATTTGGAGAACACATGCAATCAAAGTCTCACGATTGAGTGTCCTTACCCATACACCGGTCGCGCCGGTACATTCCGCTACTACTTTATACCGAACATGCCCATGGGACTATGCACCTTCAACGTGACACTAGCAGCCGACTGCGGAGGGCCGTACGACCGTTTCGCGTTTTATTTCAATGTTCGGTAAGCAAACGTTATGGCAAACATAATAATGTTTTCGTAATGCGCCGTCTACAAACCGTAGGAAATTTATTCTGCCGACCGCCGATTATGTCCGAATCTACCAAACTGCTGGATCACTGCGTTTCCTTCTCAAAGAGTTAACCGGCAGATACACCGCTTGGTACTTTCCTTCTTCCGTCGCGCAAGCTCTGACGTCGTACGCCAAACAGCCTTCAATTACCTTCGAATATTTCCGCGGCAGTGCCCTATCTACCGGATCGCATGAGGCTTACATCGACTTTGTTGTCGTTGAAAGTTAGTAACTTTGTCAGGACTAAGCAGATTTCGTATACTGTAAAAACAATGTAGCAGTCACGGAGTAACAGCTATATTATGGGTTGTTTTAGATGACTCACATTCAATGAATACGCGGTGCACAGCTTTGTCGGGATACGTGAACAACAATTTCATCTGTCATACGGACGGAACAAATGAGCGAGTCAACTGTCCAGCCAGCTTCACTCCCATCGTGAATGGAATGAATCCGGCCTACTCGCGGCAATGCGCGCCCCAAACAACAACCACGTATCCATACTACTGGTACTCGTCGACGCCGAGTTACTGGAATTCGCATAGTACGTAAATTCGCAAATTTCGCATTTAGACTTGCTACTCGTATTTAATAAAACGTTTCTGAAAACTGATGCTGGTTGCCACGCAACTTGCTGCTTTTCTGTGGAATGACAGGCTGCTTAAAAACAGCTCCTGGAAAAAAACACATTTTGTTGTTAGTTGATTCCTTTCAGCTGCATGCAGCAAAAAAAATAAAGGATTAAGTAATCCCAAAAGTAATTATAAAATTGATTGCCGATACCGTGGAAACTTACCCGAGTTTTACATTCCAGGCAATTATGACTACGGCTTGAGTTCCGGCGCCATTACGGGAATTGTCATGGGCAGTGTGTTCTTTGTCGTCTTTCTCATAGCGGTTGCTTCCGCCGCTTGCTCAGCCAGTCGTAAAACATCTCCCAGCCGACCCATTCTGGCATTGACTAGCGGTAACATCAACACTAGTCGGCCCGTTGTTGTCGGACAGCCTGCTTTTGCTGTCGAACCCACTCCGCCGTTTATGGGAGCACCCCCGTCTTATGGAGAAGTTACTGCATTGCCGGCACAAAAAGCTACTGCATCACCGGCACAAGTCAGCGTTCCTATGCCTCAACCACCAATACCAAAATTTTAAGTGAATCGACTGCTCACCAAGCTAGTGTGCAGGATATGTTTCTGTGATACAGAGTGCTCTATACAGCTTTCCTGATATTATGAAGCGCAAGGTTGAATTTTATACAATCTGTGTAATCTTTTGTGTGCCTGCGCCTTTATAAATGAATTTTATACAATCTGTGTAATCTTTTGTGTGCCTGCGCCTTTATAAATTACAACCATCCGATAACACTTTCGATTATGGCTTTGTTGCTCAGATTTTTAAGATTTTTTGAAATTGTTAATCAAGTCAATGTAGTGCAGCAGTGACAGACTGTATGGCACTTTGTTTTTTACGAACAAAATGTTTTTTTGTATTCACTGGATGCAGTCAGAGGCAGAACACAAAAAAGGGAGGTTGGAAAAGGGAAGATCTACGTAGCTTCTTGGTAAATACTGTATTACTTTTACTGACTGCACATCCACTTTCGAATAGATCCTGTGAGCTCGTACCACCAGTACCACAGAATATGCGGTTGTAGGAAGAACTACATCAGCCGTTCGGCTTTCTCTAACGCACAGCTACGGCTAAGCCTGCGTAACTATCACGTTTTAATTGATATCATAACTGATATGGTCACAATTGTAAGATCGTTTGTCGACTGTCCGATAAGCACAATAGCCCGTAGGTGATATCCATAAGACCATAACAAAACTACTCCGCGTATTACCCATATTACGATAGACCTACTGCTGTCAGACTTTAGTGATACTAGTGCAACAACAGAAAACAATGTAATAAGTAATCTGCGTTGTTGTAATCGCTCTAAGAGATAATCCCACTTTCCCGTATAATTATATAAATAATGTTGCTTGACAGTTACTGCAACCTGTTACAGCTGACTGTGTCTGTAGCAGCGATTTGTAACAAAAGGTTCTACTGTGTCACTGCTACGCAGATGCAAACTAGAATGGGTACCGGAACCGTGGTGTTCATCATCCTTGGTCTGGGACCTTTACTGCCTCCGTAGTGCGGACGCTCAGTATTACAATTCGTGTGAGTGATTATGGTTTTACTACAGTGTACTTGTGATATTCAGTGTTTTTTGCTACAGTTCGATGAAACAGGTACGTATGTGTTACGTGTGCACGTACATATGTGTTTTGCGTTAAGCAAAATAGTTACGAGTACAAAGCCGATAGCATAATATTATTGAAACCTTTGTAGTGCGCCGCTTTGTAGAGACTAGCTTCTAAACATCAAGAGCTTCTAGAACAACAAAATAGCCTAACAGGAGAGGCCGGATATTTTAAGATCATCTGAACCGTAGATCCCAATTTGGAGAACACATGCAACCAAAGCCTAACGATTGAGTGTCCCTACACGTACACCGGTCGAGCCGGTACATTCCGCTATTATTTCATACCGGATTTGCCCACGGGATTATGCTATTTCAACGTAACACTGGCATCCAACTGCGGGAGGTCGTGGGACTTTTTCGCTTTTTATTTCAACATTCGGTAAGTAAAAACGTTAACGTTACCATAATAATTTTTTCGTAATGCGCCATTTACAAATTACAGGAAATTTGTTTTGCCGACTGCCGACTATGTCCGAATCTATGGAACTGACCGACTGGCAGCGCGTATCCTTCTCAAAGAGTTAACCGGCTCCTATACTGCTTGGTCCAATCCCTCCTCCGTCTCGCAAGCTCTGACGTCGTACGCCAAACAGCCATCCTTCACTTTCGAATATTTCCGCAGCACATTCGCATCGACAGGAGTGCATGAGGCGTACATCGATTTTGTGGTTGTTGAAGGTCGGCAAAAGCTAAACAGAATTCAAACATTTTTAGGAACAGTCACAGAGTGGAATGCCATATTGTTATGTTTTCGTAGATAGTTCACATTCAATGAACACGCGGTGCACAGCATTGTCGGGATATGTGAACAACAACTTCATCTGTCATACGGACGGAGCGAATGACCGCGTCAACTGTCCAGCCAGCTTCAATCCCGTTGTGTATGGAATGAATCCGGTCTACACAAGGCAATCATGCATTGCGCAGCCGACTAGCCCGTATTATTCTTACACGTCCACACCGAGTTACTGGAATTCCCACGGTCTCATAGGAAAAAACGAATGCGGCATACTTTGCGCTGAGTACCGGTAAGTGGTATGCCGCAGCCACTTTTTAGGGCCATTAACTCTGAATAGGCTACCAAGAGTTGGTATGCCGTGTGAGTCGCTTTAAAACGATTTCTATTGGCTAATGCTTACGAGCCAACCTCTTACTGCTTTTCCCGTTCCTATTGGACGAGCTCTTGCTATTGCTATTGGGCAGCACAGCTGCTCCCATTGGCGGAATGTATGAAGGTGCCGTTTATATGCTCTTTGCGATTTGCTGGTTTCATAACGAATAATTTTCCTCCCACCCGCTTAAAATTATGATGTTGCATAAAGGCATTGATTTATTAAGAACAGTTTGATTATATTATTGCATTATAGTTTTATAATTTTATTCACGTTTCCAGTACGGAGGTACGAGGGTCGGTATTGCAAACAGGAATTCCCGAGAAACATCAATTCAAGCGAGATTGTAGACTGAACCAATTCGGAGGACAAAATTAAGCACAACAAACAACAGTCATAAACTGAACGAAATATTCAGAGAGATATCTGGAAGCCAGTATCCTAATTAAAACATCAAATTGGAATTGGTCTTCGATGCCTCGATTAAAATCCAAACTGGTCTCAAACGGGAATTCCAGACGCCAGGTTACCTACAAGGCACAAACAGGGCACATTCACTACACTGGAAACCTTATTCCATTTTCAAACAAAATCATTTTCACACCAACGCCAGTCAGTTTTACATTTTTTTATTTTGCATGCAGATGTAACTTACCGTTTTTGATTTCATTCAGTAGAAGCGGCTTTCCCAGATTTAACTGCAAATGTAACGATGGAAATTCCCGGAATTCCTGTGGAGACAATAAAACACAACTGCTGGATGCCAAGATTCATAGATGCACATAGATTTTCACCCAAATAAAATTTTATTAAAATTGCATTTGCAGGGCTTTACTTTTGTGATGTTAAGCCATTATTTTGACAATAAGCAAAGTAGCACAAGCATATGTCAGGAATTCCCGCGGGATAAAAGAATTCTTACCAGAAAAATTTACCTTAAAGAGGACTGGCGCATCTTTTCGAAAAACGTGCTTTCTTGGTCGTGGAATTTGCCAGATAATTATTATCGTACGAGTTGCTGCCAAACAGCGAACCTCCAAATGAACGCGATTCCATATTTTTATTGGCGTTTGTCGGTTGAAACTCCAAGTTCCTCAACATTATCGTTGACGAAAATCATCACAGGAATTCCCGAACAACAGCAAACCACAAACAATCATATTCCAAAACACGACGGAAGCAAAAGAACGTCAGGAACTAGATTCTATGGGTTTTGAATTTGAAAGTTTAAAGTTTGACGTCCTAAAGCAGACTGCAACTACACAGTGCAGACGTTGGGTTTACAGTACTGGTTGCTACGGGACTGAATGTGAGTGTGCAAGACTGTACGTACAGACGTTCAAGTGGGCTGTACACGGCAGGCCGCTTGTTTGCAAGCCAATGGGAATTACAAAAACAACTAGGCTGCGGCATAGTCAGCCGCATAGTAACCGGCAAGTTATGCCGCTTACCACCTATCTATTATGCGCCCAGTCAAAATTTTGGCGTAAGCTCGATTTTCGTGTGAGGGTACAGAACTTATCTGCCGCCTGCTGGCTAGCTATTGGATACAAACAACACTGTTTTCGAAAACTAGGGCTTTTAAGCAGGTTGATTTTCTATGTGATGCCAGCTTGTCAAAAATAACCTCTGTAAAAAAAAAACAAAAATTAGGGTGTTAGTCCTGTACTGCACTACAAGCTGCCTGCAACAAATAAAAAATTACTGTAAGTAGTGCCGAAAGCGATTATAAAGTTAACTGCAAATATCAGTTGAAAGTTAACCGAGTCTTACTTTCCAGGCAGTTATGACTACGGCTTAAGCTCCGGTGCCATTACGGGAATTGTCATGGGCAGTGTATTCTTCGTCGTGTTCCTCATTGCCGTTGTTTCCGCCGCTTGCTCGGCCAGTCATAAAACGTCTCCCAGCCGACCCATCGTTCTGACATCCACAAGCGGAACCATGCAAACCAGTCGACCTATAGTTGTCGGAGCGCCTGTTGGTCCCGATCCGCCCTTCATGGGAGCGCCGCCTTCTTACGCGGAAGTCACGGCAACACCGATGGCAGTCAGTATTCCTATGCCGCAACCGCCAGCCCCGAAATATTGAGTACACGCAAGTGACGCAACTACAATGAACTGCTGTGCATCGGAAAACCTATTTCACTGTTGACCTTTACAGATGTCATTTTTATTGCTTGTATCAGATTTCTACGAAATATTGCGCTCTGTTTTGTCGACTCCTGTTTAGCAATGCCAAGATAAGCGGTCTTTTGTTTTGGTTTCGCCCTGTAGCCAACCTGTCCGGCCAAGCGGTTTCATGGGCTGTTGCGATTCGGAAAAGAAAGCAACTAACAGCAATTAAAATCGGAATGATTTATTGCATTATCCATCAGCAAAAGTGTGAGACCGGGAGTAGCTGGAACCCGTCTCGTGTGGCAAAATAAGCAAATAACTCAACACGACTCGCGCAAATATAGTAATGATAGTAATTAGTAACTTCTTGTTGCCATCTGTTCCTGTATTTGATTCATTCGCTGAACAGTTCCGGCCAAAAACTTAAAAAATAGCATTATCACTGCTGAATTTTATTTCAACAAGTGCACAAATTACGTGTAGCATGAGCCACATCAATTAACCAATCACCTTATTTTTTCTTGTTATTCGGCATCATCCAGTACACAATATTATTATTATTATTATTCATCGTGGAGCAGGTAGCCCATTTCCGGCTAGGGTGACATACTAGCTGGGATTTTAAACCTGGCCAAACAGTAAAATCTAAAAGTACGAGTACAGATAGACAGAAAAGGACTCCTTAAACAAAATTGACACGGTTCAAAACTTGCTTAAAAGCACCAATAGTACGAATATCGAACAGATCAGAAAAATTAGAATCAACAAAAAATAACCACAATTTATTAAGCTTCCAAGCAAAGGTCGTCTCGCCAACTTTCTTCTTCGCTTCCGCCTTTATCAGGATGCGGTTTCTATTCCGAAGGTTGTACGGCTTGATACGGTCGTCAAATTCCACCATCTCGCTGATGTACTGCGGCACATGGAATTTTTCCGGATGTTTGATCTTGTATAACCACATATTATCAGATCAGATATTATCAGATTTATTACCATATTATCAGATTATATCAGATTATTATTATATTATCAGATTTATCAAACACATATTATCAGATTAGCCAGCGCAGGTTTATATGTACTTCTTAAAACGGTCTATTTGTAAACACTGAAAAACATCTAAACCGTTAGTGTCGTTGGCCATTTCAGGCGATCCAAAACATCCCCTGCACTTCCTCTGACTAGGCTAGACTTAAACGTTGCCTTAAAAAGGCCGTAGATCGCCGCCGGATACTTAACGAATTTTCCGGACGAAGAATCTAGTTAACTGCGCAGATGCCGTTCGGAATGTCCGGATATTATCCATTGCTAAGTGCTAAGTTACAGAGAAGGTATCCCAAATCTGCCAAAGAAGGAGCACGCTTTCTTCAGCCAAATGCACAACACTACCGGCCTTATGGAGTTAATGTGCACATGCGACACGGCTACAGTAACCAACACGTCGCATCCCAAGAACCGCCTCACCATAAAACCGCACCAGAATTAGAGTCATTCCATCCGGCCATTTGCTGTCCTTCTCTGGCAGACCCAGACAGCAATGCTCGACAAAGATAGCCAGCCATGTAATCAATGATACTAAATGATTTTCTATTCGACCTCTTTTGGAGTACTTGAAATCTTGCCGAAAAAAGTGATATAAACAAAATCCCCATTCAAAGATTCTGTTGCAACTTTGGATGTATTGTACTAACTAGGCATTGTCGCTATTTACTGTACTGCTTCACGGGCTTAAATAGTTATGCTTAGAGGAAGTTGTTATTGTTCAATATGCTATGTTCCCGTGAGTTACTAGCCGTAGTTCGTAAGCCACCAAAACTTCTTACTCTTGCGCACGCAATGCGGAATGTAAACTGTATCGGGAAGTCTAGAAGAGCACCTAAACAGTCAATCTCTTTCCTGAGTGTTCGAAAATACAGCAGTCCGTCACAATATTTTAAGTAGCTCGGTAGAATTTGTGCAAATTACGCAGTCGACGAGATCACAACGACACTAACGCGTGCTCACGGTTCATCGAGAGTACCGCGGTTTGGGTGATCAAGAAAAACGACTCCAGTGCTGTATTTTCGACAACCACTAAGTCGACAATGACTTTGTGCCTACCGTACGGAGAGATACGGCGACCTGCAGATGTACTCAAAGGTGACAGAATTAGAATATAAGCAAGCTGACTTGCGGGCAAATACTGCAACGACTATAATATTACACTTATTGTTCTTGGTTGCACCGTACTCGCCACCGGCAATAGCTAACGAAACCGCTCAAGCGGGAAAGTTAGGAAAATGACGAAACCAAACAACGAAACCAGACAACGTGACTTTAACACTACTTGATCACCGCTGACGAAGATCTGTGCAGCATTTTACAGTCATTCGATAAGCGGAAACGCGAAAAAGAGCAGTCTTGAATGCTTTTGGAGAAAATGTGGGTAATTGCCTCTGACGTGCACATGATCAAGATACACACGCTTTTCGCGAATTTTAACGCTAGATGCATGATTTGTAGGACGGTGGATTCGACATAGAAATGCCGACCAGCGCTGGTGGTGCAGTGACTTGGGAATACGAAGGCGGTGCTCCCGGAAAAAGCGGAGGGGGATCAAAAGGAATTACTGGATCATCGAGCACGGCAGGTCGACTAGCAGCATCATGCGGCGCAACTGTTAGTAGTGGCTCGCGCGGCACGGTGCCGCTGGTTAAAGGCAGAACGATAGGTCGGCTCGGTGATCTACGTCGCCTGGCAGAGCGGACCACTTCAACCGCCGTAAGGAGCATGACCACAAATAAAACACATCCAAAGCCAATTCCCCTAAAGGCATCGGAGCTCAAATAACTGCCTGGAAAATAAAGTTTAGTTAAGTTTAGCTATCTGTTATAACAAAAGGATAAGACTTAACGAAATTCCTTTTTCCTGTCATCGATGCGTGAGCGCTGCACTGAACTAAACTGCGATGTCTATGGATCATTCAAAAGCTCTAAGTTTGTAGATTTGCAGCCAAAAGTTAGATTTTAGAGAAAAACAGACACTTAAAAGAAAACCTTAAAAACCTTGTAAGGGCGGGACGCCCCGCCCTCCTGAGTAGCTATTCGCTGTTTCTGGGGATTTCCACCCCGCACATTGCTGCGCTGTTTTGACGGACCTGCAGCACAGTTGCACTGGCTGCAGGATCCTTCCTCATTAGTCTGGTGTTGCTGCGCCACGGTGCGCATTAGATTCGGCAATAAAGCTTCATCCGGTTTCACCGCTGTTCGCTGTCGAGGATACGCGTGGCGCCCATACGGCCCCGCGTTATATGGTCGCAGATCATGGTTGCGAGCCAGGCCGTGCGCGCTGCCCGCGCGCACGGCTCCTCTGATTATTTGAGCCAATTTAACCCCCATGTGTGGAGCTACAAGGCCAGGGTCAAAAAGAGGGAGGAATTTTGAGAGGGAGGAATTTCTGCGTGGTCAAAAAGAGGGAGGAATTCATGAAGCGAGGGAGGGAGGAATTTGATATGGTCAAAAAGAGGGGGGAATTTTTTCGAAGTTCAAATGAAGTACTTAGGGACCTCGAACCCAGGTCTCCGAGGCCCCCAAGATTTTCTCATTATATACACAGTTTGAAGGGCTGAGTCGAACTGAAGTGCTCGGGGACCTCGAACCACGGTCCCCGAGGTCGCCACCGAGATTTCCTCCTCAAGATGGCGAGCGAAGCGAGCCTGTGTTTCTAATTCAAGACATGTTGAGGGTTCGCTGAAACTAAAGCACTAGTGACCTTTAGGTCGAAACGTAACTTTGGGTCGCCACCGATTCCTATACAGTTTGACATACTGAGCCGAGCTGAAGTCCTCGGGGACCTCGAACTGGGCCCCCGAGGTCGCCATCACGACATGTACCATATGTGCACAGTGTGATGTGCTGAGCCGAAATAAACCAGTACTCAGGGACCATCGAACCCGGGTCCCTGAGGTTGCGAAAACGATTTGTAACATATATTCACTGTTTGCTATGCTAAGTCGAACTGAAGTGCCCCGTGACCTCAGAACCGCGCTCCTCGAATCTGCAATTATGTTTTACCAGATTTCTGAATATACATTTGATTATTGTAAAATTATATCTTCTGATATTTCTGTGCAAATCTCTGCAATTTCTAAATATTTCTAAATATTTCTAAATATTTCTAAATATTTCTAAATATTTCTAAATATTTCTAAATATTTCTAAATATTTCTAAATATTTCTAAATCTTTCTAAATCTTTCTAAATCTTTCTAAATATTTCTAAATATTTCTAAATATTTCTGAATATTTCTAAATATTTCTGAATATTTCTAAATATTTCTGAATATTTCTAAATATTTCTAAATATTTCTGAATATTTCTAAATATTTCTAAATATTTCTAAATATTTCTGAATATTTCTAAATATTTCTAAATATTTCTAAATATTTCTAAATATTTCTAAATATTTCTAAATATTTCTAAATATTTCTAAATATTTCTAAATATTTCTAAATATTTCTAAATATTTCTAATATTTCTAAATATTTCTAAATATTTCTAATTACACCTAAATACTTAAAATTAAATGCAAGAATTTATATTCCTAGAAACTTCACTTTTTTTAAATTGTTTAAAATGATTAGAATCCTAAACAACAGAATTACTTAACAGCTACATCTATAACTGAATCTCCGAACACCAGAATATCAAAGTCAGTGCATATATAATTTAATAATAAATTTATTTATTTATTATAAAAATTTATTTATTATAGATATCAAAATAGCTAAAAACGAAGACATCTGAATAGTTTAATATATGTAGGTGCCAAAATACCTTAGATTTGTAGATTTAGTTGTCTCAAAAAACCTAATTTCGAAGTAAATAATAGGCTTAGTCTCGATTTACCGATACGTACTACCATCTTTAAATCCATAAGAAGGCTCATTATTAAATCTAAGTAGCTACCGGGCGGCTACCCGAAATCCACTTCAGCACTGGTCGGGTATACTAGCCAAAACTCAGAACGAAACACGAATATTATCTGAGGCGTTAATTTGGTTTTCAAAAATGTTGCGCAAAAACACCGATATATCAGTTCCAAAGGATTTTTTTTCCTAAATATTTTGTATAAACCATCTGCACAGGATAAGTTATCAAATGATGAAAAGCGATTCGCAATAGAACTTAAATGCCAGTGTAAAGTGATGAATGAAAAATGAGACAAAACTCACTCACATTAAAATAAATGAAGATTTTAATTTTTTTCTGGCTGCTTAATTATTTTTTATTTTAAAAACCCGAAATAATAAAATAATCATGATTTTGAAACGGAAATTAAATCATGGTATAAAAACGGCTCACATAATTATGCGCAATTACATGTACGATTTTAACAAAGGTGGTTCATAGTGAGAATTTAGATGTACATCTGAAAGCCCAATCTGCTAGGCTGATTCTGCAGCTTCAGCGCTTACCTGTTAATGCTTAACGCATTCGTTGCCTTATACATTTTAAATTAAAAACCGCCGCCCGCTTGACCTTATACTAGAGTAGGTGATACAACATCTTGTATGAAATTTCAATGAGTTTTAGAACAAACCGGCACATCTCAATATGAAGCATTGTGTCATATGTAGCTGTGTTACAAAGTGTCATCCGCCGATAAAGGAAATGCGCTGTTGATTTGCTTTAAAAAATCAATGTTTCAAATATTTAATTTTGTTTTAGCAAGACTTCATTTTTCCACTGCAAATTTAGAATCCAAACGGTGGTAAAATACAACAGATTATATCATAATATAATATGAATTTATGATCCAAAGCTTGCGGTAACAATTAAGAAATTCGATCTAAAAGTGGTGTTCGAATTCATCTCTACAGTAGAATTACATAATGTAATTCGTTTCGAACATAATCAGCATGGATAATAACGTACAGGTTCTAGTTAGATAAAATTCGGCATGCTATGTATTTTGATATTTAAAAATTTAGTATTTTGAAGGGAAATGCCAGTTTTTAAACCTTGTTTTCAAACCAGTTTTATATTTACGGTATTTTATTTCTCAAATATTCTCAACACCGTAATCAGAATTTTTACGTTTACGTTTCACGTAATTCAAAATGGTAGAGCAATTGTGAAGTCGAACTATTTAAAAATGAATGTTAAAATGTGACAAAGAATTAAAAACGTAATTAGAATATTTAAAATAGATTTAAACTTTAAAACAAACTTAGGAAAAGGTTGAAACATGATAAAAAATGTTCATAGAATTATTGAGAATCATTGAAAAAAATATTGAGAAATATTTAGAAATATTGCGAAATATTTAGAAGTATTGAGAAATATTTAGAAGCTGTTTGTAGTTGTACAGAAATATCAGAAAATTAATTTTAGAATTATCAAAAATATATTTAGAAATGTGTTAAGACGTATTTTCAGATATATTTTTTACTATCGAAAAATATGTTGAAATATCTATCTATATAAAAGAATAAAAAGGTGCACAAAATTTGTGTGTGTCAGGGTCTAAGTCATAGACACGTTCAACCAAACTTGAATGTCTACATACCGTTCGATAGCCCAGAATGTGTAGATTTGTACAAAGTTATCAGATTTCAGAAAAACATAAACAATTTGGAGAAAAAATTCATAACTCTAACATGGAAAGTCTACGGTACGTCAAAAACCAGTTAACGAGCGCAGTTAAGTGAGTAGCCGCCACCTGGCGCAGGTTGTGTGGCTCTGCTCAGTCTGCTGATTTTACCGTAACGGCGGAGAAGTGCGGCTTCAGCTTGCAACACATTATCCGTTCGTAGTCGAGTTCGTTTAATTTACGTTTACATTTCCGAAGGTAAAAGGCACACGTTTCAACTTTAAAGTGTGTTCGGTTGTCATTTGCAGATTTTTGCAAAACGTACTGTAAAAAACTACACATAGTTATCTGTAGCTATGTATCTGACAGCTATTCCCGATTTCCCGTTATGAAATTTGAGGGCAGGCACACGCGAAGTGTGCTTGCCCTCAATAGTTTGTGCAGCCCTTAGTTTGTGCAGCTGCTGCAAGAGTTTCGCAATGTAAATATGTGGAAATTGCTGCAAGTAAAAACGGAAAAAAACTGGGAAATTTTGTGTTTGTTATGTTCAGTTTTTGTAAGCTTGGAAACTTCTTGCAAGCTATGCCGCCGTTCGGGTTTCCAACTTCATGTTACCCAATCTGATAGTTTCATAGCAGCTGTGACGCCGGGCGACGCGCACCAGCGGATGCGAGACATTCTGCATAGTGCTGCGTAATTCTGTGGCACAGTAATAACACAATCCCGAATTTACACAAATTAAAAGTACACAGCAATCTTAAGATTGGCGAAAATGGAAAATTGGATTTGCTTTTTGTGTTTTCTGAATTGTCCTTTCAATCCACAAGTAGACGTGGAAAACTGAAAGCTAAAAGTAAAGGCGACCACTCCGTTACAGACTTTTAAAATCGTTTGTTTCGACTACGACCGTTCTCACTACGCTCACCCCGTGCACTACATTGCGTACCATTTACCCGGTAAACTACCTTTTCGGTTTTCGCCTTTCACCGTCCGTTATGGTCCGACGTGGGAAAACACTTGGCAGTGTTTCCTGCACAATAATTTTACTATCTTTGAAAAGATGTACGCGTTATTTTAATACCTAAATTCCAGAAATTATTATTCTTATAAATTCCAAAAATAAATTCTTTTGAATTTGATCAGAAATTATTCCGAACTGTTTATAAAGAAATTCATTGCGCGAAAACATAATAATTATTGGTACTTTGTCTGACTGTTTAAAGTAGCAGCATTTACGAAATACATACTATTTTGAAAAACGAAAATGAATGTACAGTACAGAAATATTTTGAAAGCAAGCATGTGTGGTGAAAGCAAATACAAATATCAAGCGACGGTAGTTTTGAATTGGACCGTTGGGCCAGGCAGTAAAACTAAGTAAGTAATGAACGGAGGGAAAAGTAGTACGAGTACCGACAGCTTCGAAGTTTTTTGTGAACCGAAAATAATACGAGTACGATTGAAAGGCATTGCGGAAGTGGTGAACCGAGTCGTCAAATTAACCATTTATTTTTAAAAGTTTTAAACGGTGCCACAGCCCAGTGTTTTTGGTTGTTCCGCTGGCTGTTCATATTAACACTGGCTGCTGATTTAGTACGTATTTATCACGATGGTGGTATTATTAACGAAAATAAGTACAGTACTGTACGATTGTAGTATTGTACGAGTAGGTCTCCATAGTTCGTGCAGTTATCATCCGCTAATTTCCTCCGCGCAATTTGCGCGGGGTCCACTAGTAGTCAGGAATATGTCGAACAATATCTAGAATATTTAGAAATGTATTTAGGAATATGTGGAAATATAATAAGAAATGTTAGTGAAAATATTTAGAAACATTTACGAATATTTAGAAATATTCCCGGTTTCTACGACCTCCCGCAGTGGTTTGATAAAGCACATCAAACTATGGATATAAAATATGTATCGTGGTGGCGACTTGGGGGACGCGGTTCCGAGAACCCCCAGCACTTCAGTTCGACTCAGCTTAGCAAACAGTGAGTATATGTTACATATCGTAGTGGCGACCTCAGGGACCCGGGTTCGATGGTCCCTGAGTACTTTATTTCGGCTCAGCACATCACAATGTGCACATATGGTACATGTCGTGATGGCGACCTCGGGGTCCCAGTTCGAGGTCCCCGAGTATTCAGTTCGACTCAGCATGTCAAACTGTATAGGAATCACCATGAAAATCGGTGGCGACCCAAAGGTCACGTGGCAACCTAAAGGTCACTGGTGCTTCCGTTTCAGCGAACCCTCAACATGTCTTGAATTAGAAACGCGGGCTCGCTTCCCTCGCCATCTTGATGAGAAAATCTCGGTGGCGACCTCGGGGACCCTGGTTCGAGGTCCCCGATCACTTCAGTTCGACTCAGACCTTCATACTATGCAAATAATGAGAAAATCTTGGTGGCGACATCGGAGACCTGGGTTCGCGGTCACTAAGTACTTCATTTGAACTTCGAAAAAATTCCTCCCTCTTTTTGACCATATCAAAATTCCTCCCTCCCTCGCTTCAGAAATTCCTCACTCTTTTTGACCAGGCAGAAATTCCTCCCTCTCAAAATTCCTCCCTCTTTTTGACCCTGGCCGAGCTACAAATGCCCCCCATTCCCGCGGAACGTGATGGATTCCTCTCCCAACTGACGGAGATGGACGCCTCCCCGCGCCGGATGCCTCCCAAACTGGACGGAGATACCGCGGAGCGAGAAACGCCTCCTGCGATGCCGTGGAGCGAGAATTGCCTCCTGCGATGCCGACGGCGAACGCGACCCGGACCAGCGGGAAACCAGAACGGATACACCGCCAACAGCAGCACCAACTCCGATCCCAACGGCACGGATCGACCACCAGCATCACGCCAAAGAATTCCCCCACCATAACACTGCCCAAACTTCCTGGGACGGCGACCTCCCCCCGGACGGAGCAGTGGATTTCACCGCGGATTTGCGTGCTTTGTTTTTTTTACAGGGGTCACGGGCCACATAGACCCCAAACCCCTGCCCAAATTTCTCCAGAACGTGACCTTTCCCCTGCTGAAGAAACGACGGAATTTACCCGTTTCCGGGTTGGACCCTGGATTTGATTTGGCGCGACAATGCGTTGACCCAGACGGCTGACCTCGGACCGAACCGGACCGAACTGACCCGGCACCCAACCCGAGCCGAACCGGATTCGAGCCGACCGGACCGAACTGACCCGGAACCCAAGCCGAACCGGCGTGGGGTGCGGATCCTCCGAATCCTGGGAGATTTCGCTCCGAGGACGTAGCGATGCCTGCAAAAGGGGTGTAAGGGCGGGACGCCCCGCCCTCCTGAGTAGCTATTCGCTGTTTCTGGGGATTTCCACCCCGCACATTGCTGCGCTGTTTTGACGGACCTGCAGCACAGTTGCACTGGCTGCAGGATCCTTCCTCATTAGTCTGGTGTTGCTGCGCCACGGTGCGCATTAGATTCGGCAATAAAGCCTCATCCGGGTTCACCGCTGTTCGCTGTCGAGGATACGCGTGGCGCCCATACGGCCCCGCGTTATAACCTTTAATTATTAATATATAAAGCTTGTGGTAAAAGTAAGAAATCCACCACCACAAAACCGACTATCTACCAGACTTGGCCCATCTTTTGGGTGAGGTGAAAATTTTTCCCATTTTTCCCAGCCCATCTCACCTTTTAGGTGAAAATGAGGATGAGGTGGGAAAGAGCCGCAGATGAGGTGAGATGGGCTGGGATTGTTGAAAGATGGGATGGGATCCAGAAAACACATAAAAATAAAAAATGTTGATATTTTCATCTGTTTTTCAGGCTAGGAGCATGTAAAAATGCACCATTCGAGCTCCAAAAACTAAAATTTTCCGCGCTCCGCGCGAATTTTATCAGTAAGTAAACATATTTTCTTGGGAACCAAAATTTTTTTTCGCCCAGCAACTCTATGGTATGCGGAAAAACTTGCGAAATTAACGACGCTGAGCCTGTAAAAAATGGGGATGGAAATGAGGTCCAAAAGGTGAGATGGGCTGAAAATTTGAGTAGCCGGAGGTGGGCTGGGCTGGGAATAAAACTGTGAAGGTGGGGGTGGGGTGAAAGTGGGAAAAGCGAAAATGGGCCAAGTCTGCTATCTACTATTGTTTCGCCAGCCCACACATTTTTACTGGGATTAGATGAAACTTTGATGTTCTTGAAGTTAAATTGGCTCGTGAAGGATGGCTCTAAAACTGCCCAGAATGCTGTCTTTTTGGCTTTTCTGGGACGAAAATTTGAAAATGTCAATTTGCAAGTCTAGGATTGCCATTGGCATTTAGTTAGGGCGGGATGGGTAAATGTTCATACGAATAAATGGAATGGATATACTAGCGCTGTCTTTAATGAAAACAGTCAATTTATAAATTAAACTCTACAACTCCTTATACAACTCGCTCTTACAACCATATCGCTCGCTCTCTATAATATGTAGTAGTTGAAAACTAGTATGTTTTTCGTTGAGTTGCCCATTGCTTGGTGATTCCGCGCAATTTGCGCGGGGTCTGCTAGTTTGTACATAATTAATTTGATAAGCACTAATGAGCATTGAATGCCGTAGTGAGTGCGTTGCAGTTAAGTACTTATTCATGCTCATGGCTCATGGTCAGTGCAAGTGCTACCGCATAAAATACTTGTATCTAGTTAATTTTGAACAACCGTCTGATGCGAACCCAGCACCACTTGTTTCCATGATATTTTCACCGAAGTACACCACAGCAAATAAGCAAATTGCCTGACGTGTACCTGGTGCGTCTTGGCTGTTCCAATAGTCAAATAGTGGTCGACGGTCCAGGAAAGTCGGCGGGGACTTGAAAGGGCATGATGACCTCAGGTAGGCTGGATTCTCTGCATACACGTCGGCAGTAAAACTGTCCGGGCAGTTGACGCGATCTTCAATTCCGTCCGTATGACAGATGTAATAAACGTCCACATACCCCGACAAAGCCGTGCAATACATACGCAATTTATCCGGATTATCTACAACGACAAAATATGGCATATTCTCAACTTATTAACCGCATTCAGTAGTACAAGAGTGGTATTTTCTTACTTTCAACGGTAACAAAATCGATGTCAGCCTGGTGCGATTCCGTAGCTGGTGACGTGTCGCGGAAATATTCGATAGTAAAGGATGGTTGCTTGACGTAGGATGTCAGAGCTTGCGCAGCCGACGAAGGATCGGAGCGCGCGGAGTGGGAACCGGTCATTTCTTTGAGCAGGATGCGCGGCTCCAATGAGTAAGTTTGATAGATTCGGACACGGTCGGTGGACGGTAGAAGAAATTTTCTTCATTTCAATAAAGTAGTATTAATACGAGTACACCAAGAAACTGTATGGTACTACGACGTTTCTGATATACCGGACACTTGAGCTATATCACCGCTTATTCCGGACACCGCTCGGACAGAACTGCTCGGGCTGGTTCACACAAGAAAGTCTTTTGGATTCAGCAAACAGCAATTACTGCCACTTGAGTGATTGAGTAATCATTTTCAAATGCATCTTTCTTATGATCCGTGCTCGGAGGCGTTTGCTGCAGTAGTGCCCGGACTCACTCCGGAATATGGGGTCATATATCTAAAGCGTCCGATATACCAGAAATGTCGAGATATCCCTTTAACGCACCGAATGTTGAAATAGAAGGCGAAACGGTCGCTCGGTATCCCGCAGTCGGCTGGCAGTGTCACGCTAAAGAAGCACAGTCCCGGGGACAAGTCCGGTATGCGGTAATAGCGGAATGTTCCGGCTCGTCCGGCGTACGTGAAGGGACAGTCGAACTGCATGCTCTGATTGCACATCTTGCCCATATTTGGATCTGTTAAATTCATATTATATTTTTCAACGTATCAAACAGCTTTCTGATAGCTAAATCGTTCAGGCGGTCAGTTAAGTTAATTCAGCTTCCGATTTCATCCAAGTGGCGCGATTTGGCTAAACGCTTGCACAGGACACTAGAGGAACGTATTTTAGAGAACAGAAATAGCGCGGCTGATGCGAACTACTGCTCAATAAGCGCTAATCCTTGGCTGGTCAGTTGTTCATAAGAGTAAGAATGTCAAGTTTTTGTCGGCAATACCTATCAAAAGCGAAGTGAAAACACGTGCACCCGAATTCACTTTTAAATGTGAACGTCAGTAAAACAACCAAAATGTCTCTTTTTCATTAGTTAAAGTAATAGTGCTTAACACAACCAGTTTAATTTATTACGCTAGCGCAACTTACGGTACATATAATACTGAGCCTCCACATTACGGATGCAGAGAAGAAATCCCAGACCAAGGATAATAAAGGACGCGCTCCCAGTGCCCATTTTTGCACACAACTGTGAAATAATACCACGGTAGAACGCCGCCGCACACACCTGTTACAGACATATTCAGTTTTACACCGTTAGCAACTGCATACTCTAAAACACAGTATGTACATAGCTCGCTTTATCTGATAAACAGTACTATCTCCCAGGACGATTACAGAAACCCCGGTGGTTCTGAAGGTACAGCTGGCAACTTGTGCAGACTGCTGCGGTTGCAATGAAACATTACGTTTTTGTCGGGAATACCGATCAAAATGAGCGTGTAATACTACTGATTTACTAAACCTACTCTATAATTCTAAGTCGCGTTATTTGGTTATGGTTGATCATGCGCTATTTTACGTATATTGCATGTAGTGATTCGATTCTGAATGTAAAGAATGTCTGCAGGCTGCAAACGCAAATTTGCTGTTGCGACTACTGGCTTTTGCCACACGAGTCATGAAGTCTTATTGTAGAAGAATCTAACGGACTAATTAGTCTGTTAGATGTGCCGTAGACATCTCGGCGTCCAACTGCGACAGCCACTTTGTTTGATTTCGCGCACAGTAACCGGCCGAACCTGCGTAATACTATCACATCAAACTGATTGTAGCAACATTGATAATGCCTTTCTCCGCTGTTCGATACGAATAGTGGTTCAAAGTAAATATCAGTGGCAAACCCGCTTAACGTATTACATTTTGTGCAGTAGTCTTGCTAAAAGACTTACTTCTGCCTGGCATGAATGATATAACTGCGGAAAACTGTAGTGTGCTAGTGTTATCTAGGTTTCTCTTATCAATCCTAAGAGATAACAATACTCATCGGTGAGTAAGTATACGTACAGTTTCCACTATGAATTGTATTTCACAGTAGCGTGGCTCACACCTTAAAACTGCCTGTGTATGAAGCAGCTCTTTGCGGCAAAGTTTCTACCGGATTTTGCAGGCTCAGATGTAGGCTAACATGGAGATCGACCGCGGGATCTTCGTTATCCTTGGTTTAGAATTCCTTCACTACATCAGCGATGCACACGCTCAGTATTATAATTCCTGTGAGTGACACAACCTGCGCGCAAATGCTATTAATTGTCGGATCTTAAATGTTTTTGGATGTTATTCTTGACAACAGCGGTAATCGTAAAGTTCGAACAGAGGGACGAAATATGTTTGTAACTTAGTACATCCTTTCCTGTGTTTACTCCGTTGAAACCTGGTTTTGAACAGAACAGGAGAATAAATTATTTCTGATGCTTAATGTCCTTTCATCGAAAATCATGTGGATTGCAGATCCAGATTTGGAGAGCACCTGCAATCAAACCCTGAAGATGGAGTGCCCGTTTTTGTACACTGATAAAGCCGGTACACTCCGCTATTACTTTATATCGAACCTACCGACGGGACTATGTTACTTCAATGTAACATTACCTCCCGACTGCGGGATGGCGGATGACGTTTTTGCCTTTTACATCAATATTCGGTAAGGAAAAACAGTTCAGTAATCATGATAGTTTAATCGTAACGCGTTGACGAACTTCAGGAAATTTGTCTTACCGACTGCCGATTCTGTGCGAATATATCAAACTAATCACGTAGCACCGCGAGTTCTTCTCAAAGAGTTAACCGGCTCATTATACGCGCGCCCCAGTCCTGCCTCGGTTGCACAAGCTCTGACATCCTACGCGAAGCAGCCATCCTTCTCCTTGGAATATTTCCGCAGTACATTCAATTCTACACGAGAGCACGAAGCTTATATCGACTTCGTTGTCGTCGAAGGTTGGAAGACCATGACGTAATTAATATTATCCACCAACCGAGCTACATAAATGCCATGATTTGTATTTTTTGCTAGGCAGAGCACATATAATGTACACGCACTGCACAGCTTTATCGGGTTATGTGTACAATAAATTGATCTGTGATACGGATGGAACGAATGAACGCGTCAACTGTCCAGCCAGCTTTACTCCCGTTGTGTACACAACGAATCCGGCCTACTCGCGACAATCATGTGCGCCCGGTGCAGCTGCGGCGACCGACTTTAATCCGAATCCTGGTGATGGTACGCAGATGGCCTCCGATGGTAAATTTTTTGTCCTACTTACAATACACGCCCTTGTTAAATGGGTGCGGTATCGCCTGAATGCATAAATACCTACCGGAAAAGCTAGTGCTGCTGAACAAATCCTTGTGTTCTTTTTCTTTATTCTTTTCCTTGTGTTCTTTTTCTATATTTTTCTATATTTCTTAGTGTTCTATTTCGGAATATGTACAAAGCGAGCTTCGCTCAACAGTTACAATCAAATTAAGAACATGTCTCAATTTATACGGAATGGGACTTTGCACAACACACCCATGCATCGCTTTGTGTTGTTCAGCAGGGTCACAGGCTACCAAAAACGCACTCCAGTCACTAGCTGCTAAACTCATCAGAGTGTGGCACTTGCATGGGAATAAACAAATGTCAAGAATAGAACACACCATTCTTGACTAATAAATCATCTGAACAGACAAGTGTAAAATTAACAAGGCTTTTTTCCAGACGATTCTGACATCACTTTAAGCAACACCGCCATTATCGGAATTGTCGCGGGAAGCGTATTTTTGGTCGTCGTCCTAATTGCCATCGTTTCCGTTGCCCGTCGTGCCATTCGACGGAGATCACGCGAGCGAGCCGAGATCGCACCTCCAGATGACATCGAGCTCGCCAATATGCCCGGTGCTGCTGCGGAGACCATTCAACCTCTTTTGAGGCAGCCGCCGCCTGCGTATAGGGAGCGTCCTCCGTCGGGGCCCCCTTCGTATAGGGAGATTGAGACATCCTTTATGGAAGGGCCGCCTTCGTACAGGGAGCATGCGCCATCTTTTAGGGGCGGACCACCTTTGTTCAGGGATCCTACTATACCTTTTATGGAAGAACCGCCTCCGTATTCCGAAGTTGCCACACCGTCGGCGCAAGTCGACACTCCTTTGCTTCAACCTCCAACTCAGATTGAAGCTGCTGAAGCCTGGAACAGTTCCGAATAACGAATATCTCCATGTGACCACCAGCATCACAAGTTCTAACCAAAAGCCCTCAAGATTGCTCTTTCGTACGTCGTATTATAGATTTTGAAAATTCAGGTCTACGTCGACTGTGGTTATGTGATGTTAATATTGTTAAGGGCTCCGACGGTCTCATTTGTTACTTTATTCGGCCAAAAGCTGACTGTTGCCACTTGCCAAAAACGATGCAACGGAGGAAAAGTTGTTTGTTTGTTTTGTTAAGTTTGTTACATTAAAGCGTAAATTATTTGTTGCATTATGACATCTACCAGCAAAAGTCTGAAAGAGCAAGACACAACTGACGGGCGCTGTTTTAAACTTGCTGCCTGTGAACGCCAACGTGGCTCCGGCCGTTACAGCACGTTAATGTTCTAAGCCGTCACCGTAATATGATTCGTCCACAAAGTGTGAGACTGCTTGAATTACGCTGGAATTATAGCTCTTGCGTCAAATCGCCACTACGGCATTTCGCATTACTTCACAATCTTGCTTAGTTAACCGGATGTATGGTAACGCGTATGCTTAGTGAAAGGTTCAAACTGCAGATCGATAAGGAACATCCTTGACTTAAGATAGATATCTGCGTTAACCAAGTCGGTAGGGAGAGTGTAATAGTGGTAAAATGTTTTAGTCAGATCAGAAGCAATAAGGTGTGTTCCGCTGGCAGTCTAGCTTATAGAAGTTTTCTTCGATATGTGCATCTACTGTAATTATCGCTTCATACAGTGTGAATCTCAAGAACCAAAAAGCAGAATTGTATTTTTTTAATTTTGTGAAATTTTCTCCGGCGCTACTGGCATATCGACCTTTGCGGCGGCAATGACTTCTCGGAGCGTGCTTGTTTTTTTACTGGGAAGTATATATATCGCAAGGAGTGCCACGGCTCAGTATTATTTTACATGTAAGGGCTGGAACCATTTCTGCTTGGCGGGGCTGACGCAAAAATCAGTACTTTGAAATACATTTTTCGTTAATGCGTCGATATTTCTCAGCAACCGGTTATCTTAGTTTGACTATTCGATCACTAGCCACCCATGTACAGCGTGAATGAAGTACCTAGTACGTACAGTCCTCACTTCCTGCGTGAGAAGAGAACGTGTCTGGGTTTAGATAATACGCAATTAATCTAAAAACTTTTCAATGAAAATATATACGTAGTAAAAGCAGCTGATGGCCGGGAAATACTACAGTAATTTTCTTACTGCAGATAGTTGTGTATATGGCGTGAGATAATGAGCGGTCATTTGCAGATGATGATTTGGAGGCAACGTGCGGTCGCACATTGGTTCTAGCTTGTCCATACACTTCCGACGGCAGAGCTGGCACATTCCGCTATCGCAGCATCGAGATACTTTCGAAAGGATTTTGCTATTTCCACGTTACACTCAACTCCAACTGCATGAAACCATCTACGCAGTTTGCGTTTTATTTCAACATAAGGTACTCAGTGCTCTGTATGTACACATACACAACTCAGCGGAACAAGTGTGGTTACTGGCCAATTAAATTTCTTAACGTTGTGCAAATATTACAGAAAATTCAGGGTTCCTGATGGTGACGCCCTGAGTATCCATGAAAATAAAGATGAATCACGACTTCTGATCCTAAGCTTGTATGGCGTCAGGGGTCATCTAAGTAATCCTGCGTCCGTCGCACAAACACTGACCACGTACGCTAAGGAACCATCCGTCACGTTTGAGTACAATCGCACCTCGTCGCTGGTCTACGCTGTGCACGAAGTCATCATCGACGTAGTCGTTGTTGAAGGTAACAGCGTTGGTGATAGATCGTAACAAGAAGTGGCAGATTCATCAAGCAAGCTGGGCGGCCCTGTATGAAGAGCCATACGATATTCTTTTTCTTTAGATACGTCTCACTCGCACAACACTTACTGCGGGGCGCTGCAAGGCTACGTCAACGAAGACCTGATCTGTGATGCAGACGGGATAAGTGATCGTGTCAACTGTCCGTCCAGTTATACAGCCAACCCGAATGGAATCAGTCCAGCTCTATGGCGACAATGCGATCTAGAAGTTCAAGGTACTTTTTGTAATCTCTTGTCATATAAAAGCCAGTTTCAAAATAAGCGATTTTTGTATTTTGTTGAATTTAGCATCAGCTTTTGGCAATAGCCGATGCTTTAACGAAAACAGGTCATATATGGAAATTCCACAAGTGCGCACTACGAAGTTATAGGTACAGTAAGCTAGTACAACGTACGAATTATTTGCTTACAGGCAGTAAAAATACCGGCCTCAGCCCCCTTGCAACTGGAGGAATCGTTATAGGGATCGCCATTTTACTGTTTCTTATTCTTCTGGCTGCAGTCGCGCGGCGTGGATCACTAAGTCAATCCATTACGGCGACGTCAACGAGTACCACTGTAACGGGTCCACCGCTTATTGTAACCAACCACGCACCTTCACCTGCCACTCCGCCTTCCATGGATTCCCCACCATCGTATGCGGACGTCATGGTGGCACAGGCACAAAGCGCAATTCCCCTGTCGCATGCTTCCATACCGAGAACTGTGAAATAAAAATTGCAGCATGTCCAGCATTTTGTCCGCTGAATAAACTGTGATAAATTGTTGTTTTATTACCTTTCGGCATGTCTCTGGTGTGATGACTTAGATGGCACAATTAGTATGACGCAATTATTCAACTTGTCTGTAAAATTTTCCGACGCTTTTGAATCACCGGTTGTATTATAGCCGATAACTGCGCAGAGGTCTATACGATATATAGATCATAAACTTGGAAAGTTATTAACGGTAATCGCGGGAATCACTTAAAATGTTAGCGAGCCCGATAAACTATTTACAAATAGTAAAAACACACTACAAAGTTGACTAAGCATCGTAAAGTTGCTTTCAGTACCTAGTAACCGCTATTTGCGGCCTAATGCGACGACTGTGACACCCACAGAACTAGCGAGAGAGCTGTCTAGAGAATCTGCGAGGCGAATTTGATACTAAAACATAAATTTTCACTTGCTTTTGGACCGTATCCCCAAGGTCAGTAGATAAACTGTAGATCCCAAACGTCTCCGCGATGACAAACGATATTTACATTTTGCACATTCGGCGTAATTGTTTCCACATTACTCGTACTATGATTCGTCCACGGAGAAGTAATTCCCGGCAGAGAAGACACTGTTTTACAGGCCTTACAGTTAAGGGTCTTACGGCTGCTTGCTTGCTTGCGTCGTGAAAAAACGCATGTCAACCACTCCTGTACGTACTTTGCAGAATCGCTCCTACGAAAGTAGTACAACTTTTACTATAAAACTTTTATCTTAAAAGGTTTATGTGTACTGAAAAGGCTTCACTCAGCGGCAGCAGCTGTTTAGCAAACTGTTTTTACCGGTTAATCGGTACTGCGTACACTGAATAATAATATAGACCCAAAATATACCGTATTGCACACTTGTACTGCCCGAGGCAAGCGTGTGGCAGTGTTGTCATCGCACAAAACGCGTGTGCAATAATTTGCCAGCCGCTGCCTAAACTTTATTGCTCGGCTGAGGTACGCGTGCGTTCAAGTAGCGGTGTAAACTGTACTGTATACCTAAACATGCGGACCCATTCAACGAAAATTTTTGAGATTTATAAAATAATTCCAGTGAAACGCTATCGCTGGATATTCATTTACGGCAGCCATGGGAATCAGAAGAGGGCTTGTTCTGACTTTTTCACTGGAGATTATCTATTTCTTGAGAACTTCTGCGGCGTTTTATTATAATTCCTGTGACGGAGAGATCAGTACGATAGGAATAATTACCGTAATAATCTATCCTACCGACCTACTCAACGACAGAGTATGAGCTAATATCTCAATGTGGCATAGCTAAGTCTACGAATCTACGCGAAGCGAGACTGCATCTCCGACGATATTTTAATTAGAAACTCCGAAACTGTCAAAACTCGTAATGAGAGAACTGATGATCAAAGTACTGCCACTCACGGACTTATATAGACACGGCGCATCCGTGTAGAAATCAAACCAAAAGTAGATCCGAACACAAAGAGAACGATCGAGAATGTACAAGCGAATAATGGAAAGTACAAGTAAAGCCGTCACTTCACGTACGTATCGCTACAGTACTGCTATATTCCGTCACCCCCGCAAACGGCTTTTGGGGAACCCAACACAAAAAGAAACGAAAAGAACAGGAAAAACAGGAACAAAAAACTAGATAAAAATGAGTTCTCACGCTCTCGACTGGGCAAGGTCGGGCAAATCCATCCTCCGTCCAAGAATGACATGATCCTCCACGGGTGACAAGTGAGATGGTGAGAGGAGAGGATCCTTGACGGGATGGGAAAATGAGTGCAGGCAAGAGAAACGAGCAGGTTGGCAAAACGGCAGTCGGAGTGGAAAAACGTCGGAATGAAACAAACTTCATGTTTTTTCAGTGGCAAACATTAAATTAAGGGATAAATCGCCGATGAAAAATTCAACGCAAAAAACATCCGCGATTGAAAATCAAAATAAAAGAAAACACCACTTTGCAATTGCGAAACACTTTCAACACGCGTACTCGTAGTCAGCATAACACCCGGAGGCGGTTACCAATGCGACTCAATCAGCAAACGTACAATCATCGTAGTACGGCATTCAAAAAGGATATCTCCGGGAATAAATTCCCAGAAAATTTACAGGAATATTTCGAAGTTTGTCCACATCACTGGACTTGTCTTCACCACCATTTCCACAACCTGGCTGTCAGCCTCGATAACAAAATTTTTCAATTCCGCTAAAGGCTGGTTCACAATTTTAGGTTTTTCACATTCATTTGAGTCGACGCGTCGACCAGCCCCATTATACTCGTACTCAACAGGCTTCGTAGTGCACGGGATTTCGCATTGCATTTGCGGCTGAGCAAGAGAAATTTCAGCTTTTTTGTTCTGCGATTTACTGCAAACTTCAGCTACACATTCAGAATTATGAATTTTCACACAATCTGACACAACTCCAAAATTTTCAGAAACTTCAGCGCTACCGCATTTCAACAAAACATTTTCAATAGTTTTCACCATATTGTACCAATAATACCGGGTGGTCAAATACTTTTGAACTGACACTCCGCTAGGTATTAATTCATTTTTCCCACATCGTTCCCGCACTGAATTAATCAGTTTTTCACGCCATTGTTTAGGCACCACAATTCTATCAATACCATTTACTGAGCGCTTACGACACAACATTCCGTTTATCACAACCATGTGATAAATTTCTTCGTTTTGAAACTTATTTCTCGCTTTAATGGGATTTTTGTACAAGTAATACCAGTGTTTGGTATCCTTGCATTTACGCTATTCGGCTTTCCAAAACTCTTCATCAACGAAACTTTTGGCCGCAAAGGCTATTTCAGTGTTGTCGGGCTTACCCCCGCAAACTTGACTGGGCACAGTCGTTTGCAACGTATCGGGCGGTAGCTCATTGGGCACTGCTCGCCCCCGCAAACTTGAGTGCTGCTTCACTTTAGTTTTCACATTTTCAATCGGTTTTAATTCACCCTGTACAGTGCGTATTTCCAATGAATGCGCTTCCAGTCGTTTAATATTGTAACGCTTGAGCACTTCAATCGGCGGTTCCACTGTAACGTCTTTCCATTTACCAGCAAATGTACAGTACTTAGCTGGATGCAGCTCGTGACATTTAAAGCAAATAGGCTGACCACTGTCAGTACGCCATTTATTAACATTAATTTCCACATTTCCAATAACGTACGGCTTTTTACTGCCACTACTGCAGTTTTCATAGTTTTCATAGTCATACTCCTCGTCATATTCACATTCCTCATCATTCAAGCTCTCAGTTTCATATTCATCGTACATATTTTCATATTCAGCATATTCATCTGAATCAGCATTTTCGTTCATTTCTCTTTGACACTTCAAAGTGTACAGCGTTTTTAACTGCACCATTACATCTTCAACAGTTTTAGGTTTCGACATAATCAACTTTTCATACCACTTCATACGAGTATTCTTTAGTCCCTGAATGAGAACTGATACTCGTTCCTCTTCCTTCGTATTCAACGTATTAAACCAGTTAAGAAAACCATCGACATACGAATTCACCGTGTCTTCCTCTTTGAAGACACGTGCATACATCGCTTGCCGTATTTCGGCCGGTTCACTTTCCGAAGAAAAGTGATTAATCAATGCTGCTTTCCAGTAAATCCAGTCTTTATCTGGATTTAATTTTTTAGTTTCGGCATACCACAGATATGCATCGCCTTTCAATGCATAAGACAGTCCTTTGTCAATCAACATTTTATCAGTCCAGCCATTAAAGTCATTAAAGGTACTGTGTTTTTTCAGACGCTTTAGACGTACGCTGCATTTCTTCCATTTCGGACATCAGCGCTAGTTGGGCTCCATCAATTCTTCAGCTCGTGTTTTTTCTACACGGCATTCACTTTTAATTCTTCCAGTTTGTTTACGCAGTTTAACCAGTTCAGCGTTAAGCGCACTAATTTCAATTTCCATACTCGTATTACGACTGTTTAACGCATGACAGATGCGATTAGCATTGCTGTACTTCCTTTGAACTGCAAGTGCAGTATGTAGAGATGCCCAGGCTATCTCTTTCAATTCATCAACGTTAAATTCTTCTTCAATTCTTACATCCCATTTTTCCATTGCTTTTTCAAATCGTTCTTGATTGAGCGAATGTTCAATAAGTTCCGACTGCAACGGGTGCATGTCGTACCACAATTCTTCATTCTCAGCAATGCCGCCAAATTGTACGGCATTTTTATTGTGCTGTGCTGCATTATCGTATGCAGTTGACGCTGCCTCTTCCATTCTTGTCAGTTTGTCAGTGTCCATTGCACTGCTATCCGAGGAACTCTATTGTTCTTACCCGGATACTTTAGCTACGCGTTCACTCTCAGTGTCTGTTGCACTGGCTTCAGGTTTTTATCCGGTAGACTTTTGTTCTACGCGGAAATTTTAGCTACGCTTTTGTTTCAGTGTTCGTTACACTGACTACCAGGTAGACTCTTTTGTTCTAATCCGGATATTTCAAATCGAGATGATGATCTTCGGTGTTCTCTCACCGCTCACAGCGCTCGCAATTGTTCTGGCTGTATGGCTACGCTACGATATGGTGCACCTGTATGCTCTCGCTTTTCGCTCTCGCATACAATACTTTAGCTCAAGATTGTGTCGACACTGTATATGCGCAGGCACTGCTCTGGCATACAAAAAACTTTAGCTCAAGGAAACTGCTTTCGAAACCCTGTCTACTTACAGTCGGTTACGTAACCGCTACGCTTCAGATTTCAAGGAAACTCGTGCCCTGCAGAAGCTACGTGTACCTACTTCAGCTTCAATTCATCAATTCACATTTCGTCATTTTCTGCATTATTCGTTTCATTTCATCAGTGCTCATGGGTCGATCTACAGGTTATCCCTGCATCGCCCTCCTGGCAGGACAAACTGCTCAGCGTCCAGACAGGGCAAAGCCCCCGGACATTTACAGGTTTTCGCCGTGGGTCGCAGGCACGAATCAGCAGGGTTTCCCCTTACTAACGCGTCGCCAGTACCCGGACTACTAACTTTTTAGGCGTCCAGACGGCAGACCAGCTGCCCGGACATCCGTCCAGTCAGTACAGTTGTACCCGGACTGAGCACTTTCTAGAAGCAGTCATTCACAATCACAATTTCAGTCAGTTTTTACTTAGCTGGCCATCGGTTAGGTTCGAACATCGGTGGGCGCCATGACGGAGAGATCAGTACGATAGGAATAATTACCGTAATAATCTATCCTACCGACCTACTCAACGACAGAGTATGAGCTAATATCTCAATGTGGCATAGCTAAGTCTACGAATCTACGCGAAGCGAGACTGCATCTCCGACGATATTTTAATTAGAAACTCCGAAACTGTCAAAACTCGTAATGAGAGAACTGATGATCAAAGTACTGCCACTCACGGACTTATATAGACACGGCGCATCCGTGTAGAAATCAAACCAAAAGTAGATCCGAACACAAAGAGAACGATCGAGAATGTACAAGCGAATAATGGAAAGTACAAGTAAAGCCGTCACTTCACGTACGTATCGCTACAGTACTGCTATATTCCGTCACCTGTAAGTGACAAGGTTTAACTATTTTGAATCGTAGACATTACGCAAATACAAACGGACAGATTACAAATACAAAAACAAATGGACACTTAATTTATGAACTACGATTATTCTATGAATGCCTGTAGTGAACGGTGTGATCAACTTTGATCGATTACAGATCCCGATTTTAACAAAAGATGTAATCAAACTGAGGTGCTAGAATGCCCATACACCCTCAGTGGCAGAGCCGGTACATTGCGCTATCAGAACATCCCGGCACTGTCGAAGGCATCCTGCTGGTTTGATGTTACACTGGATGCCAATCTGCGGAAAACCATTTGCGTCTTTTGCGTTTTACCTCAACCTAAGGTACGTATTTGCTCGTAGAAGGCACCAAAGAAAAATAATTGTTTCTTTCTATTTACCCTCCGTTGCTGACGCAATTCCAACAATTTTCTAGAAAATTTAATCTGCCTCACCCAGAAGCCTTGAAAATATATGAAAACTGGAATGGATTGCGTGGCCTGGTTATGCAACTGGCCGACAGCATGCCTCAATGTCGTAATCCTTCATCTGTCGCTCAGACCATAACGGAATATGTCAAGCAGCCTTTCGTCACCTTTGAGTACATTCGAAGCTCGTCGTATTCCAGTCCTATGCACGAAGCCTAAGCCGACTCTGTTATTGTTGAAGGTATAATGTTTGTATCGATCTTTGTTGACGGAGGCTCTCACTATCTTACGTTCCCTAGCCTTGCAATAGTTGCAGCCGTTACTATTTTGCTGATATGCTCTTTTGCTTCGTCAGACACGTCTCACTCTCGCAATACCTACTGCGAAGCGCTGCATGGTTATGTCAACGATCACTTTATCTGAGATATCGACGGGATAAATGATCGTGTCAACTGTCCGTTAGGTTTTACGGCCAGTGTGGATGGACGCAATCCAGTTCGAGGGTCGCAGTGTCTACGGGACGCAACTACCACTAACGACCGGAATGACAACCACGGTATGTATGTAAGGTAAATAAGAAATTAAAATTACGGTTTTTTACACTTTCCGGCAAAACACAGGCAAGTGACACAGTCACCTATTTTATAACAATCTTTTGCGCTGTGTTTGGGATTGCTTGCCTAAAAGAGGCTTACACATAGAAGACACGATTCACGAAACTATGCCCCAGTTTTGTTAAACAGACAGTAACGTCAGTGCCCTGAGCTCCGGCGCAATTTGTGGAATATCTGTGGGGATCGCTAGTTTCGCATTTTCATCATCCTCGCTGGTATTATTTTCCTTGGCCGCTCACACGGACGGGCCGCACGCCCTAGTCCAGTTACGACGACGCGATAACACAGCAGCGATAACACGAGCCAGGCGGTTACCGGGGACCAGAATGCACCCTTTCCTCGAGCACCGCCTTTTATGGATTTGCCACCATCATATACGGAAGCCTTTGCATCCGAGGACCAAGCGACGCTTGTAATACCGCAAACATCAACACCCCGGATAGCGCAAAAATAACTGCAGCCATTGCAGAGATCCCTTGCCTGAAATCCTGTGATAATTTTCGTATTTGCATTGAACTGAATTTGCTATATATATATTGCTAAAAGGAGGGTGTTATATGACTATATTTGCTCAAATCTTTTTTGGTAATCTATAATTCTTCCCAGCAGCTTAAGGAAGTAAGCACTAGCTTTTCTGGTACGTTTTTTTTCTTTATTCAATACCGTTCTCATAATGAATAATGTAAGCTATACAGAAACCCCTGGAGTACGGTACTCTGACCCAGGCAAACCTGAAATTTCTTCAGTGTACCAGCGATACCATGCAAATTCCCGTAAGTCGCCGTAGATCCATGCTGCCTACATGATTGTCCCGAGTCGGCTGGATTTGGTCCGCGACAGTCGTAAAGCTGACTGGACAGTTGACGCCGTCAATTGTTCTGTCGTGCAATAGAGAATGTAAATGTAAAGCCGTGTGCGGTGGAAATATGCACTTCCCAAACCACGACCAGTCGGGGGAATAGAGCGACTCTTAATCTCAACTTCTTATGTATTTCATGGAGCGAAAGGTTAAGGATGTTGATGTACAAGTATGAGATGATATGCAAGGATGAAGAAGAGGATCTGGAACTCGAAGCCTGCTGAAAGAGAAGACACGAAAGGAAACACAAGGGATGCGTGAAGTTATACGTTACCTGTCCGACGCTAGATGGTAGCCGAAGCGTATGAGCATGACAAATCCATCAACCTGGCGCTACAGGGCATGAAGATCGAAGGGACCGAAAAGGTCAAGGCGAACAAGTGGGATCAAGTGGGTAACCTGTTACGTCACGAGACTATCCGAAGATGATAATGCACGTCGACGAAGTAGAGGAATGACCCCTGACAATAGGTGAAAGGTCACCCAGAGGTCAGTTTGAACAGCCTCACTTGGAAAGAGAAGACCAGAGCAAAAGCCTGAAGTTAATCAGATCGAGTAACAAGACTCTACTTTTGTTGGGATTACAACTCTTGACATTTGTGTGGGCGACGAGCGCCTTATATAGCCCTGGGCACCGCAAGTGCTGGCTCTTCGTACGCGCAGGTACGGGTCTGAGAACAATAGGGATTTAGAATCTAACCAATAAGAGACATCTGAGGACACGTGGACTAATCACACCGCTGCATCACTACACGTGGACTAATGAGAACATCAGGTCAACTAATACACTAGAACAATAGGTTGAGCTACGTCATCGAAGCGCGGTCACGTCGAAATGGCAAGTCGCGGTCAAAGTTCTCTGCTGGGGATTTCTGAGAAGTCGAAGTAGAGACTCGGGGTCAGGACTCGCGTAGAAGATGTAGTAAAGCCTAAGCCTTAGTTGTAGGGGTAGAAGTAGTAAAGTAGTACCGATGTGTACTAAGGGACGCCAGTACACGTCACCCCCGCAAACGAGATTTCTCTGGATCGTAGTGGAACAAAAGTGAAGCTTCGCGGAACGACGTGGAACGAAGAGGAAGGAACATAGGGACATAGGAAAAAGTAACATCTGCTCAATCCGCATAGTGCGTGCAACATCTAGTACTATCGCCAAATTCCATCCCGACTATCCGGTGCCATCAAAAGTAAGTAACATCGCTCGGTCCGGTAAGTTGTTAGAGAGTTTGAGTGTTATAGGTCATCGGATCCTGGAGCGTAACTGGCAATCCGGAAGTCCAAGGAAGTGGAAAGGCGGAGAGCAGGAACGTCCATGAGATCCAAGGTGTTATCGTATTTAAAAGATGTTTAAAAAGATGTTGTTTATAGCATTAAGTGCTTTAAGACCGATGTGAAAGGTGTTATATCGTATTTATCCAAAGGGAACAGTGTAAGCGAGCTAACTGGCTAAAACCCATGTACTACAATCACCTGCTAAAAATTAAAAGATAAAAAGACTAACTGCAACAAGGGAAGTTGTATAAGTACAAGTCACGAAACGTGTTAGAAAGCGAACAAACAGACATTATACTACGAAAGCTAGTTAAAAAGATAAAGTTACTAATCATACAGCACTGATAGGAAATACTAAGTTCAGACGCTACGCAATGTAAAACGCTTAAACTGACAACATACTACGAAAACTAACAAAAACTGAAGCCAACTGCTCTACTGCTACTGAAAATGAAGAGTAAATCTGTACTTATGATGCAATGATAAAAGATCTACAAGCGATTAAAGCCGAAACACTACGATAAGCCACAAAAAATTAATGTTCAAACTACACACCGCAAAATCAAATTTCTGAAATAGTACTGTAATACTTCAACACGCTGACGTATTTACACTGCTAGGCTACACGAACTCATACCAATACTCAACTGCCCATTTACTACGAAGTTATACGAAAAATAAAATCTCGAATTACATACTGCAAAATCATATTTCACAAGCTATGGTGATACTGAGTAATAGCACCCGTTAATACCGCTAACATTGCCCATAAACTGTGATCACTGAGCCAATGCACTACGAAATTACTCATCTGCTAAAATCTTACCGAATCATACTGCACAGCTAAAATACGATGGAAAATGTCCTATGACTCCAAAATTACTGCTCCAATTACTTCCGTTTTCTTCCATGTTCACACTTCCATACTTCATACTTCATCCATACACCGAACGTTTATTCAACACACGACTGAACTGAGAACTTGAACTGACTTCCGCTAACGTATATACAGCAAAAATTGAGAACATATAAACGCGAAAAGAAATTCACAATACACCGCAAAATCATGACAAAAATGCCAACACACAAGGTTACAAACCATGACATCATCACTGAGGTTTACAGGCTGACTGCAAAGAATTATCAACAGAATTATTACGACGATGAGCTCTAGGATCAGGAGCAACAAGGTTATCAGAAGACTGAACACGAAGACGACTGCGCTGCACATCAGGATATGAGGAACGAGACTGCAAACCGGACAAATCATTTCGTTTAGCATCCACCGCCATACGAGCTCGCTCTACCGACTGTTTTCGCCGCTCTTCATCTGCGTTACGCTGAAAGATATCCGAAGGATTGATTGAAGGATATTGAGGTCTTCCATCACCATTCATAGGAACATACGCAATACCAGGAACCACAACTGAAGGTTCATTCACCACAACATTCTGAGAAGGTTCTGCCGCAACATTTCCGCCATTCATCGCATTCTAAACGTTGTTCACCGCTTGAGCTACGACTTCTGGATTCACCACATTGCCAACCGCCACAGGATTCTGATCATTCGCAACAACAACACCGTTAACAATACCGACATTCTGACCTTGCTGCTGAGGAACGATGTTCTCTTCGTTAATGTCCATTTCCTCATTCGCCACAGGCTGATTCAACTGTAAAGCCGCCATGTTCTGCTGGACAACTTCCGCATTCTGAGCTTGCCAACCCGGGTTATTGACAACAGGCAAAACTGCTCCAACAATAGGTACATTCTCCGGTACAACCAACTGAACACCGTTAACACCGTTTCCGCCATTATTTGCCAAAGGATACTGAGGATTGCGCTGCCACTGCTGAGCATTATTCTGATATCCGTTATAACCTCTTCCACGATAACCACCACGAGAATAAGGACGATAATAATTCATACGCCGATTATTGCCACGGCCACGATAATTTCCGCGATTACCATACTGATGACCGTTACTACACAAAGCATCTACCATATAATTAAAAGCTGCGTTAAGATCCATAATACCAAGCAAAAGTGACCAGGAAATAAATGAAAAAGGTCGTAATAAAATCTCCGAATAAAAATGAAAAGCGAATTCAAAGTTCTCAAACCGCACACTGAAATCTGACTGCAAAACTCCAACCGCACTAGCGCTAACACGCTCACGAATTTTAATGACTGAACAACCATACATCCGCAATTCGTACTTGCATCACACAGATTACACTGACCAACGAATAAAAAGTGAAATACGTCATAGTACACCGATCCGTACGACCAGAGTAAAAACTAGAAAATACCGCGAAAAGCACTGACACAAAAATACTACCGTTCCTGTACGACGACTGCAAATAACAAAAGACAATTTCCGTG